CGGGGACAAACTTTCAAACTTTCGATTTGCACCCCCCTCCCCTTTAAACTTTCAATTTGCTATTTTTTTGCCTTGGTGTCACCCCCCTAAATGGTGTCACCCGGTGCGGTCCGCACCCCCCGCCCCCCCTCCCCCTCGCTACGCCTCTGCCTCATCTATAAATCAACGAGATGATCGGCAGTGATTCTATTCCTCCCTCACAAGTAAACATATGGATAATTCAATTGTGGTTAATAATTAATTCCTTATAGCTTCAAGACAAAGTAAAAAGCACTGTATCAACGGTCAAGTCGTCAAAGGTTGGTCAATATAAATCAATACGATCATGTGCAGCAATTGATCGGTGATCGATCACGATACAGGGTTCGGCGTGGTCGAGTCGGTAAAAGCTCATGGTTGCTAAACTGAAAAGTCTCGAGTTCGAACCCTCGGGCAGATGAGGCTCGTTAGCTGGGGACAGCCACTCTTCTAGGAGAGACAACTCCAAAATTAAACAACTGCTGCCTTGTGGTTTGTTCTTGGTTGGACAAAGGCTATGGAAGCAAATCCAAAAAGAAAAGCAGGCTGAAATCGGAGTCAATGGCCTCAATGGCGCATAACCAGTTGACACGTAATCCTTAATTGTGTTGGAGGCGTGGCCGAGTCGGCAAAAAGCTCAAGGTTGATAAATTCGAACAAAGTCTCGAGTTCAACCCACTGGCAAATAAATCTCGATCCCCTTCAACACTAATAATTAAGAACGAAGAAGAAGAAAAGAAGATCACGATACTACTGGGTTTATGAATCAACCTATCAGCCTTGTAAGAAAATGATCAAATGTGGACTTGTCTACGAAAAATGTATCTGTTTTCCTAGTTACAAAACGAATTACAACTGTTTCCAACGCCACCCACTTCACCCATTAACACAGCCCATACTATAAATAATTTGTATTATTTTTAAATATTTGTGGCCGTTCAGGCAACTTAGTGGTTTGGTTCATCGGAAGTGTAGGATAGCCATCAAGAGCCGTTTTAAATTATGTACGCAAACCAAGACAAGATTGGCCAGCGCCTATTTACATCTTGTGGCCATCGTGACACAATTTCAAATTCAAAGTCGCAATTTAGCTAATAGCGCATTTCCTGACAATAATAACTGTATTAGCAGTTTTTTGTTGTTGAGGATTTTTTTTTTTGTTGTTTTTGTTTTTGTTTGGGGAGGTGGGGTTAGCAAGAAATCAATATGTAATTTTACTGCTTGAAATGAAACTCTCCCTGTTATGCTATAGGTGTTGTCTATGTAAAGTTTTTAACAGTTTTTATTATAAGAAAAGACGGCGGGTTCAAAAGTCATATCTTTGTTGTTTTTTGTATCGTACTTGCACCATATTTAAAGTGTATATTTTTTCTTTTAAATGTTACCTTTGTTAATAACTACTATTAATATTTATGAGCCTAGTCCAAGCTAGAAAGAGCCTTCGGTATTGATTAACCATAAAAGCTATGCTGAGCAACTGCCCCCCCCCCCATATAGCGCCATTGTAGGCGAATCAAAATAAACCTGACAATGTCGCATGTAATTCAAGACGTGAATAAGCTCATGGCTGACGTCTGCTATGTTGTTTACAACAGGTGACACTCAAGTCCATTAAAACCGTTATGAAGATTAGGGAGATTTGTAGGTTGTATATCATAGTCATAGAGGGTTGTTGTTTTTTTTAAATGGGTTTAGTTGACAACATGGCGGACAAGTAGGGTTGGCTTTATGTGAGACGTGATGTGTGTCGTGTTTACACGTTATGTGTCGTGTTTAGACGTGATGTGTGTCGTATTTACACGCGATTTGTGTCGTGTTTACACGTGATGTGTGTCGTGTTTACACGTGATGTGTGTCGTGTTTAGACGTGATGTGTGTCGTGTTTACACGCGATTTGTGTCGTGTTTAGACGTGATGTGTGTCGTGTTTACACGTGATGTGTGTCGTGTTTAGACGTGATGTGTGTCGTGTTTACACGTGATGTGTGTCCTGTTTACACGTGATGTGTGTCGTGTTTACACGTGATGTGTGTCGTGTTTACACGTGATGTGTGTCGTGTTTACACGTGATGTGTCGTGTTTAGACGTGATGTGTCGTGTTTAGACGTGATGTGTGTCGTGTTTACACGTGATTTGTGTCGTGTTTACCATAAACGTGAATTATGTCGTGTCAAACCGTATACGTGATGTGTGTCGTGATGTGTGTAGTGTTTACCGAAAACGTGAAACGTGATGTGTGTCGTGTTTACCGTATACGTGATGTGTGTCGTGTTTACCGTACACGTGAAAGGCGTGCTATTTGCACACAAATTGTGAAATGTGCGGCCTAAAGCTAGTGGCAGCCATATCATTGGCTCCTTAGAATCGGCAGACGACTGCACCATGGTAGGAATGGTGTCAGCCATAAATCACGAGTCTACTCACCTGATACTCCGCGTCATAGCAATAAGCCAAACACCCACACCACCCACACCACCTTACACTCACAGCAAACACCGCGGCATAGCACGACAATAACTCCAACATAGCCTAGCGCCACACCCTAGAACACCTCGTAGCACACATCCCAGCAACACCCCCCTCCCCTCCAGCATTGCATTACACCACAGCTCCCCCTCTTGCATTATATATATATCCAACCCTGCGATATCAACTTACCCTCAACTTTTTCACTGTTCCCTCACTCATAGCACCAATGTATTATATTCCATCAATAAGTGCAGTAGTGGTATACCGCGTCTAGTTTAATTGCCAGGGGTTGCTGTAGTCTTTAGTGCTATATATATATTTAGTCTATATATATATATATATATATATATGATATAGGCCTGAGGCTATAGCCTAAGTAGTAAGTGTATATATATATATATATATATATATATATATATATATATATATATATATATATATATATATATATATATGCCTCTGTATGTATATACATGTATTTGTATGCGTATGTATATGTGCAGAGCCGGCGTTAGGAATACGCGGGGCCTAGGGCCAACCATCCGCGCGGGGCCTGCTTTTTTCCATTATATATATATATATATATATATATATATATATATATATACATATAGGCCTATATAATGTGCATGCACACATAACAACACATAAATGTTTTGGAGTTTATAAGCTGATGCCAAACTTTCCACTTTAATAACATGTGTTTATCTCTCCCATGTTTTAACCCAATGATCTTAGTTTTTTTTCCTTGCTAAGATATTAAATAACTTTAGACAGTTATGTAATTCATACCAAAATCACTTAAGAAAATTCAGTCACGTGCCAAAAAATTAGGAAAATAAAGTTGTTTAAATTGTTTGTTAATGACTAATAGTTAATATAAAAGTCATGCGTTTTAGGTGTATCTAAAAAAAGAGATAGTGTTAGTAAGCACAGAATTGTAAACAAATTACAAAATCAACAAAACTAAAGTAATTAAAGTTGAAAAGAAATAGAAAAACACTGATAGCTTTTGGACTTAGGGGTCATCCATAAAGAACGTCACGCTTTTTTTGGACGATTTTTACAAAGTTGTGCGACGAGGACTATATCATGTCAGCACCACTGGAAGACGATTGAATAAAACAATTTGGATGAAAACGGTAATCATTCTGTATTTCTGTCTTGGAACGGATCAATCCTTAAGATGACACAACATAACAGTTTTAACTTTCTTCCAAAAAAATAATAATAAATCACCCTGTTTAATGCCCCTTGATATAGATCCTAAGGGCCTCCCCCCCCCCCTCTTCGCCCTCTTCCCACCCCTCTGCACGCAACTGAAGGTTAATTTTGTTATACCAAGACAAGTAGGCCTATATATACGACATCTTCAACAAGAAAGTCAGGACTAGCGTTCATCAGGTCACTAACTGTCTACATCCCGCTTGCTCACTAAAAGGACGTCTTCATCGCTCCGCATACAATAGGGTATCTCTTTACCAGAATTTCTTCCAAAGCCCCCCCCCCACCCCACCCAAAAAAACACTGCTCTTTACGTTTCCCAAATTTACATCCCATGTCAGGTCGGGTACGGTCGCATGGCATTTGACCTGAGCTGACTGGAGATTGTTGGACGCGAATCAGGCCCCTACACAAAGGGGAGGTGTGACACTGTTTTTGTATCGAATTACGGCGTGTCCCAGTTCAGGTGGGTGATAACTCACTAACATCCACCGTGGCCTCATTTATAACAATCAACATCGTCGGCATTCGACCATTTAGTTTTTCCCAATTGAATTCAGCCACAATTTATTTAAGTTTACAAACTAATTCAGGTAATAATGACAGTGCTGAAGCGCGGGGCCCCTTCAAGCGCGGGGCCTGCGGCGACCGCCCCGTTTGCCACCCCCTAACGCCGGCTCTGTATATGTGTACAACAGATACGTATAACAGATACGCCTATATTTACTAGCTCCCGTAGGCTACATGTCCCAAATGTCATCGGTCACAGCCACTTCACCCACCCCCCCCCCCCCCCGTCTCCAGCCTTGATAGCGGCCACCACCCTAACTTCAGGCCAACAAGTTGTTGTTCCAGCCTTACAAAGGTCCCAAAAGTGGCAGGGAACTTTTGATACCTCACAACGTCCTGACAATGATATAGATCTACTAGCACTCCTGTCCCGTAACAGGTTGCCCATGAACGGGCTGTTGAATTGTCTTTCACTATTTTTTTTTTCGTTAGCTTTTTTTAACAAGTCACGTGGCTAAACCTGTGGTGAAAAAATGGCGGTCGGCCTCACGTGTCACGGCTGAAAGAGTCCACCACACCCCCCCCCCCCCCCACCATCCTCCCCACCCCTAAGATTTTGTTATTCGCGAGGCGCTTATTGATCTAGGGGCGACCTTCCAAACTGTAACCACGGACGCCAAAAATTTATTCTCCAATAAGCGGAATGCTTGGCCGTTGCTAGGGACGACGAGCGTGAATGGAAACCGATTTAAATGTGTTTGCCTTGTGGGGGACACTTCAGTCTTGGACAAGCGCGGGTCACCTCTAGCTGGTAAGTACCGATCTACTAACACCTGCCTCACTGCTGCTCTACACACCTTATACCTTCAACTCGACACACCTTAAAACTGCTCAGAATTATTGTTTTGCTTTAATTAGGTAATCATTTATTTTTTGCACAAAAAAAAAAATATAAATTTAGACGATAAAAATAATAAAAAAGCTTTTATTGTTGAGTTTGTAATTTTTTTTCTACTACTTGTATTTATTGTATGAGATAGCAAAATATATTTTTGATATTCAAATTGTAAAATAATTTAAATATACACTGTAGAAATAAGCCTAATGTACAAAGAGCATTTGATATTTTAAAAATGAAATCAAAATTTTAAAAATATAATTCAATGTATACTGGTCATTTTTCAGTAGGTAAATTTTAATTATGCTGGCAATTGAAGAAAGAAACATTGAATCAACGCGATCTTAAACACGTGTTTACTTTTGTTTGTTTTCACATGGATCGCCAAAAAAAAAACCGGCGCAAAATGTACTTTAATGCGCGCTTAGTAAATAATTGATTATATTGAACTATAGCTAATCGATTGTATTGACTAGGCTGTAAAAGTGCACGCAATATTTCGTTCTATTTTAAGGTGTATTTTTTTTAATTCTGGCAATAAATTTTAACAAGCACGTAAATAAGGAAAAAAGTTTTCTTCGTCGTGGGCAGTATCGCGCCATTAATGCTGACTGAGTTGCCACATTGGTTTTTACGAGTACGGACCTGTTTCTGTGTGGTCATACAGCTTCTGAATAGGATATGTAGAACGATTGGTGGATATAACTATAAGCGATGTTAAATGAATAAAAACTATCCTAAGGCCATTAACAACTCTTGTAGAAGAAATTACAACTGTATCGATTTCTGGAGAAAACTATAAGCGATGTTAAATGAATAAAAACTATCCTAAGGCCATTAACAATTCATGTAGAAGAAATTACAACTGTATTGATTCCCGGAGTAAACTATAAGCGATGTTAAATAGATAGAAACTAAGGCCAATAACAATTCTTGTAGTAGTAATAACAACTGAAACAATTCCCCGAGTAAACAAAATGACATGTACCACTTTGTTAGAGTAGTGGCGTGTTTAAAAAAATCCTAATTGTTAATTATTAATTAATGTTTACGTTTTTAAACCACCAATTCTCATGCAACTACATCATTCATTTACCCTTTATTGGTTGATATTTTTTAAATATAGCTAGAAGAGTTAGTCTGATTGTATATGTTGTGATTTTTTTTCTTTAAACCTTGACCTTTATCAAATCAACAGTGTACTGTGATCAACAAATATCAACATGGGAGTCAGGGAAGGATTCGCTAAATCCAACATAGCAACAAAGATTGCTTTCTTCATTGTGCTGTTGGCTGTGTTCGCTAAGTAAGTTATCGGACTTTAAACAGAAAGGTTGTATTTTATTTTATTTTTTTCTGCACAGCCAACTCATGTGTGACAAAATACTCAGTCCGGATTTCTGTTTAGGGGAAATCCAAATATGACGTAACACTCCTGGAGGAATGGCTCAGTCTTTTTCTGACCATGTGTAATAATAAAAGTGGCGTGGTAGGGGGAGGGGGGGGGGGGCATTGCTCGACTATATATTGTCATTTAAAAATCAGAAGTTAAAGACGGACTAGAAAATCTTAATGAGTTTTAAAGCTTTATCTTACAGTGTCTTCGTTCTCGTATCCTAACTCTTGCAACAAAACAAAAAATCTGTTAATATTTTCGAATTAACTTCCAATAATTCAGTCGTTTAATATCGAGTTCTGCCTTAAAACAAATGCGTCCACGATAGCTCGCTCTTTTAATTGGTTGTAGAAATGTGACTTAACACTGCAATCATAAATCTAGTTTTGGTTTTACACGACAAGAAGCATCCGTTATTTACCTGGCGGGTGGTTAGTCACCGTCTAGGTAATCGTGGACTTGAACCTTGTGTTCACTGGAGACTTCTTAACTACACTTGCAGACTATATTATGGCGCCTTCTATAAATGACGTAACACACTTAGGGGATTTGGGGGTGGGGGGGGGGGGTCTGGATATTATGACGGTGTGTGAATTGAAGGAGTACCACGTATCACTTAGCATCCATTTTGTTGGACTTGTTTAATTAACATTATTTTTTTTAAACATGTCACCAGCGGTTATTATTTAAGTGGTTTGTAGACACTTTGTGGAGATGGTGTGGTTTTAGATTTTTGTGACGGGTGATGGAAAAAGGATGGTGGTATCGAACACCTTTTAAAACATTTGGAATTATGTGAGTTGTATTGTTTCAGTTGGATCGCCTTCTGCACAACATCGTGGTACCGGAATGCTGGCACGTACGTAGGTCTTTGGCGAGTCTGCACTAGCTCCATAGCATGTTCTGTACTGGACGGTAGCCCTAATGGTAGGTTGACATTTACGTATTGTGAAAATAAAAGAATTAGAATTTAATAAAGTTTAGGCCAACAGTGGAAAGTCAACCGCTCCCCCCCCCCCCTCGAACGAAATGGAATTTATATTGAAAATGTATACTTTTAACAGTGGCCGCCCCCCAACCCCGTCCCCGTCCCCCCGGAAATTTTAGTCTCGAAGAAACACTGGTTTGAAAGGGTATTTTACTCAGGACTGCCGAACCCTTTCACGTAATGATTTCCTGTTGAATTATTTACCCAATGACCCAATGTGGGACGCCATGGCAGAGGCGTAGTTAGGGGAGGGCGGGTGGGGCGGATGCCGCGGGCGCCTCCCTAAGGGGGTGCCGAACAAGATTTTGAAAAACTAATTTTGAGCTGCATTACTAAATTACACACAGTCGAAGTTTAGGAAACAGGCCGTTACACGATTTTACGGGCTTATTTAACTGTTTTCTACACCAATTGTGTGACATCAAAATAAAAAACTATTAAATGCCAATGTTAAGGTGCTAGTTCGCCTCGGGCGCAGGAATATGTTGATACGCCTCTGCGCCATGGTAGAGCGATTGGCCTCACCCACCTTTAATGTAAGTAAAGGCGGCTGTGCATAAAGCTGACCACACCATCCCTTCATGTGCCGAGGTCAAGAAACATGAACTCTACGCAAATGGATCGCTAGATCTAACAAGACTTTCTCTATACTTCGTATATACGAGAAAGTAAAAAGGAATCGTACTTTACTTTACTTACTCAATAGTACAACATGTAATCGAGAAATAAATTGTCGTTGTTTTTTAACATTTCAGATAAATTGGATGCCATCCAGGCTTTCGCTGTTTTCGGCTTCATGTTTCTCAACGTTGGGTTTATCCTCATCCTCCTCTACATGTTTGTCGGCAAGTTCAAGGGCAACGCTGAGGCCGGCATAGGTTCAGCCATCTGTTTAATTATGTCAGGTATAATCAGTGATCAGATGTCTCTAATTTCTTTTCTTGTCAGAAGCACAGTAACATTTAATGATCATAAAATATTTTTTTAAATAACTCTCATATATAATTGTTCAAAATAACTAAGGTATGTGAATTTAAAAGTGCAAGAGTTAAGAGTAGGCTACGAAAAAAAACGGGGAAAAAACTTTTTAATTAATAAGCTTTTTACATTTATTTGCGTATGTATAAGTTAGGGTACTTAAGGAAAAATATTTGGATGTACCAGGGACTCTTCTGAAAATATGGTTGCTATGAAAACGACGGCCATCTTGGAAAAAAACTACCTTTTGTGGAGTTCTAAAATTTCCTAACGTAACATATAAGCCGCCCATATAATCATTGATCCTTCTTGTACGAACGTCAGTATAGTCAGCTGGCTAGTTTTTGTAACCGAAAAATAGCTAGAAATATTTTTTTCAAATTTTCAAAAAAATGTTATGGTGAAATTCCATTGAATTTGGCATTAATTTCAATAGAATTTCGTTATACCAAATTTTGAAAATTAAAAAAAAAATATTTCTAGAGTGATTTCTGTTACAAAAACTAGCCAGCTGACTCTATTAGTGCTAGTACAAGAAGGATCAATGGTTATATAGCCGATATAAATATTAGTTTATGAAATTTTGGAACTCCAGAATAGGATGTTTTTTCAAGATGGCCGCTGTTGCCATCGCAACCATATTTTCAAGAGTCCCTGATGCGTGGAAATATTTTCCTTTAAGTACCCTAACTTAGATATACACAAATAAATCAATAAAACATTTTAATTAAGAAGTTTTTTTTTTCTGGAGCCTACCCCCTTAAGTATGTTTAAGTGTTATTTTGTTATTTTGCTCCCCAGCTGCTACTTGGTTAATTTCCGTGGCTATTTTTGGCGCTGAATATGACGACAACGGAAGTGACAAGCTGGGGTATTCCTATGCTCTCGCAGTCTGCGCATTGATCCTAGCTCTCATTGGTGGAATCATCATGATCATCGGAGGACGTGGCAACAGTTCTGTTAGCTCCAAATAAATATGGTCCAAATACTCTCTAGGCTTCGAAAGAGAAAAACCAATTTACAATGAATTATTAATTTTAACATCTAAATCTAGCATTTTCTAAAAAGTTAGTTTAAATAAACTAAAAATAAACAACCTTTAGTATTCATCTTAAAAAGTAAATAATTTCTTTTCAACAACGGGTTGGATGTGGTATGAATTCAAAATTATAATTTTCTGAAAGTAAGACTAAATTCCTGGAAGTAGGATGAATATTTGCAAATGTTATTTTTTTTTTCATGTACAGATACACTGCTGTCGATAACTTGCCAATCATCCGTCCATTCGTTTATTTTTCCACTATAACCAAATGTTTTAGATGTTGTATTATTGTCTTTGAACGAATGCGATCAACCGTGTATTACTAGCGTGTTAATTAGCAATCGGCTAGATTGAGTTACTGTGGTTTTCTGAGCTGAAATTACCCTTAAAAAATAAAATCACAACCCACCCTGTGTTTTAAGAGGAGTTTCGGCCCTGATGATAAACTATCGAGCTCGTCTATCCAATTACACGTTTAGGGGAATAAGATCTGAAAACAATGTGTCATGTTGTAGCTGTATATATGTATGTATCTTCACTATTTCTCTGTGGTCGTTTGCGAATGGTGTCATCATTATGTACAACTTGTCATATGTACTAAGTATTACATTTTAATAAATAAAATATTACTGTACTAGAAATTAAAAGGTGTCTGTCTTCGTATCTAATATATAGGGCTACAAAATGTGTTGTGATTCACAACCTTGGGCCCCCGGGCTCGAGATCCTAGGGTAGCGCCCCCCCCCCCCAATACACACTAACTGCCTTTTATATCCAACCCAGACGCAAATGCATCTAGATCTGGTGGTGATGTCAAACCCTGGTGGAGGTCCACGGTCTAGAAACTGGCAAACAAGGTGCTGTAAACCTAACGCACCACTCTCCCTCTTTTTGGGCAGAGTTTCTTCCGGGCATTTCTTTCAAGAAAGAAATATAATTTATATACAAAATATGGGTCGGCGTGGTCGAGTCGGTAAAAGCTCATGGTTTCTAAACCGAAAAGTCTCGAGTTCGAACCCTCGGGCAGATGAGGCTCGTTAGCTGGGGACAGCCACTCTTCTAGGAGAGACAACTCCAAAATTAAACAACTGCTGCCTTGTAGTTTGTTCCTGGTTGGACAAAGGCTATGGAAGCAAATCCAAAAAGAAAAGCAGGCTGAAATCGGAGTCAATGGCCTCAATGGCGCATAACCAGTTGACACGTAACGCTTAATTGTGTTGGAGGCGTGGTCGAGTCGGCAAAAAGCTCATGGTAGGTACATTCGAACAGTCTCGAGTTCAAACCCACTGGCAGATAAAACTCGATCCCCTTCAACACTAATAATTAAGAAGAAGAAGAAGAAGAATATACAAAATATATACTTTTACTAGTCCGCCCCCCCCCCTGAAAATGTCCCCCACCCCCTTACGCGGAGAAAAGTCTTGAAGTAACACCGTTGGGGTGTCACCAAACACCCTTGTTCAAGCTTGATGTTGCCGTATGTCGTATGTTAGAGACACAGGGTTGCACCAGGTGGGGTTTGTGGCCGTGTATGTTAGAGACACAAGGTTGCACCAGGTGGGGTTTGTGACCGTATATGTTAGAGCCACAGGGTTGTACCAGGTGGGGTTTGTGGCCGTGTATGTTAGAGACACAAGGTTGCACCAGGTGGGGTTTGTGGCCGTGTATGTTAGAGACACAAGGTTGCACCAGGTGGGGTTTGTGACCGTATATGTTAGAGACACAGGGTTGCGCCAGGTGGGGTTTGTGGCCGTGTATGTTAGAGACACAGGGTTGCACCAGGTGGGGTTTGTGGCCGTGTATGTTAGAGACACAAGGTTGCACCAGGTGGGGTTTGTGGCCGTGTATGTTAGAGACACAAGGTTGCACCAGGTGGGGTTTGTGGCCGTGTATGTTAGAGACACAAGGTTGCACCAGGTGGGGTTTGTGGCCGTGTATGTTAGAGACACAGGGTTGCACGACGTGGGGTTTGTGGCCGTGTATGTTAGAGACACAAGGTTGCACCAGGTGGGGTTTGTGGCCGTGTATGTTAGAGACACAAGGTTGCACCAGGTGGGGTTTGTGGCCGTGTATGTTAGAGACACAGGGTTGCACGACGTGGGGTTTGTGGCCGTGTATGTTAGAGACACAAGGTTGCACCAGGTGGGGTTTGTGGCCGTGTATGTTAGAGACACAGGGTTGCACGACGTGGGGTTTGTGGCCGTGTATGTTAGAGACACAAGGTTGTACCAGGTGGGGTTTGTGGCCGTGTATGTTAGAGCCACAGGGTTGCACGACGTGGGGTTTGTGGCCGTGTATGTTAGAGACACAAGGTTGCACCAGGTGGGGTTTGTGGCCGTGTATGTTAGAGCCACAGGGTTGCACGACGTGGGGTTTGTGGCCGTGTATGTTAGAGACACATAGGGTTGTGCCAGGTGGGGTTTGTGGCCGTGTATGTTAGAGCCACAGGGTTGCACGACGTGGGGTTTGTGGCCGTGTATGTTAGAGACACAAGGTTGTACCAGGTGGGGTTTGTGGCCGTGTATGTTAGAGCCACAGGGTTGTACCAGGTGGGGTTTGTGGCCGTGTATGTTAGAGACACATAGGGTTGTGCCAGGTGGGGTTTGTGGCCGTGTATGTTAGAGCCACAGGGTTGCACGACGTGGGGTTTGTGGCCGTGTATGTTAGAGACACAAGGTTGTACCAGGTGGGGTTTGTGGCCGTGTATGTTAGAGCCACAGGGTTGTACCAGGTGGGGTTTGTGGCCGTGTATGTTAGAGACACAGGGTTGTACCAGGTGGGGTTTGTGGCCGTGTATGTTAGAGCCACAGGGTTGCACGACGTGGGGTTTGTGGCCGTGTATGTTAGAGACACAAGGTTGTACCAGGTGGGGTTTGTGGCCGTGTATGTTAGAGCCACAGGGTTGTACCAGGTGGGGTTTGTGGCCGTGTATGTTAGAGACACAGGGTTGTACCAGGTGGGGTTTGTGGCCGTGTATGTTAGAGACACAGGGTTGCACCAGGTGGGGTTTGTGGCCGTGTATGTTAGAGACACAGGGTTGTACCAGGTGGGGTTTGTGGCCGTGTATGTTAGAGACACAGGGTTGCACCAGGTGGGGTTTGTGGCCGTGTATGTTAGAGACACAGGGTTGTACCAGGTGGGGTTTGTGGCCGTGTATGTTAGAGACACAGGGTTGTACCAGGTGGGGTTTGTGGCCGTGTATGTTAGAGACACAGGGTTGTACCAGGTGGGGTTTGTGGCCGTGTATGTTAGAGACACAGGGTTTGTGGCCGTGTATGTTAGAGACACAGGGTTGTACCAGGTGGGGTTTGTGGCCGTGTATGTTAGAGCCACAGGGTTGTACCAGGTGGGGTTTGTGGCCGTGTATGTTAGAGACACAGGGTTGCACCAGGTGGGGTTTGTGGCCGTGTATGTTAGAGACACAGGGTTTGTGGCCGTGTATGTTAGAGACACAGGGTTTGTGGCCGTGTATGTTAGAGACACAGGGTTTGTGGCCGTGTATGTTAGAGACACAGGGTTGCACCAGGTGGGGTTTGTGGCCGTGTATGTTAGAGACACAGGGTTTGTGGCCGTGTATGTTAGAGACACAGGGTTGCACCAGGTGGGGTTTGTGGCCGTGTATGTTAGAGACACAGGGTTTGTGGCCGTGTATGTTAGAGACACAGGGTTGCACCAGGTGGGGTTTGTGGCCGTGTATGTTAGAGACACAGGGTTTGTGGCCGTGTATGTTAGAGACACAGGGTTGCACCAGGTGGGGTTTGCAGCACTAGTGACTTAAATTTTCGAAAAGTAAAACGATTCAACTGATTATATCTCCTTTTTTTTCTAAACGCAAGGCAATTAATAGTTAAGTAAACAAAACTAATGGCATCAGCACGCGCCTGTTTAAAAGAGCTGGTCTGCACATAAATTTTCCAGAACCAGATTTATCCAGATCTTTGCGATATGCGCCGCGTCCAGTGGTTCAGTAGAACCAATCAAGGGACTCAATCAATGCATTTTCATTTTTACATAGAGATATATAGGCCTTCAATTATAAATGTTACATAGAGATATATACATTTAAATGTTACACAAGGTTATATAGGTCTTCGTATTTAATTTTTACCAGAGTTTCACCAGAGTTTCTTCCAGGCATCTCTTCGGGAGCTCTCTTCCCCCCCCTCCCTGAAGAAAGTCTACCGTCACACCTCCGAACGAAATGGAATTTATTTAGGAAAATATATACTTTAATAGTGTCCAGTGCCCCCCCCCCGGGAATTTTAGTCCGAAAATTTTAAGTGCCCTTCTTCCCCCCCCCCCCCCCCGGAGAAATAAGTCCGGAAGAAACACTAATTATTACATAGAGATATAGATGCCTCCACATTTAAATGCTAAATAGATATGTATATAACTAACAACAACACTTTGAATGTTTAGACCCCCCCCCCCCCCAACAGTGATGATTTCATTAACTAACTCAACGTTCATCCTTTTTTTTTTCACGCTTATTGATTTAGAACAGGGGTCTCCAAACTACGGCCCGCGGGCCGAATGCGAGGTCCTCTCATCCGGCACTCGGAGATCTTTTAGTTCATGGAAAAAAAAATATTTGTTGTAGGTGGCTGAGGAAAAATGCCACCCCAATGAGATGCCTGGAAGAAACTCTGGCCCCCGAACTTATATTTGATAGTTAATGCGGCCCTCCGGCTGAAAAGTTTGGAGACCCCTGCCTTATATAAACAATACAAAAAGTTGATATTTGGTAAAGAGGTAGCTCTGGTGCCGTAGTCACCTGGAAAATACCAGATTCTCAGAAATGTCATATTATGGGGTTAAAAATTTTACTTATAAAAGGGACGTAACAACGTCAGGAATTTAAACTTTTGATTTCCATTGTTCTTTGACTAGACAAAAAAAAAAAACAAAAAGAAGAAAATATCTGGATTAAAATAAATCTTTTAAAATTTATACTAAATGATTTTAAAATTAGCGTGAAAACGAATACAATTTAACAGGTTTTACCGCTCAATTATTCCCACAAAAAGGGATATAACTGCGTCAAAATTTTCATTTTTTAATTTCCCCAGTTCTGTGATTACACCAAAAAAAAATAACTTAAATAATAGTTAAATAAAGAAATAAATCCTTTAAAATTTATTTTAAACAATTTTCAAGTAGGTGTTAAAATTAAAACTTATCAAATAACTGATATTTAAAAAGGTTAATTGCATAACCTGCTAAGTTTACTTTTTGAAAAAAATAAATTGATGTTATAGCTATTTTTTTTTTGGAGCGATAGTAGTACAACTAGAATGTCTAACATTTGTTTGAACACTTATATGGCCCACTGAATTTTCCACCCCAGCCTCCTCTTCCAGTTATTTAGAGCAGGGGTCTCCAAACTTTTCAGTCCGAGGGCCGCATCAACTATCAAATTTCAGTTCGGGGGCCACTTTCAACCAGAAATGTCTTTGATTTTTCTGGGCAATGTTCCTCCACCATCACTAACAAACGGTTTTTCCGTGGACAAAAAGATCTCCTCGGGCCGGATGAGAGGACATCGCGGGCCGCATTCGGCCCGCGGGCCGTAGTTTGGAGACCCCTGATATAAGGCAGCGGCCAGTTTAGATCAGTTTTCGGTCAGTTTTAACTCGATTATTGAGATGAATCTAATTTTCCTGTTAAAAAGAGAGTGACCAACAAACTTTGTCAAGAACAATTTCCCCGCAAATTACCTGCAAGTACCCGATCGAATAGGTGGGAGTAACAAACAAACATCGCCCACTTTGCTTTTATGACAGATAGAAAATAAATATTAACATTTTTCGGAAAACGACCTTCAGGTAAATCGCTTTTGAGCATTTGTTGCATTCGGACAAGTGTCCGTTCGGGCGTTTGTCGCATTCGAGCAAGTGTCCTTTCGGAAAAACGGCCTTTGTGCAAATGGCATTCGGGCAAGGGTCTTTCAGGAATTTGTCGTAGACCCTTCATAAACAACATCACACTGTTTGGAGAGGGGGCGGAATCTTTTGACGATTTGTAACGTGGGGGAGAAGAAGGGGAGGGGAGGTCAGAAAGTGTGACAATACAGTTTTGCAATTTTCAGAAGTAAAATTAGAAAGTTATATTTGGCTGCTATTTCGGTTTTTTTTTTAAGTTTTTTTTTATTGGTATATAAATTGAATAATTTACTCAATGTTGACCGAGCTCATAAAATATTTGAGTAGGAAATTGATATTTTTTTAAAAAAAGCTGACATTCGGGGGATTGGGGGGGGGGGGGGGGGGGCAGAGAGAGGAGAGGGCTTTAGTGTGAAGTCGTTTTAAAGTTGAAGGTCTTGTTTTTTTATGGATCACCCTTTAAAAGGCCCTGATTTAAACTGTTTTAAAGCTTTATAAAAATGTATCCATCTTAAATAATGTTTTTAAAATAAGAATTCACAGGTTCATTTATTTTATTGTAAATAATGTTTATTGTTAATAAAACAATTATATGACGTTACGACCAGAACGCTGTTGGTTTACAGCGATTGGTTGCCTAATTATAGTAGTCAGTAATCGATTTCATCGAAACCTAATTACAGTAGTCAGCAATCGAACGCATTGTTCCAACACTCGATGCCATTGACCGGTTATCGATTCTGTCGAGGTCAACACCATATCGTATGTTGAACTCCGTGTCATTGAATGCAAATCGATTTCTTCCTGTACTCAGGGGAAACCACCCGAGAATTTGTGACACTGAGCAAAGCCAGAGTAGTGTCTCTTCGACAGTACAATCGAATCTTTTTGATATTACATACAAGCTCAATGGCTATGTGGGTGTCTGACATACAGAGTTCCTTCCAGGTATCTCTTCGCCCCCCCCCCCCCCCCCCCCGAAGAAGTCTACCGCCCTTCCCCCGAAAATTTCAAGTGCCCCTCCCCCCGGAGAAAAAGTCTGGAAGAAACACAGCTGACATATGGTAGGGGAAAAGTATATAAGTAAAACTGCTGTCTATTCGTTAAGAAGCTTATTGTGGAAACTCTGGCATGATTAGAGGGTTTAAAAAAAAATTAAAATGTGAAAGTATGTATACACTTGCTAACTCGTGACCTAAATCACGTGATACCTACGTCCGCCTCCACGGCGGTGAACACCCGCGAGTAAACAATCAGCTGTTTCGCAGCGGTGGGCGTGTCTCAAAATGTGTTCATTATATATTGAGAGCCTCGCACCCACAGAACATAAACAATACGCAAAAACGTTTAGGAATTGAAGATCGTTATATTCGTGTTGACATAAAATGCAGAAAGGTTGATAATTTAAATCTAGATCTAGTTAGTATAAATTCTAGATTCTCTAGTTAAGGGTTGTGTCCCCTCCTCACCCCCCCCCCCCCCCCCCTCGGATATTTTTAATCTATTACCTCCGAGGGGATTTTCTGGAAAAAAAATTCAAAAGAAAAAAAATGGGCTGAAACTGTCGTGACTGAAGTATAATATTGTTTTAAGGGAGGGGATCTGAATTTTTTATAGAGATGTGTTGAGTGGGGGTGTTGAAAGTCGTGAGGGGGGGGGGAAGGGGGTTACGACCTAGTTGTACTATTTGGTCCAACGCTGGATGAGAAAGAGCAAATGTGGGGAGCAGAGTTTCAGGCATCTCTTTATGAACAAATACAGTGTCCTCACCCCCCCTTCCTTAAGAGAAATATTACTTTAAGACAATTTGGTTGGGGGCCTAATCTTAACACGATACATTATTATTATGTTAATGAATATTTTCATTAATATGTTGCTGACAGTGTCTTTATCACTGACTGTCTTTTTTTTTTTTTTTTTGTAAAACTACCAATAGAAAATGATAAAAAACTTTTTTATCAAGCAAGAATTGATAAATTAGAAACCGTAGAAGTCGAAATACCAATTACTGTGTTTGATGGTACAATTAGTTGCAATTAGAATTTTTAATTAGATCTAGATCGATTTAGGCCTACCGTTCTATTCGGTAAAGTTCGGTATCTTTCAGCAGCTAGCGAGACCAAGTGTTCGGTATCTTTCAGCAGCTAGCGAGACCTATTGTGGATATTGATGTTGAAAATAACTAATCTGCGAACGAGTCATTTCTTACCATTTCGTTTGGATTTTTTTTGCAATTCTAAACAACTAATTTAAAAACTTAGGTAATGTAATAGGGCCTACTGTTTTATAAATTGTTTTCAAAGAATATGTTTGGGTAAAACCTTAGTTTAGCATCGTAACTTCGGCAATAAAATAAAAAATTTAAAATAAACTATTAGGCCCTATCATCCTGAGGTAATCTATCGTTTTGGGTACGTAAAATCGCCCGCGATTTGTAATGTGAAAAACAGGTGACTCCTTAAATTTTAATAATTATTTCACATTTTGAGGAGGATTTATGTTTTAAAAATTCAAAAATGTTTCCTTGATTCATTTATGTACCTGTTTTTAAACAATTGAATTAAAACTTTTCCCCAATAAATGAGGACTAGCGATGTTTCCAACAGATGCAACCATGCTTATTTACTATAGCAGCCATCTTGTCTAAGTTTTATTTTTATAAGCTTTTAGCGCCAGATTCAGGGGGAAGCCACTCTATTTTACAAATGGCTGCTGTTTAAATAGCAAATCTTGCTCTCAGACACTGCTGTTTAAAGTTGATTTCTGGCCTATATCGATATATTTAGCCATTGATTTAGGTTTATTATTCATTTATCTATAATATTTGACACAAAAGTATGACAATATACTTCTATTAAAGCCTTGACAATGAGGTAACGTTTTCGTACATAAATAGCCGCGGGCGATTTTACGTACCCAAAACGATAGATTACCCATCCTGAATTCCTAGAGTAGAGTCCTAGAGCAGGGGTCTCCAAACTTTTCAGCCCGCATTTTGACTAGATCTATCAAATATCAGTACGGGGGCCAGTTTCTTTAGGCATCTCTTTGGGGTGCCCCCCCCCCCCCACCAATATATTATAATTTATATAGAAATATATAGTATTATATAGGCCTACACATTTAATTTGTAGAATGTTTTTCTCATTTGCTTGTCCAACCAAGCTTATGCCACTCATTAGGGTTGTCGGTATTGGCCAAGTTCGCGGTAAAAACATGACCCGAATTCTCCCATTACTTTCTGATACCGGACACACGAGATTTGGTTTTGCATACTAATAAGTTTTTAATTTATGGTAATTAATTAAGTTTAAAAGGTCATTTCCTAATGTTAAATGAAAAGTAGAATGGTTTTCCAGTTGTTTTGATGGCTTAGCGATCTGATTGCATGCTGTCTCTGCTTTGGTCTTACCGCCGTATAAAGGTTAACTTCAAATGCGTTAAAAACGCGATTTTTGAAAAGTTTCCATTTAGATAATGAAAGTTTCCAAAGCAGATAGGCCTACATCCCATTTTTATAGAAATGATATTTATTTTTGGATATTTTGACTTTGACATTAGTAAATACTCATTTGAAAGTAGTCACCGTAAGTAGGTCATGTTGACCCCATTGACGCCAATGTTATATTTCTTCATCCTGATCTACCGGCTTTTAGTTTTGATACACTAACAACAGCATTCTTATGTAATGTACAAACAAATCTCCTACTTATTGTTTTAAAAATATTTTAATATACCTGTCTTTCATTTTTTCAACTGGTTCTAGTTTTGCTTGAAGTAAAATTTTGCAGAGTCAGACATAGGTTACCTGTCTGTTGCTATACACTTAGAATACACTACACTAGCTATGTGGCACTATGTGCTAACTGTAATTTTAAGTATTCAAGTTCTACTTACCCTTACTTATAGTTATATTTATATGCTGAAAATCAGAATTCATACACAATACACACATAAAAACATTGATCTGATAACTTCAGTTCACTTTTAACAAAATGGCTTAAAGATGGACTCTACTTCACCTGCCCAAAATAATAAGGCAATTATATGCACATTACAGTGTTCAAGTCATTTACTTTAGATTGCTAACTATGTAGTTCTTTCATTCACTGTCACTGTATTTATATAAAGCATTGCTTTAGAAACATTTTCATATTTGCGCAGCACAGTTTTATAACAAAATGGCTTAAAGATGGACTACTTCACCTGCCCAAAATAATGGGACAGTAATATGCACATTACAGTGTTCAAGTCATTTAATTTAGATTGCTAACTATGTAGTTCTTTCAATCACTGTAAAACATTGCTTTAGAAACATTTTCATATTTGCGCAGCACAGTTTTTTTGGGGTTATGGAAGGAAGCCAACACAAAAATATACTTCTGTATTATTTTTATTCATTTCAACAGCATTTACAAGTTCTATATATCATTCTAGCTAAACTCTGCAAATATGAACAAAATACAACTGCAAGTAAAATAACTATGCTCAATTTATTGAGGCATACCATGACTTGTCACAATTGGCCAATGCTAAAACAAGGGCATTCCACCCCTCACACAAAAATTCGCTAAAAAAAAACTATTTGAGCTAGACAGAAAATCTTTTTTGTTTTGTTTTCATATAGTTGAGCTCTACAAGAATATGTAATTTTTATTTTTATATGATGATTAGTGTTTTTTTACCAAAATCCCTACCACTCATGTACTTTCCTCCATGAATTGTCTGAGGTTAGTCCAGTCCAAGTCTCTCTTTCTTCTTCGTTCTTAATTTTTGAATATGGTGGAGGATTCAGACAACAAGTCCAACTTCGTGGACAAACCGGACTGTGGTTTCCAGTTTGTCAGGTGTCCCATATAATTTTTCCCTGAGTGGGGTGGGCTGGGGCCAGTGTCTGCCTCTTGCCTGGCTATACAGAGTACATTCCTGGAGTACGTGCTCCGTGTTTTCCGGGGCCTTGCCACAAGGGCACATTTCGCTACACCCAACCTTCAGTTTTTTGTGCATGTGTTGATTTAGTCTGTTGTGGCCTGTTCTGAGTCGAAAGATTATGTATTGTTGTTTTCGTGTTAAATTGTAATAGCCGTCGTCTTTAATGTAGTGAGGGTGTGTGACATACCACATTTGCGTTTGTTTGTTTTTAATTATTCTTTTTATTTCTTTTGGGAGTAGCGAAATTTCCGGTTGTGGTTTCTTTCCCCCAATTTTTGCCAGCTGGTCTGCGATCTCGTTACCCTGGATCTGGCAGTGGCCCGGGATCCACTGCAGCACAATTCTGCTGCAGGTATTTTTTAACCTCTCTAGTGCTGTCATAAGTGTTTGAATATAGGACTCCGGATTTTGTAGGGATTGCAGGACTGATTTGGCATCTGTAAGAAATACAATCTGACTATTCGGTGATTCAGGGTGTTCTGACAGGAGGTTTGCTGCGTGTTCTAAAGCTTCTTTTTCTGCCCTAAAATTGTCGGATAGGCTGCCTGTGGCTATTGCCTTTTCCAGGCTTTCTCCGCTTGGCCATTCAATAAGGATGCCAGCCCCGCCGTTTTTTTGTGGCATCTTCAGCTGAGCCATCTGTGAAAACTCTAATCCAGGTGTTGCTGGGGTACTGATCCTTAATGTGTTTATTTGTTATTTTCTTAAGTTCTTCTAGATCATAGTCAGATTTTTTTCCTATGGTGTCTATTGAGTCAATAATGGTTAAGTGACAGTGGGAGTTCCAAGGCGGGGAGAGGTTTTGAGTTTTTATTGCTTCAGGAATGATATTTTCGATTTCATATTTCTTTTTCAGATTCTTTGCTTCTTTGATGAAACTTGTTCTTTGTAGTCTGGTTGATGGACTGGGTTTCTGGAGTTTTTGTTTTAGGTTATGGTTTTCCAGTGCCTCTAGCTTTGTGTATTGAGTGAGGATTTTTGATTCTCTTCTTTCTTCTATTGAGCTAAGAGCGGCTATTTCCTCCATAGCTTTTATGGGTGTTGTTTTCATGGCTCCTGTCATTATTCTCAATCCAATGTTCTGAACTTTGTCAATTTTGCTAATATTTGTTTTTGCTGCTGAGCCCCAAGCCGAAGCACCATATTCTAACGTAGGTCTCACATAGCTGGTGTAGGTTTTTTCAGGATGTGGTGATTTGCTCCCCAGTCTGTTCCTGCCAGTTTCCTCATTTGATTAAGTCTTTTGATCCCATTACTTTGTGTGTTTTCTATTTGTTTTCTCCAGGTAAGTCGAGTGTCAAAAGTGACTCCTAGGTATTTGGGGTGGTCATTTTTTTCTAGCTCTTGGTTTTCTAGGGTAAGTTTCATTTTTTGATGTTTAGTTGATAAGGTGAAGATTGAATAAGTTGTTTTCTTGGTATTGATGGATAAGCCCCAGTTTTTGGTCCATTTGCCGAGCTTGTCAAGTGTTTCTTGAAGACGAAATTTTGAGGTACCAATATATTCCTCTGTGCTGATTAGTGAAAGGTCGTCTGCAAACATGCTTTTTTTTACTCTCCTTGGGATGTTTTCATTTAAGTCATTTATATAAATGAGGAAGAGAGTAGGAGACAAGACTCCTCCTTGAGGGACTCCATTTTTTATAGTTACTGTGTGACTTCTTTTTCCTTGCATAGAGACTGATGCTTTTCGGTTGCTTAGGTAACCTTTTATCCAGTTTAGCATGTTATGAGATACTTGATGGTTTATTAGCTTTAGAATTAAGCCTTGCTCCCAAACCTTGTCAAAGGCTTTTTCAAAGTCGACCCACACTATTGAGGTTGGTTTTTTTTCTTGAAAGCCATCTTCTATTTCCTGAGAAATGAAGGTGATTTGGTCTTCAGTAGATCTGCACTTCCTGAAGCCTGCCTGTTTGTCTGCTAGTAGATTGTTCGATTCTAGAAACCAGGTCAGTCTGTTGTTTACTACTCTTTCCATCAGTTTACAAACGCAGCTTGTTAAACTTATTGGGCGATAGCTATCGACTTTGTTCCTGGGTTTTCCTATTTTTAGAACAGGTATCATGATTGCTTTTTTCCAAATATTTGGGATTTTCCCAGATTTCCAGCTTGCATTAAATATTTGGAGCAGTTTTTTCTTAGCATTGGGGCCCAGGTGCATGAGCATATCATTTGAGATTTTGTCGGGGCCTGGAGCTTGCTTAAGTTTGAGGAGCTTCATTGCTTCTCCGAGCTCCTTCTTGCTAATTCGAGCTACCATTCCAGTGGAGGAGGGGGGAGAGACTTTCTGTAGTTTTTCTTTAACTTCAGTTTGATTTTTAACCTCTTCTACTCTTTGGTGGCTGATATTTATTTGTCCCACTTTGCTGAAGTGGGTTATAAATTCTTTTGCTGCATCCTTTTCTGTTTTGATCGTGTTTTCAATGTCGATGACTATGGGAGTAGCTCTGTTTTCTTCTTGGTTTAGCCTTTTTGCAATACTCCATAGTTTATGACCATCTCTATCTACATTGAGGTGTTCTGTTTTTTCTTGCCAGCTTTTCCTCAATGCAGTTAGATACTTTTTTCTAAAAACTGCGTTTGCTGATTTTAATTTTATGTTATTTTCTACAGTGGGATTTTCTTCAACAATGTTTCTAGCATCAATTGTCTCGTCATGGACAGAGCCGGCGTTAGGAATACGCGGGGCCTAGTGCCAACCATCAGCGCGGGGCCTGCTTTTTTCCATTACATAATAGCATATATATATATATATATATATATATATATATATATATATATATATATATATATATGTTATACATGCACACATAATAAAAGCTAAATATTTTGGAGTCTATAAGCTAATGCCAAACTTCTCACTTTAATAACAGATGTTTACCTTTCTCACGTTTTACCAAATGTTCTTAGTTTGTTCTTTTTGCTAAGATATTAAATCACTTTTGGCAGTTATGAAATCCATACCACACACTCAAGGAAATTCAATGACATGCCGAAAAATTAGGACAAATTTGTTTAAAATGTTTGTTAATGACCAATAGTTAATATAAAAGTCAAGCGTTTTAGGTGTATTTAAAGAAGAGACTGTACTGTTAGTAACTTAGTAAGAGCAGAATTTTAGACAAATTATAATAATAACAAAACAAGAGTAATTAAAGTTAAAACAAATAGAAAAAACGATAGCTTTTGGACTTAGCTCGAATCATGAATTAACACTGGTTACGAATCTTGAAAACCCACTCTATGTTTATGGATATCCAAAAGAAATGATTCTCAAATGTAGGGTGGAGCTTTGGGGTGGGTGGCAGTTAAATCTATGCCTTGGGTTGCCAAACCCTAAAAAAAAAAATCTCTAAATTCGAGTGCTACGTTACTGAATCTCTGACCGCAGAAGGTTTGTGTTTATAGAGCGTCCACGTATTACATTACAGGCCATGATCGCGGTCTCACAAGAGAACAGAGTTTCTTCCAGGCATCTCCCCCCTCCCACACACTTCAAAAATTTGTTTGGAATTCATACAATATTTTAAAACCAAAATCATTATTGTCTTAACTATTGTAAAGGATATCCTGCAGTTTAAAAAGTGTGCGTGTATTAATGACTACCATATCACAGCCCTTCAACGATGCCCATTCCTCCAAAAACGTTGTGCGACGCGGACAATTCGATGACTTTATTATGTCCGCACCATTGGAAACGATTGTATATAACAATTTGAATGAATTCGGTAAATTTATAATTCTGTTGGGAACGGATGAATCTTTAAGATGACACAACATAACAACAATTTTACTTTCTTCCACAAAAAAAAAAACCGCTCTGTTGGATGTCCCCCTCCCCTGATGTGGATCCCCCACCCAGCCCCTATGCCCTTCTCCCACCCCCTATGCCAGCCACTGAATGTTAATTTTGTTATACCAAGACAAGTAGGCCTACATATACGACAACTACAACAAGAAAGTCACGACTAGCGTTCACTAACTGTCTATTACAAGCATCCCGTCTGTTCACTACAAAACGTCTTCATCTGGCCGCATACAATAGGGTATCTGATAACGTGTTTTCCAAATTTTCCTCCCTGCTCTGGTCGGGCGCTAATTCGAGTCCACCCATCTCCAGTCACTTCAGGTCAAATGCGAGGCGACGTACCCTTCACACAGGGAGGTGTGTGACACTATAATTTACGGCCTGTCCCAGTTTAGGTTGGTGATAACTCACTAGCATCAACAGGGGCCTCAGTTATAACAATCAACAACGTCGGCATTCGACCATTTCGTTTTTCCCAAGTGAATTCAGCAAAAATTATATCAGTTTACAAACTAATTCAGATAAAAATAACAGTACTGAAGGGCGGGGCCCCTTCAGGCGCGGGGCCTGGGGCGTCCGCCCCGTTCGCCACCCCCAAATGCCGGCTCTGGTCATGGAGTATCTGGAGGTCTGGAGTCCAGTTTGGGATATAATTTTTCCTTGCTCCCCTTGGAATAGATTTTTTGGCTGCTAACAGAACTGCTTTTGAGAAGGCTGTGTATGACTTGTTCACCTGTTTGGTTTTACAGTTGATTGGTCTTGTGTAGGAGTCTGTGAGGGAAGAGAAGAGCTCCCAATTAGCTTTTTTGTAGTTCCATCTAGGGCGGGGGTAGGCTTCAATTGGCCTGTTTGATGTTTCTATCTGGATCAGGATTGGTCGGTGGTCGCTAGTGGCTAGTTGATCTGCAACTTCTCTTTAGCATTTTTTGGATATGCCATTAGTAGCAAAAGCTAGGTCGGGGGTAGACGTGGTTAACCAAGACCTTGAGTAAAAAGTTGGTTTGTCATCAGGTTTATTTAGAAGGATGAGCCTATTTTCTGCTTGCCATATTTTCTGCCAGTCCAAGTTATAATCAGCAAATGTTTTTTTTTAGTAATTGAATATATCCTCTCCGGTAACAGTGCAATACATGCTATGTAAGGAAGCCAGCTCTTGTGTTATGTTCATGTCTTCTTCCACACCTCTAATGAACACAAGCAGTTGTGAAGTGAAACAGCTGTCCAGCGACTCATCCATTGCAATTGAAGAATGGTGAAACTTGCTTGCATTTTTCGCTATTTGAGTCACAATGTTTTCACCGATTTCTGCATCATGGCTGGCAATTGTTTTGAATTTTTGGGGTATAGTTCCTCAGCCACCTCCAACAATCATTTTTTCCGTGAACAAAATGATCTCCGCGGGCCGGATGAGAAGACCTCGCGGGCCACATCCGGCCTGCAGGCCGTAGCTTGGAGCCCCCTGATCTAGAGATCTGGATCTTCAGGTCTAGTAATGTGGGATTGGGAGAGAGTGAATTAATGAATGAATATGTCATTAAATATGAGTATACAGAGGCCTAGTATATTTTCGTATATTTTGATAAAATATCATAGATAATTGAATAATACTAATAGATCAACGTTTATGGTTAAATCAATTTAAAATAATATCCTGAAATTAATAATTATTAACCCTACTGTTCGAGAGAGTAAATAATTTGATTAATTAATTTGCTATATGACAGATTCTCACTCAGTGATACGGTGGGTTGGTTTTTAAGGAGTGTTTTTTTTATTACCGTTCAGCAGAAATGTGTCATCTGCTAGATTTTTTCTTATTCAAATACAGGCAAAATGGGCAGGCTTAGTTAGCTGTTGTTTAAATCAAGTTATTTTTTGAAGGTTTTGTTTTTATCCTGCATGATTTTTAAAATATTAATGACTTTTTTAGGAAGACGCAATATATAATTTGCTATAGTTTACAGTATTTTTGAGTAAGTTAACAACAATATTAAATTAATATTAATGCGTTTTGCTTACTTTTATTATATTCTGCTCGTTATTCTCAGTGAGTAGACAAAAAATGAAAAATGTACAAATGGTAAGCTTGCATCCTACACTTATCGTCCATTGTTAAAATTAGATCAGTATCATTGAATAATAAGCAGAAATAACTATTATTAGTATATATTTCTGAAATTACCATCAATTATAATAACTAATAGTAACTAATATTTGTTTTATTGGGTTTTTTTTATATCTTCCACTAAAAAACTGTATTGCTTATTTCTTAGCCAAAAAGTTGCATGTGTTGTTTTGTTTTTTGGCCATAGAACTGAACTGTAGAGCATCATTTATGGTCTTGCGTTGATGAAGAATAAGCATGACTAGAGTATTTTCTCATTCTTCCCTGTGTTCACCCTATTCCGGTCTTACAGAAAAAATAAAACCATCACTGCTAGTGTCATAGGTTATTTCCATTGTGTGGAGAGATTTGGTGTTGGCAAACTTACTTAAGTTTATCATTTGTTTAAAAAGTTAATCAACAATAATTATAACAATACTAAGAAAGAATGCCAAAACAATTTAATTTTTTCATTTATTAGAGTAAACTTTACCAGTTTTGAAATTGTGTCAAATGTGCAACTAGAAATGAAGCTCTACTCAAACAAGTAAAGTGTTGTGTACACATTGCGCTTAAACAATACATAATTTCATTAGTCTAATTTTAAAGATAAAAAAGAAGATTTCTTAAAACATTCCGCGGATGCAAAATGCAGTGAATTTTAGACTGTGATAGATAAGTTTAATCTTATTTTATCACTCAAAAAATTGTGCTAAATTCTTGGATGTAAAGAAGTTGGAACAGTCAACGACAAAATTACTTTTTCTAGCGTGATGCAAAAAAAATTATTTTAAAAATAAATTAAATTCTAATGCAGTTGTTATTTCTTTTTTATTTACAGGGTTGTCTTTTTTATTTTGTTCCAAATGGATGAAGAAGAAATGGTTGGTGATATTGACTTTGACCTGTCAGAATGGATGATTGTTGATGATGATGATGGCTGTGACTCGGATGAACCTGAAGGTGAGAGTTTAAAACCTGAAGAAGCTGCTTCAAAGTCTGCACCGCCCGCCAGCGACTCTGATGCTAAACAAAATCAAAGTAATAAAGAACCACCAACAAGTAAAGCTAGCTTACAGCAAGCATCTGCTACTGAAAAGGAAGCAAAATTGAGTAAAGACCCATCTCCTACTGAAAAGGAAGCAAAATTGAGTAAAGACCCATCTCCTACTGAAAAGGAAGCAAAATTGAGTAAAGACCCATCTCCTACTGAAAAGGAAGCAAAATTGAGTAAAGACCCATCTCCTTCTGAAAAGGAAGCAAAATTGAGTAAAGACCCAACTCCTTCTGAAAAGGAAGCAAAATTGAGTAAAGACAATGTCAAAATCAATGCTGCCAAAGCAAAGCCTCCAGCGCAATCCCCATCTTCCAAAGTTTCATCCTTACAATCAAACAGAGACTCTAGTTTAAGAAATTCTTCTCCCAGAGTGTTGGCTACTCCAGGACAGACAAAGTCTTCAAAACACAATAACCCAGTTAAAGGTGCTGGTGGTTCTGTGGTTGAGAAAAATGTTTCAGACATCGGAATGGCCATTTCTAAATCAGAAACAAAGCCAACTACAAGACAAGCAACTAGCAAGAGCTCAAAAGTTTTGAAACCTGTTGATAATAAAAATGCAGCAACTGTAAAACCAGTTGATAGCAAGAATGCATCAACTGTTGTGAAACCAGTTGATAGCAAGGATTCATCAACTGCTGTAAAACCAGTTGATAGCAAGGATTCATCAACTGTTGTAAAACCAGTTGATAGCAAGGATTCATCAACTGTTGTAAAACCAGTTGATAGCAAGGATTCATCAACTGTTGTAAAACCAGTTGACAGCAAGGATTCATCAACTGTTGTAAAACCAGTTGATAGCAAGGATTCATCAACTTTTGATAATAAAAATGCATCAACTGTAAAACCAGTTGATAGCAAGGATTCATCAACTGTTGTAAAACTAGTTGATAGCAAGGATTCACCAACTGTTGTAAAACCATTTGATAGCAAGGATTCACCAACTGTTGTAAAACCAGTTGAAAACAAGGATTCATCAACTGTTGTAAAACCAGTTGATAGCAAGGATTCATCAACAGTTGTAAAACCTGTTGATAATAAAAATGCATCAACTGTAAAACCAGTTGATAGCAAGAATTCATCAACTGTAAAACCAGTTGAAAGCAAGAATTCATCAACTGTTGTAAAACCAGTTGACAGCAAGAATTCATCAACTGTTGTAAAACCAGTTGATAGCAAAGATTCACCAACTGTTGCAAAACCAGTTGATAGCAAGAATTTATCAACTGCTTTAAAACAAGATGATAATAAAAATTCTCCAAAAAATTGTGCACCTGTGAAAACTTCATCAACTCCTGATAGAAAAAGTTCCTCTAAAACTATTGAAAAGAAAGTAACTTCAGACACAAGTACACCAAATAGGCCATCAAATATTGACAAACGTTCTACTAACTCAGTTACCAAATCAACTTCATCTGAAATCATCACGAATAAGAAAACCAGTCAATCATCATCTAAAGCAAGTGGTAACGCCACTGAAAAAAAGTCCCCTGAAATAAAAACAGCTGCAGTTTCATGTTCAACACCAGTTGTCAAAAGTAACAACAGAGACACTGTTAAACTAACGGAACCCACCACTGAAAAAAAGGCACCTGGAATCAAATCCCCTGTTGACCAGGTTAAAAAACCTGACCAGAAGTCATGCAAAGCCTTAGAAAAAAATTTAGAAGAGAAGACCCCAGTGAAAAAATCACCAACTCCCATTACTTCCTTGAAGACCAGTCTCCCAGTTCAGAGGTCAACTGTTGCCATGTTGACCACAGCTAATGATAAAACTGACAAAGCTGTGAGTGCAAATAAAGAGCCTGAAATAAAAACACCCTCAAAAGATGCATCCCCTATTGTTCATACAACGGATAAACTAGCAGATAAAACTTGTAAAGATAAGACTGAAAGTCCAACGGCAAGCAGTGTCCAGGGCGGGTTAAAAACAACTGGCACATTGCAGGTTGTACCAGAACCTGGAGCTGGAAAAGTTTCTACCACTCCCAGCATCAAACTTGAAGTTGATTTGAATTCAAGCTCTAAAAATGATACCTCCCCAGCACTATCATCAAACACACTCAATGTTCCTAAGACTGAAATAACTCAGTTTGTTGATAAGACAGAACACGTTAAATCTGATGATCCTTCTACCAACCTGGAGAATGCTTTATTGAAAAGTTCACCTTCAAAGGATGGAGATGCTAATAAAATCTTTGAAGCCCCACACAAAAAATCAGCATCGCCGGCCAAACAGCTCGATGATGCAGAAAGTCTAGCATTTATAATGGGGTCTGTGGATAAGATGGATAATGAGCCCAGCGATGATGTTCCTATTGACATTGACCTGGTGACAGATGCCGCATCCTACAAGCCACCCACGGCTACAGATGTCCAGTCCAAAGATACCATGTCAGGCAAAAGGCCTTTATGCAGTGATGATGAACCCTCTTGTAAAAAGATCAAATTAGAACGGTCGGCTATTACAGCTGCTGCCAAAAGTAAATCCCCAAAGATGGATGAAACACCTTTTAAAAGTAAATCCCCAAAATTGGATAAACCAGAAAAACCAACACCAACAGCCCCCAGTAGTGTGGCAGATTCATCAACCTCTGCGCCAGCAAACAAAACAAATAAAAGAATCGTCAGAAGGTTTCATAGATCTATCCAAACCCTGCCCAAAGAGATCCAGAACAAACTGATTCACTGCCAGATTAAAATCCCTGCGCTGGACTGCCCACCAAAGACAATCAGCCAGGCAGGTGTACAAGCCGACCCAGTGGAGCCTAGTAAATGGACAGATAAAGTGCGCTACCACGCCAAACTTCCTGAAATAGTTCCGGAAAATGTTTTTTTAGCTGTTTCTGATTTTGATGTCAATAAGCCTCGGCAACAGGATTATTTTCCAGGTTAGTTTTTTTAGCATTACTAGTGAACAACTGTGTGTGTGAAAACTGAATGGTAAAATCTTTAGATTTTCAATTTCTTTATTTAAAGCTAAATTTTAAAAACATCATCTATCTATGTTGTTCGACAGCTTATGAAGAATGTTTTCTATGGTTTCTGAATCATGCCACGATATTCCCCACTCTTTCTAATTGTAAACTTTAATGAAGAACCTGTTCATGTCCTTCTATTTTAATTTTTTACAAAGAATTTTGTATTAAGGACTGGTATTAAATTATTAATTATGATCTTCACTTAAAAAAAGGTTAGAAAACAAAACTATAATATTGTTTACATTATTAAAGAGACATTAATTGCGAAAACGCTACATAAAAAATGTTCTTTTTTTCCCTCCAGGGAAATACAGCTATGGAATATGTTTAGGACAAATTTCAACTGCCGACCTGTTTAAGTACTCTTTGAAAGAAGGTGTTTTCCCTAAGTGTGACTCCTACAACATTTACTTTCAGGGACTCGATGTTGGGTAAATATTGATCATGATTTTTTTTTACTCTTATTTACAATATACTTAATAAACTTTGCTTAAGGGCATGAGCGGGTGATGAGAACCAAATTAGCAAAAAAAAAATCCAAGATGGCCACCATCACCATAGCGTCGGCAAGAAATTTTCTGCCATTTATTTAAATTTTTAGACTTAACTATTTTAGTTATAACTATATGCTAAATATTATAGCATTTGGCTCGGAAATAAGCATTATGGCTAATTTGGTTTTTATCACCCGCCCATGCCCTTAAAAGCATGAATAAGGTTGGCTTCTATTAAAATTGATTTATTTTTCATGCAGTATCCTAGAGTTGTTCTTTGGTAACAAAGAAAAATTTCTAGCAATGGTGACTCATCTACGGAAAATAAAACTGGGCCTGCGTTACCTGGTCGTGACGTTCTCCTACAACCTGGAAGAGAATGAAATGGATCCACTTCAAAAGCTGACACATATTAAAGGTATTGTAAGCATTTATTTTGGTCTGGTCCCACAGCTGTTGACATGAAAAATGTGTAGGTTTTATAGCTGTAGTTATTTATGTAATGACTTGCTATACCAAGTTATTCATTCAAATTATAGCAACACTCAGCAATCTTGCCATTTTCACTAAATTCCCAACTCTGCCTAACAGAATAGTTTATATTTAGTAAAACTTTTTTGATAGCTTCATAAATTTGTGATATTAGTTTATTTAAGGTTTGCAGTTAGATGGTTTTATGTTGATATTCCACTTGTAGCTGCTATGAAAAGATTTTAATATTTTGTTACTTTAACATTTAAATGTAAATCAACTTTGCTATGTAAAACTCTGTTTTAAAGTATATAAACAAAGTGTTGTTTTTATTTTTTGGGACCCATGTTCTTTTTATCTCCTTTACATTGTTTGGCTAATTGAACCAGAGTCCCTTTTGTTAATGATATTTAAATCTTTGATTGATAGTCTTAAATAATTAACAATTTCTTAGGGTTAGGGTAAAGGTTAGGCTACAGCCAGATCAGGCTAGCCATTTTGTTTGAAAAGACTCTTGTCCAAATCACCACATAACTACATCACATTGTAATGAGCTGTTTCTTCTGTTTCAGCAACTGTCCTGGTTGATCAGAATTTTTCATCTACCAGTTACCTTCAGTTCTCTAAAAGTAAGTGCTTTAACTAAGGCTGCCCTGTGATGGTCTAATGTATTAGAGCCAAAACAATTATGTTGTTGTATTCAGTGTATTGTGGCCAGTTGCCCTATTAGCCTAGAAGGTAAAGTTTTATGGTATTAGATTTTTTTTTTTTAAGTTTAAATTGGCTCTCAGCAAATATTGTGGTACACCATTTTTAAATTTTTATAGAAGTTTATCCCAAACAAAACAATATAATTTTTTTTGTTTTATATAAAACAAGTCATATACATCAGTTTGAGAAACTAGGTCAATTAAGAGTTTGAATGCTCCTTTGTAAACAACTTTGCAGTTGTGCATCTATATATTAGTTGTTGGTTAAGGTCTTGTATATGTGAAAGACTTGAACCAAAACAAATTGTAGTCAATTTATGTTCTGTTTGTATGAAGTCTCTTATAACAAAATGCAATGAAAGGTTTTTGATGTGTGTCATACAAGGCGTGGCTGATTAGTTGATCACTACCTTTTGTGTCCTGTTGATGAGCTACAGCTACTCTATTTCAAGTCTTCATGAGGAGGTGACCAGTATACCAGTAGACCTTTTCTAGTTTGAACCAGTACCATCCAAGGCTTTCAGATGAGTAGACTTTGCCATACAAGTCTGGACGAATTGACCAGTGCCCTACAAGTCTGGACAAGTTGACCAGTGCCCTACAAGTCTTGACAAGTTGACCAGTGCCCTACAAGTCTGGACAAGTTGACCAGTGCCCGACAAGTTGACCAGTGCCCTACAAGTTGACCAGTGCCCTACAAGTCTGGACAAGTTGACCAGTGCCCTACAAGTCTTGACACGTTGACCAGTGCCCTACAAGTCTTGACAAGTTGACCAGCGCCCTACAAGTCTGGACAAGTTGACCAGTGCCCTACAAGTCTTGACAAGTTGACCAGTGCCCTACAAGTCTTGAAGAATTGACCAGTGCCCTACAAGTCTTGACAAGTTGACTAGTGCCCTACAAGTCTTAACAAGTTGACCAGTGCCCTACAAGTCTTGAAGACTTGACCAGCCTCTATAGATTTAAACAGATACCTTTCTACTCTATGCTGCTACCAACCCATTACAATTTCACTGCTTGTGTACAAAATCTCTTGCGTTTGGTGTGTGAGTGTGATTGTATGCAACACTAGTTATTATAATATTTCTCTGAATAGCACATCATTTCATGAAAATTGTGTGTTGGCCAGTGAAATACTAAACCCTCTTTAGAGTTGTATATTTCAGGGCCATGTCTTGTTACTGATCACTGGTCAGTAGATAAACTTCAGTGTAGCTGCACTAATGCTGCCATCGTGTTATCACTGCCTGCGTTGTCAGTGTTAACTTGGTAGCAGCGCAGGCTACATGTGTCAAGCGGTGCGGGATACTAGTCTCATCTGAGTCTTTAAATAGCTCAAACATCAAATCAAAACCACTGTTGTCAGTTGGAAAACTACGTTGGAAAGTCATCACTCTTGTATTAAAAAGATACCTGGATGCTAATGTGGCTGGGTCTGTGCTGCAGCTGTTGTTGAAGTCTGCGAAATGTCCGGATGATCCTCATATGCTCCACTCTTTGACAGCCGTTCGTGGACAAGTCATTCTTCTATTGTGTCAACTTCAGGCGTGATTCAGCTGTAGTTTGTCGTGTGACTCCCTGCAGCCTTGATGGATGTCAGAGGAAGGTTGTGTATAGATTAGATTCACAAGATGTAACCAGAAGGCATTGTCAGCAGATCCTCCACAACACAAGATTAAGGCTGGACCAAGTCGTCTGATGTCATGCAGTGACTTCAAGCCATTAGAAATGATAACGCTCATCCATATTAGGATATAATCATTACACAGGTCATCTGTGCTTTGATATATCTACTGTCGTCCGTTCATAGCAGTGTACCAGGTTATCTGTACGTAGCTTGACGCCAAGTCATCTGTTCTTAGCTGATAATCAAGTCATCAAAATCTACATAGCTGTGAACCAAGTCATCTATACATAGCTGCGCCTAAGTCATCTATACATAGCTGCGCCTAAGTCATCTGTACATAGCTGCAAACCAAGTCATCTATACATAGCTGCGCCTAAGTCATCTATACATAGCTGCGCCTAAGTCATCTGTACATAGCTGTAAACCAAGTCATCTATACATAGCTGCGCCTAAGTCATCTATACATAGCTGCGCCTAAGTCATCTTTACATAGCTGTAAACCAAGTCATCTATACATAGCTGCGCCTAAGTCATCTCTACATAGCTGTAAACCAAGTCATCTATACATAGCTGTCATCTATCTGTATGCAGCTTGGCGCCAAGTATTATGTGCAAAGTACACAGTCATTGAAAATCTCAACAATAAATTCACCCAGTCATCAATACATAGCAGTATTAATCCCAACTCTAGCTGACCAAGCTACCTGTGAATGTGACCACTAGTCTGTGTCTGCCTTGATGTTTACCATTTCAGTCAGAAATAAAAGACACTACATCACACCAGTGGTCAGCTGCAAATGGTACCAGCAAGTCTTTACAAGTTGATACATCATTGTATAGCCATGTTATGCTTGAATTAGTCTGCTGATCAAGTCAACTGTACCAGCATATCTTGTCATCACAGCTTCACTGAACAACCATGTTATCTGCAATTTATCTGCAAATGTGTTACCTACAAATCATCTGTTACCTTCAAAGTCAAATCTCTCCTGTAAATCAAGTCATCTATTACCTGCAGATCAAGTCATGTATTATGAGATCAAGAGATATATATTACAGCTAATTTCACCAGAAGTCATCAGTTCCACCCAAGTAGAGATCAGCCCTACCACTAGATCTAGCCAGAAGTGTCCCACAATACACCACCTCTGATAAAATCCAACATCCATTGGTAGAGTCATCCCACTGAGTAGTTTGCAGTTATAGCTACCTTGTACATTAGGAAATAGTGTTGACGATTTTTTTCAAAATCTAATTAGTCAGTGGCTTTCATAGCTTGAATTAGTATTCAGAGGTCTTTCAATTAAATGGTTCAGCAATTTTTTGTGCTTTATATTTTTACTTCTAGTTCTTGTGTAAGTGTTCTATGTTTCTCTTTGCACAGGTATGTCCAAGGCTTCTAGTTTTTATAAAGCTATTGATATCTATACATTCTTCTGCACAGAAATGTCTCCCTTGATATTTTGCCTCTAGTTTCTGCAAATTGATATCTATACTTTTTATTTGCACTGATATGTCTAAGGCTTGTCCTTTGATATTTTACATCTAGTTTCTATAAAGCTAATATCTACAGTTTCTGTTTGCACTGACATATCTAAGATTAGTCCCTTTCTTATTATACTTCAAGTTTCTACAAAACAGTTGATACATGTTGCTTTGTCTTACTTATTGGAAGTAGTTTAAGATTATAGAGTTCACACAATTTCAAATTTCTCACAAGTAAAGTTAGCCAGAGTATTTTACCAGAAAAGAATAGATTTGCAGGTTGCTGCACTACCAGATCTATTAAAGTCATACACTGACCTTAAAACTAATTCTGGTTAAATTCTTTGGCTATCTTCGCTATGTGCTCTACAATGTTCATTCAGTAGGTGTGTGCCTTTGTTTCCTCCACCTAAGTTAGGCTGAAGTCTAGTTAGATCCAATATCAGTTGGGCATTTAGTTTATTCAGTGGTAAGTTGAAAGTTCCAGCCAGCTTACAAGTGATCCATGTACAGTTTCATCTGGAGGGTGTGTTGCCAGTCGTGAATATCATCAGCTCAGCTGGTCTGCGGATCAACACAGATAACATGGTTGTTCCGTCCTGCTTCAACGTCGGAGTGGAAAACTTCAGAATTTTATGTCTGTGAAAGGTCATTTCTTAACGAGAAATTCACCATGGCCTCAGACAACAGGAAAGTTCTGGAAGTTTCCAGCAAGGAAATTCTATATTGGCTGTCATTTTTTCAGCACCCACCTGGAATGCCCCCACAAAAATAGACAAAACAATGTTTCTGCATAATTTACCCGGGGGAGTCCCCATTGAATTTTTCAAGATCATATTACCTGATGCCCTCATCATTGAACCACTTGATCGCACCTCAAAGTTTACCCAAGAGGACAGGTAGGTTCAGCTGTTTAAATTTTTTTCTTAAGAATTTTACAGGCCTTTCTCTAGAATAGTCCTATGTCAGTACAAAAGTTTCTGGTTACTGGTACAGCCTTAGCTCTTGAGTACAAGTGCACCCTTACATTGATATTTGGTGTCAATGTGATGTATTTTCAACTATCATTCTCTGCTTAGCATAATACAATTTTATGTTGGATAACTATTAAGTTAAATACAGCTTTGAATCGATATATTTGAACAGACTTAGTTGTTTTGATATATTTATGTCATGAGGTTACAGTTACAATAATTTGGAACCACCTAAATTTTAAGGTGGAAAACTTGCTTAATTAATATTAGATAATATGCTAATACAGCTTTAGAAAAGAATGGTCTCTAACAAGAAGATTAGATATCACAGGGCTGCAGTGGAGAAGCAATGTTTAGTCTGTGTTAAGTACTTGTGTTTAAAGTATTCCATATTGGACACAACAGTTTGACTTGAGCATAATGTGAATCCAAGTTGCCTCAAGAGATGGCCAACACCAGGTGGTCCCAAGAGGTGGCCAACACCAGGTGGTCCCAAGAGATGGCCAACACCAGGTGGCCTCAAGAGATGGCCAACACCAGGTGGTCCCAAGAGATGGCCAACACCAGGTGGTCCCAAGAGATGGCCAACACCAGGTGGTCCCAAGAGATGGCCAACACCAGGTGGCCTCAAGAGATGGCCAACACCAGGTGGCCTCAAGAGATGGCCAACACCAGGTGGTCCCAAGAGATGGCCAACACCAGGTGGTCCCAAGAGATGGCCAACACCATGTGGCCTCAAGAGATGGCCAACACCAGGTGGTCCCAAGAGATGGCCAACACCAGGTGGTCCCAAGAGATGGCCAACACCAGGTGGCCTCAAGAGATGGCCAACACCAGGTGGCCTCAAGAGATGGCCAACACCAGGTGGTCCCAAGAGATGGCCAACACCAGGTGGCCTCAAGAGATGGCCAACACCAGGTGGCCTCAAGAGATGGCCAACACCAGGTGGTCCCAAGAGATGGCCAACACCAGGTGGCCTCAAGAGATGGCCAACACCAGGTGGTCCCAAGAGATGGCCAACACCAGGTGGTCCCAAGAGATGGCCAATACCAGGTGGTTTCAAGAGATGGCCAACACCAGGTGGCCTCAAGAAATGGCCAATACCAGGTGGTTTCAAGAGATGGCCAACATTAAGTGGTCCCAAGAGATGGCCAATCCAAGTGGCCTCAAGAGATAATTAAGTAGCCTCTAGAGATGGCCAACACCAACCTACCTACGTTCTTTTCTTTAGAAATAATATATATAAAGAAAAAGGCTGACATGAAACATATTATTTAATCATGGTACTAAAGAGACTGAAATTGTCTTATGAAGTGTTTGATTCTGATGACATGCATGCCACCAGCTAGAGGGTTAGCAGGTTTGGTACTATTTCCCAATTGATTATAATTTACTAAGTAAAAAAAAATTAATTGTATTTTGTATCAACAACTGGAATAATATAACCTTTTCATGCTATTAAGAATGATCCACGTATATTTAGAGTAAAAATTGTGTTTTTTTGTTCACTACATGTTTAGATAATCTAAATGTTAATCTGGGGGAGATAATTGTTGCTTTTCTACATGAGCAGCTAATTTTAGACATGATATTTTATGAACACATCAATATTACCTTTACACTCTCTTGAAATTAAAAAAAGTTTTCTTTTTTTGCCTTAATATAATGAGGACATGGGAGAAAAAAAATTATTGTTATTATTGCTTTGTCATTTGCTGATTTCTTATTTCCTTTATTTCTTGATTCTAGTTTTTACAAAAAAGTTGTGGCTTATTGCTTTAATCACACTCTGCTCTAGATTTTATAGTCCTCCTGTTGAACATTACTGACTCTCTTCTGTAGTTTAGGAAAAATACACTGTAGTTTGCCAAAGGTACCAAGCTAACACAGATAGTTGTTGAATGTGTGTGGGATATATCATTGTGAAACTGTTTAACTTTTTCTATTGCTTGTACCAGGCACATAACAAAGTGGTTGAGTTTATTGAATACGAAATTACCCTAGCTTGTTATGTATTTGTAATATTTGTATTTCATTTATTAAAAAAGGGTGTTATCTTATATCAGACCAGTTTAAAACATATTGTGCATTTTGATGTTCAGTACATTTATTTCTTATAAATGTGTTGACTATCAGCCCTTGTTAGATGCAAGCAAATTTTTCCCCAGACTTATTCGAGTGTGTCTGACCAAAAAGTTTGGATGTGACCACCTGTTTGATCTCTTCATGCAGCTGTACGTCAACAACCAGTACGTGATCTGTACAGAGAGCAAATCTGTCACGGCTGCTCAGTCGAGAATAAAAGGTGAGTAGAACTTGACGTCCTAATACCCTTATCTGTTGAGTGTTGAGCTTGATGTCCTGATCCCCTTACCTGTTGAACTTGATGTCCTGATCCCCTTATTGTTGAACTTGATGTCCTGATCCCCTTATTGTTGAACTTGATGTCCTGATCCCCTTATCTATTGAACTTGATACCCTGATCCCCTTATTGTTGAACTTGATACCCTGATCCCCTTATTGTTGAACTTGATACCCTGATCCCCTTATTGTTGAACTTGATGTCCTGATCCCCTTATTTGTTGAACTTGATACCCTGATCCCCTTACCTGTTGAACTTGATACCCTGATCCCCTTATTGTTGAACTTGATGCCCTGATCCCCTTATTTGTTGAACTTGATGTCCTGATCCCCTTACCTGTTGAACTTGATACCCTGATCCCCTTATCTGTTGAGCTTGATTTCCTGATCCCCTTATCTATTGAACTTGATACCCTGATCCCCTTATTGTTGAACTTGATGTCCTGATCCCCTTATTGTTGAACTTGATACCCTGATCCCCTTATTGTTGAACTTGATGTCCTGATCCCCTTATTTGTTGAACTTGATGTCCTGATCCCCTTATTTGTTGAACTTGATACCCTGATCCCCTTACCTGTTGAACTTGATACCCTGATCCCCTTATCTGTTGAGCTTGATTTCCTGATCCCCTTATCTGTTGAACTTGATACCCTGATCCCCTTATTTGTTGAACTTGATGTCCTGATCCCCTTACCTGTTGAACTTGATACCCTGATCCCCTTATCTGTGTAACTTGATGTCCTATCCCCTTATCTGTTGAACTTGATACCCTGATCCCCTTATCTGTGTAACTTGATGTCCTATCCCCTTATCTGTTGAACTTGATACCCTGATCCCCTTACCTGTGTAACGTTTGATCCGCCCTTACAGAAATACAACAGGAAAGAGACAAATGGCAAGCTGAGGAGGACAAGAAATTTCCCAAACCAGATTTCACTGAGAAAATATTAACTTGTGAACCAAGGGACATCAATGTTGACACACCCACTGTATGTCATTGTACCACTAGCCTATCTATAGTATTGTTATTAATGTAATCTTATCGTCCTCTAAATGGGCTTATTATTAAAAGTATGATTTCTTTTGGTCAGTATTTGTGTGCATTTTCTGTTGTAGAAGCCTGAGTGTAGTCCTGATGGCATTCAAGTCATAATGGAGGTAGAGGCTAGTGAAAAAGAGGACAAAATTCTGATGGGTAAGATGTTTTTATTTAGCCTAATTTGACTGATACTTTTGGAATAAGTTGTCTGATACTGTTGGAATAAGTTGCTTGATACTTTTGGAATAAGTTGTCTGATACTGTTGGAATAAGTTGCTTGATACTGTTGGGATAAGTTGACTGATACTGTTTGGATATGTTGACTGATACTGTTGGGATAAGTTGACTGATACTGTTGGGATAAGTTGACTGATATTGTTGGTATAAGTTGCTTATTACTCTTTTAATAAGTTGATGTTTTTGTCTTATCGTGAACCATTTCACTTACATTAAACTAATACTGTTTTAACTTCCCCCGCCCAATCAGGCAAGTTGGTGGAGAAGACAGCTGTACACGCCACAGCTGACCTGTCCGACATATCAGATTCGTCCGACCTGGACCTGGGCAACCCGTCCAAGCCCAACAAAAATTTGTTCAAGTCTGCCAAAAGACCCGCCCACCTCAGGACCTTCTCCAACAAAAACAACACAGAGCCCAACACAAAATACAATAAAATCAAGACCAGTGCTGGCCAGAAAGTCAATAAAACTAAAGCAAATAAAAACAGTGCGGCCGCTGGTGGTAAAGCAAAGAACGCTGGCTCAAAAAGATATGATAAAAAGCCCAAGAAGGCTGAGGGTAGAGAGGACAGTAGAAAGGAGAGGGAGGGCAGCAGCATTTCAACGTCTAAGCTGTTATCAGAACGGTAGGTGATCTGTCTAATTAAACCCTCACCCCATACCAAACAGTAGGTCAACCTTCAACAGCTATCTCATCTGTCTAATTAAACCCTCACCCCATACCAAACAGTAGGTCAACCTTCAACAGTTATCTCATCTGTCTAATTAAACCCTCACCCCATACCAAACAGTAGCTCAACCTTCAACACTTATCTCATCTGTCTAATTAAACCCTCACCACATACCAGTTGGTCAACCTTCAACAGCTAGCTCATTTGTCTAATTGAACCCTCACCACATACCCGTAGGTCAACCTTCAACAGCTATCTCATTTGTCTAATTGAACCCTCACCCCATACCAAACAGTAGGTCAACCTTCAACACTTATCTCATCTGTCTAATTAAACCCTCACCACATACCAGTTGGTCAACCTTCAACAGCTAGCTCATTTGTCTAATTAAACCCTCACCACATACCAGAAAAGTAAGGTACCCTCCAATTAGCCAATTGTTATTAAATCATTGCTATAAAAAAATATCTCTTTTATTAGAAGAACCTAATGAGCATTGTCAGTTTTTGCAGTATGCTGGTTACACATAGTCTCAACTGTCTGCTATATGTGCTGAAACTAAGTTTTGCTTGTTTCTGGATATAGCACCTAAGTGGTCCACCCTGTTCATAAATTATAGTCTGTTTTGATTTTTTTTTTTCATGTTTTTTGGTCATTAGTGTACCAATTCTTATCACAATTTATAGAACTTGTAGCACTGTTTAATCCACCCTATATGTGAATATGGCTAGCAGTATCATTTTGATAGGTGTATGATTAGAGCTTCAAAACAAAATCCTAACTGCAAATATTTTTTATTTGAACAGAAGGAAGAAAGTCCCTTTAAGCATATACAAGTCTAGAGAGCCTGTCAGGATGCGACCACTGGCCAGATTTAATCGGCTCAAGAGCCCTGAGCGCAGGAAATATGAAGACATCAGTGATGAGGAGAGACCCAGCAGGGAGACAACCCTAAAGAGGAGAGAGCTGACCCACAAGAGGGCTGAGGTGTTAAGCGACAGGTACCGCGCTCACTTGAGGGAGAGAGAAAGGAAAAGACAGAGAGAAAAAATGGAGCTGGGTAGAAGGGAGAGAGAGATCCAGGCTGACCACACTGGTCGCTCTAGTCATCACAGAGACATGAGCGCCCATGTTGACACGCCTGCTAGGCTGATCAACGACGGGTACAGAGCACATCACAGCAGGCATGTCAGCGTGGAGTCTGACAAGAGAGCCAGGGAAATCATTCAGCAAGGGAGAAGACTGAGCTTGGAGAAACCGGAGCCCATGAGGCATGTCAGGGAGATGGAAGGCAGGCCGGAGCCCGCTAGAGAGACGGTGCTCACCAAGACGAGCAGGTTGTTTGACACACTGCTGCAGGACTTGACCTCCCACGAGAAGAGGGAGAAGGTCAAGCAGCTGGTGCGTGAAAAACTGACCACTTTTGTCAGGCAGAAGACTGCGGGGGAGGGAAGTCATCACAGGTCCAGGAGTCCCATCCACCACGCTGCCATCACTAGGAGAGGGTAAGGGAACCTCTTCACTTATATTTCACATTGGATTTGTTAGTTTCTGACAATTATATACATTTAATTTGATTAGAATAGAAAAAGTAACATTTGTGTTGAAAAGTTGAAAAAGCACCTCATTTTGAAAGGTAAAAATAGTACTCCTAATTTGTAAAGTATAAATAGCACCTCATGTTATAAAGTTTAGAGGTTATTTGTTAAGTAGAAAATGTACCCTCACAGACCAAATGGTCTTCTGACCTTACCATACAAAGGTATTGTGTGTGGTCAGCACCAAAACCAGCCTTTACTTTCTTTATTCTAGAACCCTTCACAGCTGTTAGACTTGCTAAAGGGACCAGGAACCAAACTCTAGATTACCTGGTTGATTGTTGCACTTGCTACCCATCTTGTAGGGAGGTATTGTAACTCCAGAACTCTGACATTGCTGGAGTACAATGCTGATATTTGATGAATAAATTGTGTGCAAGTCTCATGAGACTGGTGTTGGATATAGTGATTATATTTCACAAATAGTTTAAGACGTATTTTGTCTTTGTTGCCTTACAGCTCAACTAGCCCCAGAAGATCACCGCGGATGTTGAGGCAGGCGTCCCCTTCACCCATGCGAACACTGCGCCGCGTGACCATCGTGAGGAAATCCTTGTCCCCCAAACCCAGGCATGAGCAGAGAGCCAGCCTGTCACCCATCAGTGTGGCTGATGACAGAGACCTACAGGAGGGGATGTGGTTGTCACAGGCCCCACAGGCACATCAAGGTAAAGATCAATCACCTCACAAAGACTTATTGTTTTTTAAATGCCTGGATAAAAATAGTATTCAAGGAGGAATAATTTATATATATATATATATATATATATATATATATATATATATATATATATATATATATATATATATATATATATATATATATATATATATATATATATATATATATATATATATATATATATATATAAATAACAAAATCATGACTTTTAAAATTGTTTTAATTAATTAAAATGTACTGTATGTTGATTGTTATTAAAGAGCATAAATTTTTTAAATTTTACTTTTAGAAAAAAGTCTAAAACAAACTAATCATCAAAAATGTGTATGAAGTTTCTATTTTATTATAATGTTCTACCATTATCAAAATTGTCATCAAAAGTGAAAACATTTTTAATAGCTTAAAATACTTTTTTGATAATATTTCCTTTAGATGCATAACTATATAGAATTCAAACTGAACTTACAAATTGAAAACACCAAATGGTTTTATTTTGCTGTTAACTTATTAAATCACCATCGATAGCGGCAGATTTAGATAGGTTATATATAAAATAACAACAAAATTGTTGTGCACTAATTAATGTTAAGAATAAAAATGTTTGTCTCACTACTTTCACAGAGTCCAGAAAAATTGCAACCATCCCTCCAAATTCTAAGAAAGCCGAAACAAAGGAACCACCATGGTAAAAAAAAATTTCACATTGATTTTTTTCCTTCTATTGGGAAACTGCTATCGTTTTTACAACTATGCTTTATCACTTATGATAGTGTCTTATCGATAATCATTCCAAAAAAATTATTTAACAGCCATAAACTGCTCTCAAATTCAATTTAAATTCCAATTTCAGGAGATCTCAGGTGGTTAGAAAAGTGTCAAGGGACAATGCCCTCCCTAATCTGATTGACAAGAGAGGGTTTCTGGCCAAGATTTTGAACGAAGTCAAGGGAGCTCAAAGATCAAGCTCCCCCAGGCTAAGTGATGTGTCTGACCACTCCACCTTTGTAGACAAGATGAGGAGTGTGTATGGCTCTAACACTGAACCCAAGCAGTTCCAGCAGGTTACTGAAACTGCTGGAAGTATGACCCGGGGGGGTGGTGACCTCGCAGGCACTAGCAGGTCTCAGGTTGAAGCGTACGAGACCATTTCTCCAGGCAGGCAAAACAGTCCCCTGGGTTCACATGAAGGCATGTCGTATAACAGAAGCCAGGAACCTCGTAACAGTAATGCATTTGAGCGTAACACCAATGTATTTGATCGTAACATTTCAACGTCTGATCGTAACACCAATACTTTTGATCGTAACATTTCAACATTTGATCGTAATACCAATACATTTGATCGTAACATTTCAACATTTGATCGTAATACCAATACATTTGATCGTAACATTTCAATGTCTGATCGTAATACCAATACATTTGAACGTAATACAACTTCATTTGATCATAACACGGCTTTAGATCGTAATGCAAACACATTTGATCGTAACACAAACATGTTTGACCGTAATAATACCTCAGCCGATCGTAACACCAGTACCTTTGAGTCCAACTCTACGTCATTTGACCGTAACACCAACCCCTATGACCATAACACAAACACCTTTGACAACAACAGCGCCAATGTGTTTGAACAACGCAGACAGACCATACCCCCACCCATCCCACCTCCCCTCCCCCCACCACTGTTCCCTTCCGCTGGGTCCCAGACGAGGCTGTCCCATTTGGAGCAGCTGGCCACCAGGTTGGCCATGGATATCCAGCGGCAGCAGGAGCCGTTCAATCAACCATCTTGGGGCCAACACTCGGCTCCTGCACAGTTCCAGATGCCTAGAGCCACTCTCCCGCTAACTCAGTTCCCACTGTCAAATTCTTCACTACCCCGCCAGTCCAATGACCCACCATTCCGCATGGGCAACCCCTCCCTGTCTGAGTTATTGGCCAATCAAAGGCCCCCAACGATGGGGGGAAATTTGTCTGGGGCAAGGCTGCCAGGGCCCCAAGATGTTAGAGGCTTTCATTCAGCATGGCCTCGTCAGAATTTTTAAACCCATTTCATATTTTAAATCAAAAACAATACTTTTTAAAAAATGTTATTTTTATTTGTTTATCAAACAAGCATACATTTTTTTGTGAAAAGATAAAAAAATAAATTATCTTTACTGTAAAAAAAGTTGTCGGTTGGATAAATTACTTTACCATGTGTGATTATGTAAGAAAAGCTAATGCATAACTGGTGCGTGTGTATAAACTTATGTGTAGGTTTATCTGAATTGATAGATTCATGCCATTGCTGTAAATCCATTCATTATGGTCATTTTTTTTTTCACCCCAGAAAACAATTTTTTTAAGTATTTTTTTAATTCTAAATAACCATGTTGTTTTATGTACATTATTGAGCTGTTTAATTATGTGAAGATAAAATTGTAAAATTTTCCATCCACTTCTAATAAATAATTGCTGTTTGTTGTACAAGAATAAATCTAGAAGTTGCTTTATTATTAGCAAGAAGCACAAGTTATTTTAAAAACCTGGTTGTTTCTGAATTACTATTTACAGGCTTTAGTCTATATGTAGATTTTAGTATTTGTCATGTAAATATTTTGATAAAAATATGTCTTGTGATCAGATAGATATGTCTTCTTTATGATTATGTGTATTGTGTTGTCGAAACCTCTATTTCTTGCATAAATAAACACTTTAACTGTAGCTTTGGTTTTTTTTTTAAGAAATTGTGGATGAAATGGTTGAAAAATTAAGCTTTATCACTTGATAAGAGGTTTTCTTTAAACTATTAACACTAGTTAATTTTATTTTCCTTTAAAAGATGGCAGCTGCTATTGAATGGGTGATGATATAGTTAATAATACAGATATCTCTTCACTACACTTTAACATTTGTGTAGAGTACATTTTTTTTTTTTTAAAAACATACGTAATTTGTATGGTCTACATGTCAGCTTATGTGAATCATGCCTACATGTCAGAATGTAGATAAACACTTAGACATATTGCAGCAGCCAATCACTGATCCAAGTAGGCAGGTAGGACACAGGTATGTAGGTAAACATGGCATCCGAGCCAACGGTGTACCTGGTCCTGGGGAAGCTGGAGGTCAAGCTGTGCAGGTAGGCGTCGATCACTGGCCTGGTGTTGGCTGACCCACTCTTCATAATGGTCGCAACACCTGCTTCAACTAGCGAAGAGAGATAACTTTAATTGGAGTTAGACAAGGGAGATAACTGAATTATTATTTTTTCGTGTAAGGGAAAGAACTGTTACATAATTTCACAGAAAAGGGAGAGGACTTTTTCGTGGTAATAAAACCTACATTTGCCAATAATATCTCCGTATGTCATCTTGACCTCCTCGGTTGTCTTCTCGTAAGCCGCTTTGACCTGACCCAGAAGTCGTTTAGTGTTGAAGATGTTGGTGATGTACGCGCCAGGCTCTATCAGGATAACTCGTACACCTCTCCCGTAGAGTTCTCTCCTTTAAAAAAAAATTTAAAAATCAGCACCATACTTAGAAAACTACAAGATGGGATGATGGTCACGGAATGTTTGAAACAGGCGATTTTATTTGAATATTCTGTCTATATTCCTCTAAACGCAACTTGTCTGACATATGAAATATTCGTAAGCTTTCGTTCGGGTAGTGGATACAACGTCTCTTACCTCAAAATATCAGAATACGCCTCAACTCCGAACTTGGACACCGAATATGGAGGCATGCAGAAGGCGATTCTACCCGCGGCGCTGGCCATGTTGACCACTCGACCACCCGCCTTCCGGATCAATGGCAGAAACACGCGCGTCGTGTCGATGAGACCGACCAGGTTGACGGCCATCACCTTTAGGTACTCATCCTTGTCGCATAGTTCACTGGGCGCCATGTTGCCTGAGATACCGGCGTTGTTCACCAAGCCCCACAGACCTGGAGAGGTGTAGAATATTGCAGGGACAACACTGTTTTATAGCGTTGGTGCTAGGCTGTCATGATAGTAGATTGGCAACTAACACGTTACACGCCAAAAAGCTAACCCCGCCACCCAAAAACATATTTTTTAAAAGAGGATATAAAACTTGTACTTTTAGTTTTTAACACTAACCCAACCTTAAAACCGTAGCTTTAAAGACACACACAGGGGTCGGCGTGGTCGGTAAAGCTCATGGTTGCTAAACCGAAAAGTCTCGAGTTCGAACCCTGGGGACAGCCACTCCTCTCTAGGAGAGAAAACTTACTCCAAAATCAAACAACTGCTGCTTGCAGTTTGTTCTTGGTTGGACAAAGGCAATGTAAGCAAATCCAAAAAGAGAAGCAGGCTGAAATCGGAGTCAATGGCGTATAACCAGTTGACACGTATACTTAATTGTGTTGGAGGGGATGCCTTCCAGCATTAAAATTAAGCACGAAGAAGAAGAAGAAAAGACACAGAAAAAAAATGTGTTGCTGTCTCCTTGTCATGAACGAGAGTCAAAAAGTTCATTTCTGGTCTAGGTTGCACGGCTTTATCGTTTCGCGCACGTTCTTGAATAAGTGGCGGGGCTTATCCGGAAAAGATCCGAAACTACTTACCAGCGTCTGGTGGCAGATTCTCTTGTACTGTCTTCAGTGCCATCTGGCAACTCTCGGCATTACTGACGTCATGTAGGATAGCCAGAACCCGATTCGAACAATTCTTTGACAAATATTGTTTCCCTTCTTCGGTCAGGCAACCGGCAAACACATTAAACCCAAGACTGTCGAGACATCTGCAGAACAAAACAAAAACATGCACAGGAAAAAATAAATCAGCTCCGGGTCTCCACTGTTGTGTTAACGAGATTTGAGTTTTGAGTCAATATTTTAAATATATTTTTCAGGCCAGCGTATAAAGCCATTGGGACGGCGTGACTTAGAGCGCTAGACCTTTGACCTGAAAGTCTCGTTCGAATCCGAAAAAGTCAGTAGAACGTAACTGATACCAGCCATCTTTGCTTGGTACGTAACTCAAATTATGGGGAAGTAAAGGGAACTTATATATCCACATGTGGACCACTCAAGATGCTTGACTTGGGTCCAAAGACCCGGGTTCCAGGTTGGGTTCTGGCGAAGGACCCACCTTGGGGGTCGATTGAATGGGGACAGTGGGCGTCTCTCGCGCATTCTCTCCCCCCCCCCCCCCCCCCCCAGACATGTAGGTTTATAGTATACATGTCGCAAGTGTAAACACGTTTTTAAAAACAACTTACTGAACAAGTTCCTTGCCGAATCCGGAGTCGCACCCCGTGACGTAGACATATTTGGTGCTGTAGCCTTTGACCTTCTTAGATCGGATCAGCTGGTCCAGCAAGTAATAGGTGGCCAATGAGGTAACAAGGAATGGAAGAATCCAAAACATTTCTTCAGGTCCTGTCCTTTGAAAAATGTATAAAATGAAACCAGAGTTTCTTTCAAGCACTGCTCCAATCCCCGCAATATTTTTTCCCCAGAAATTATTCTCCGTGGGCGCGAGCACGTGAAATTTCGCGAGGGGGTTGACAAAAAAACCCGGATACGGGGCGGGGGGTGGACACCGGTGTATATATACATATTTTTATAAATTTTATTTCATTTTTAAATAGATGCCTAAATGACATACGCAGGGAATGTGAAAAGAGGTGAGAAGATGGAAGGTGATGCAGCGTATATTTTCTTCGTGGATTAGGGGTCATCCATAAATGACGGCACGCTTCCCCCCCCCCCTTCCCCTCCGTCACACATCGTCTCAATGGATCCGCTGTTTAATGGAAGGATTAAAAAAAAAAAAAAAAGACGAGTGTCGATTAAAAGAAGGGTGCAAAAAATCTACTTAAAAAGCGTGACTTAAATAATTAACAACTACACCAGTTTTCGCTTCTCTTACCCAGAATTTCTTCCAGGCATATCTTCTACCGAACCCCGAATGAAATGGAATTTATATAGAAAACATATACTTTTACCAGTATCCACCCCCCCCCCTCCCCGGAAATTGTTGTCCGCCCCCCCCCCCCCCCCCCCAAAAAAAAAGTCTGGAAGAAACACTGGTCTTACCTTGTCCCAAAGAATATTTTTCCTTTTCCCTACAAATAATATTGTCAAGAAAAATCCACCACTAATCCTTTGGTTTGTGATACGTCCGTAAGATTTAAATCTTTACCCCAACACTGGCCAGAATTCAAGTCAAAACTCTCCTCTCCGCTAACTGGGGCAACCTTTAAATTATTCAACTCAAACTTTTTGTACCGGTGCAGATGTGGACCGAATTCCGCATTAAAGTGCACCCGTGTAGCATGTAACAGCTGCCGGTAACTGAACCTCACGTAATAGCAGCTTCTAAAATTGAAACCTTTTCAAATGTGTTTTTATCTTTTCCCCCAATAGAAGCGCTTGAATGAAAATAAACGTCTCCTCTACGAAGCTTCAGTGCAGGGGTTTTTTGTTTGTAAAGAAAATGTTTCGGGGGGGGGGGGGGGGGGGGTTAAGGTGTATACATATTATATATTTTTTTCTATTTCTCCGGGGTGGAGGGAGGGAAGAATTCATCCCCCCCCCCCACACACACCAAGAGATGGCTGAAAGAAATGCATGTGCAAGTAGTTTAAACTGCTTATTTAGACGTAAATAATAGATCTATGTTATTTAAAAATTATAGAAATCGAGGGTATCCCTGAGTCCAACCAGCCCAGTTTGGTACCTGACGCAGGGAAAGTGAAAGCAGCTGAGCATGGTGACCACACCATCCCTTCCTATGCTGAACACAGAAACAGATAATTCACTAGTTTTGAAAGGGTAACTCTACACATTAAGTGTAACTTATGTATAAATAGTAGGCCTATAATATTGGGTATATTAGTTGTATCAGATGTACATCAGGTAAGTTTAGTTGTATCAGATGTACACCAGTTAAGATTAGTTGTATCAGATGTACACCAGGTAAGATAAGTTGTATCAGATGTACACCAGGTAAGATTTGTTGTATCAGATGTACACCAGGTAAGATTTGTTGTATTGGATGTACACCAGATAAGATTAGTTGTATTGGATTTACACCAGGTAAGATTAGTTGTATCAGATGTACACCAGGTAAGATTAGTTGTATCTGATGTACACCAGGTAAGATTAGTTGTATCAGATGTACACCAGGTAAGATTAGTTGTATCAGATGTACATCAGATAAGATTAGTTGTATCAGATGTACACCAGGTAAGATTAGTTGTATCAGATGTACATCAGGTAAGATAAGTTGTATCAGATGTACACCAGGTAAGATAAGTTGTATCAGATATACACCAGGTAAGATTAATTGTATCAGATGTACACCAGGTAAGATAAGTTGTATCAGATGTACACCAGGTAAGATTAGTTGTATCAGATATACACCAGGTAAGATTAGTTGTATCAAATGTACACCAGGTAAGATTAGTTGTATCAGATGTACACCAGGTAAGATTAGTTGTATCAGATGTACACCAGGTAAGATAAGTTGCATCAGATGTACACTAGGTAAGATGATTTGTAATCTATATACACCAGGTAAGATTAGTTGTATCAGATATACATCAGGTAAGATAAGTTGTATCAGATGTACACCAGGTAAGATTAGTTGTATTGGATGTACACCAGGTAAGATTAGTTGTATCACATGTACACCAGGTAAGATTAGTTGTATCAGATGTATACCAGGTAAGATAAGTTGTATCAGATGTACATCAGGTAAGATTTGTTGTATTGGATGTACACCAGGTAAGATTAGTTGTATCAGATGTACACCAGGTAAGATTAGTTGTATCGGATGTACACCAGGTAAGATTAGTTGTATCAGATGTACACCAGGTAAGATTTGTTGTATCAGATGTACACCAGGTAAGATGAGTTGTATCAGATGTACACCGGGTAAGATTTGTTGTATCAGATGTACACCAGGTAAGATTAGTTGTATCAGATGTACACAGGTAAGATTAGTTGTATCAGATGTACACCAGGTAAGATTAGTTGTATCAGATGTACACCTGGTAAGATTAGTTGTATCAGATGTACACCTGGTAAGATTAGTTGTATCAGATGTACACCAGGTAAGATCAGTTGTATCAGATGTACACCAGGTAAGATTAGTTGTATTGGATGTACACCAGGTAAGATTAGTTGTATCAGATGTACACAGGTAAGATTAGTTGTATTGGATGTACACCCGGTAAGATTAGTTGTATCAGATGTACACCAGGTAAGATCAGTTGTATCAGATGTACACCAGGTAAGATTAGTTGTATTGGATGTACATCAGGTAAGATTAGTTGTATCAGATGTACACAGGTAAGATTAGTTGTATCAGATGTACACCGGGTAAGATTTGTTGTATCAGATGTACACCAGGTAAGATTAGTTGCATCAGATGTACACCAGGTAAGATGAGTTGTAATGGATATACACCAGGTAAGATTAGTTGTATCAGATATACATCAGGTAAGATTAGTTGTATCAGATGTACACCAGGTAAGATTAGTTGTATCAGATGTACACCTGGTAAGATTAGTTGTATCAGATGTACACCTGGTAAGATTAGTTGTATCAGATGTACACCAGGTAAGATCAGTTGTATCAGATGTACACCAGGTAAGATTAGTTGTATTGGATGTACACCAGGTAAGATTAGTTGTATCAGATGTACACAGGTAAGATTAGTTGTTTGGATGTACACCTGGTAAGATTAGTTGTATCAGATGTACACCAGGTAAGATCAGTTGTATCAGATGTACACCAGGTAAGATTAGTTGTATTGGATGTACACCAGGTAAGATTAGTTGTATCAGATGTACACAGGTAAGATTAGTTGTATCAGATGTACACCAGGTAAGATTAGTTGTATTGGATGTACACCAGGTAAGATTAGTTGCATCAGATGTACACCAGGTAAGATGAGTTGTATCAGATGTACACTGGGTAAGATTTGTTGTATCAGATGTACACCAGGTACGATTAGTTTTATCAGATGTACATCAGATAAGATTAGTTGTATTGGATGTACACCAGGTAAGATTAGTTGCATCAGATGTACACCGGGTAAGATTAGTTGTATCAGATGTACACCGGGTAAGATTTGTTGTATCAGATGTACACCAGGTAAGATTAGTTGCATCAGATGTACACCAGGTAAGATGAGTTGTAATGGATATACACCAGGTAAGATTCGTTGTATCAGATATACATCAGGTAAGATTAGTTGTATCAGATGTACACCAGGTAAGATTAGTTGTATCAGATGTACACCAGGTAAGATTAGTTGTATCAGATGTACACCAGGTAAGATTAGTTGTATCAGATGTACAACAGGTAAGATTAGTTGTATCATATGTACACCAGGAATGAAAAGTGTACACAGAATATTTTGTTCCTACAGCTGTGGGTACAAAGACAGACTTTTTCACATCAATTAAGTTCTGATCTATGATCAATTAAGACCTTGTCACCTAATACATCCTGATGTCAGACCATGTCCCTGAATACATCCTGATGTCAGACCATGTCACTGAATACATCCTGATGTCAGACCATGTCACTGAATACATCCTGATGTCAGACCATGTCACCTAATACATCCTGATGTCAGACCATGTCACTGAATACATCCTGATGTCAGACCATGTCACTGAATACATCCCGATGTCAGACCATGTCCCTGAATACATCCTGATGTCAGACCATGTCACTGAATACATCCTGATGTCAGACCATGTCACTGAATACATCCTGATGTCAGACCATGTCACTGAATACATCCTGATGTCAGACCATGTCACTGAATACATCCTGATGTCAGACCATGTCACCTAATACATCCTGATGTCAGACCATGTCACTGAATACATCCTGATGTCAGACCATGTCACTGAATACATCCTGATGTCAGACCATGTCACTGAATACATCCTGATGTCAGACCATGTCCCTGAACACCTATAAATATAGGTTGGGTATTTACTGGCACGTATTAAAATGGTGCATACAATATTTGGACCTGATTAATTAATGTGGTGTCTCTCTTTCATTTTCACAACTGCTGGAATTCTCTAAATTATTTTTACAAAAATGTTATAAAAATAATACAACAGAAAGTAAATGTCAAGGTTGTTTGGCACAATTTTATTTTGACAAGAAAATTTCAGACTAGATATATAGCCATTGTTAATCTTCAACAAGAAAGAGTGCAGATAAATCTGCTGTTACTCCATATCAGTTGCTTTTACAACCCAGTCAGACAACCAGTCTGGCAGATAGGATAATGGAATATAGAAATACTTGGCAAAGTTTCCAACAACGTATCTGGTCCTGGGGAATCTGGCAGTGAGGGCATGGGTCATGGCATCCACAACAGGCTGAAGGTCAGGGTTACATTCCTTTGACATGTTTGACAACACTTCTTTCTCTGCAAGTAAAAAAAAAAATGTTTTACAACTCAATTTAAATTCTACAACCTGTTTTCAAAGAATTTTTTTTTTAAATTGATGGCAATTTTTAAAAATGTGCAACAATAAATTACTGTTCAAATTTTAATAACTCTTTCCTAAGATGAATAAATCAACAAAATAAAGCCCACGTAATAACTCACTTTTGGCAATAAAATCTTCCCCATAATGGCTTTGTACATCAGGGCTAGCTCTCTCAAAACACTTTCTAGTTGCTTCAATCATGACATCAACATCAGCGAGACCAGTTCTAAATCCACCTGGCTCTATGATTGATACCTTGATATTTTGATTGTAAACTTCTCGCCTGTTTTCATAATTCACTAAAATTTTTATTCTTTTACATGCAAAAATCATAAAGATTGCACAACATTACTTTCATTTTTCTACTAAAGCAAAACCAGCCCAAAAGTTCTATAGGTTATAAAATAGAGGAAAGATATTTTAATTTGAAAACAAATTATAATATGCACAATTACTTTATTATTTCGATGTACAGTTAAATATATGAAGTATCAAATATCTTGAGCATGAAATATAACTCTTATTTAAAAAAAGACAGATAACTCTGTAAAAAATAGTAATACGTTCTTTGGTAGTACCTATATGCCTATATAATGTTAGTTGTATATATTTTTGTCTAGAAGTACTTTTTAAAAACTTTACTCTAATATTCCATAAAATCAGATGTTTTAAAAATGAGCAGACAAGGAAAGAAAATTTCACCTCAATATATCAGAAAATGCTTCCACTCCAAACTTGGAGCAGCTGTAAGGTGTGACTCCAGTGGGGAACCTCCCACACATGCTGGAAACGTTAACGATCCTTCCCTGAGATTTTCTGATCAACGGAAGAAAATTTCTAACCATTTCAACTGGACCAAGCAAGTTGACATTGATGACTTGCTTGTAGTCTTGAGCAGAGTACAATTCTATCGCTCCTAATGTTCCCACAACCCCTGCGTTGTTGACCAAGCCCCATAGTCCTGTAGTAAAAATATTGTCATTAAGAATGATACTTGATTGTAAAATTTAACAGAATTGTTTAATCTTACAATACAATCTGTAACACAAATTGCTCCAAAAATAAATATTAAACAGAATTATAAAAAAAAAATTAAAGTATTAACACACCAGTATAATATTTAATTGTACAGTTAAATTGTTTGGTGGAGATTGCAACAACAAAAATAACAGCAACATGTAACGGAGCTATCAAAAGGTAGAGGAGTCACTTGTAAGTCTTAAAATAGGTTCCTGGCTTTTAGTTTTATAGGGTGTTCCTACACCCAAATAGGGCTTGGCATAATCTTAACCACATATCACCCATAATCCCTTCATACACTTAGCTTTACTTGTATATTTTATAAATCATATAAAATAAAGGGTACTTTAATCAAATTTTCTAAGGTAAAAAAAAATGGGTTTTGTTCATTCTGGTTTTTTTCTGTTGTAAAAAACCCCATTTTTAACCTTTTTCTTGAGGCAACCGAAGCTTCACAAAATGTAGAGCATGTTGAATACTTTCAGCATCAGTAACATCAAGCAGAAAGGTTGCCACGTTGGATGAACATTTCTCTGATAAAAATTTGGCCCCATTTTCAGTCAAACAGCCAGCAAATACATGGAAGCCCACTGAGTCCAAGTGTCTGAAGGGGGAAAAAATGTTACAGATTTATACATTCTATTATTAAATGTGAGTAGACTAAAGTTGTTTTTAGTTTCTTAAAGTCAGAAAACATAGTACTTCTTATTGAGGCTATTTAAGGACTCCATTGTATTAGTAAGTTAGGCCTTGACATCTATATTACAAAACCTACATAGACATGTCTTATACTAATAATAATAATAATAATAATAAGTAATTTATGAATAGACTTAAACCTTTTAATAAAAGTTAGTAGTAGTAGTAGTAATAGGCATATTTAATATTTTTATATGTAATATTAATATTAAAATATACCTATAGGCCTGTGCATTTATATCTTTAAAATTTGGCAATAGATTTTAGATCTAGATCAAATTTTAATGGGCTATTAGGCTATTAGTATTAATCAGAGAAAGGGCATTAGCCTGCATACAACTAATCACTATTGGGTCTGTTATAACGTTCATCATATAAAAAACGTAATTAACTCGCATTGCAAGAGCCCGTCCAAATCCGCTGTCGCATCCAGTTATGAGAATATATTTCTCATTGGCCTTGCCAATTCTCATTGATCGTATAATCCAATCCAAAATGTAATAAGAAATTATAATAATAAGCAAGGCCAGTAAACTCCAAAACATTTCTAGACTTATTTTATATCAGGACAAATTTTTTATATTATAACTAAGTAAATAAAATGGTACGGAATAACTAAAACATGCTTTAAATATTATAAATATTAGATATAGGCCTATAATCTAGATCAATTCTATACTAAAAATTTTCATGCAATTAGAGCAATTACGCCGATTAGCACTCGCCCAAAGCTCAATGGGTTGATTAAACCCTGATAAAAATATCGAAAAACAGCCAAAATGCTAAATGGCAGTTTAAAAAAAATTAATTCTCAGAAATTTAAAATAAAAAAGTATTTTCAAGATTTAAAATTTAAGGCCAATAAGAAATTGTAGCAGAACACTAGTCCAGTAAAAAAGTTAAAACGAACACATGATAAGTTTATGGTACTAAATTTATACTTGCTCTCATCGTCCCTCAAATTATTATTAAGAGACTGAACTTTTTAAAGTTAAAAACGATAATACACACACTAGCATCTAGACTCTAGATTCTATATTCTAGGCGTACTTAAATAAATGTAGCAACTTTAGATCTTAAATTTTAGGATTTAAAAAATAATAATTTTGCTTTGGTTTAGGCTCAGTGATTTGACGTTTTTAAAATAAAAGTTGAGTCCTTGAAGTGTCAATCTTTAAAAGTAAAAGTGTAAAGTATATAATCTAAGAGTTTTAAGCGAGAGATCTTTTACAAGTATGTCTTTTCAAACATTTAAGTATTATTTAAAGGCATTACAACAAAAAACTTAATGAACATTTTTAAGATTAACTTATTTTAGGCTTGGCAATTAATAGAATTCTGATCTGGCATTAGATCAAAGTAAAAGTCTAGCAGAAGTTAAACCCGCTGACTTTATACGAAAATCATAGTTCACCTAGATTATAGATCAAGATCTAGAATCTAGATATAAATCTAGATCTAATCTAATTTCAAATCATTTCAAGTGAATACATTCCCATAATATTAATAATAATATCGTATAGATCTATATACTCATATAGAGTTATATATAGAAATATACTTAATATTACGAGCCGACCCGCGGCATATCCGATATCGATCTCATACGTCGCTATTTATCTAGATCTAGATCTCTAGTTGTTTTTTTTTCTACTTTTCAGTAATTCATAATTTGTGAATTCGACAGTACCAATGCTGCCACTGAAAATATTTGCTTTAAAAGTTTTAAAACACTATCAATAGGTCGTTAAGAACGATACTACCCCCACCCTGCTTTCTCCCTACCCTACCCCCCCCCCCCCCCCCGTGAAAGCAGCCTCCTCTTAGTTACCTCCCCTAAGTTTAAAATCGTTTCAAACTAAATTATCTGCCCCTAATAGCCGTCACTAAACCCGGCTTTACAATTGTAAATATTTAGCATGAACCACAGCTCACCAGACCATGTAGGGGTGGGGTGGTAGGAACGCACTTACAGCTTGTTTTCTAGCGTCTCCAAGAAGAGAATTATATATATATATATATATATATAGATACACTGCTGTAACTGTCTGTACACAGTCAGATATCTAGATTAAGATTTATCTATCCGAGGTGTGTGGATCACAGACATCGTACAGACTTGTACCTTGAGTCCGGTATAATCCAAACTTGAGACTTTAGGATTAGCAGTCCTGAGCTCTACCATCTGACTATGTAATCTAGTTTCCTAAATCGACACATTGGTGTACAATGTACATAAATTCTAGATCTAGTACTTAAACCAAACATTTTTAGCAACTACTGGCACCACACACAAATGAAACTTAATTTCAAACTGCATACTCCTAACAATGGCTAACATATTATAAAAAATATTAATATAGATCTATGTCTTCATGCTTTCTGTATTTAATAAAGACTCTTTATAGGCCAAAAGATCCAATGGCGAAATACTTTAACCTTTACAATTTGAGCCTGGTTTACAAATTATTGTTATGTAGGTTATTGAAGTATCATTATCAGAAGAACTTTATTAGTTGTTTTGATAAAAGACACATACCCTCCAATATTAAGAAATTAATAAACTATTGCAAAGTAGCTCTAGTGATTGTTTATTACTTTATGTTGTGATTATTTTTTTTGTTAATAATTCAACCTATTATAACTGTATCTTCTTTAGTGTTCATCGAAGGGAGAACACATTATCTTTAGAAGAAAATGTTCACATCTGCCGGTCATTTAACGCATCGTGAATCACTGTTGATCAGACATGGTCAGAACCAAGAATGCTTCACATGCCTTATTGAAATTCTTGAAGATGCAAATATTTCAATGGTTCAAAGAGAGATGTGTCTTTCATTTCTCAAGTCAGTTGTTGATGAAAATGAAACATTTCTGCAGGTACTTCCATCATACCGATTGGAGTGTTGCAACATCATTTGTGTTTTAACCGGTAAGCTTACTTGTGTTTTATTTACCTAAATTGACCTGTGCAAATTATTTTATGAACTTTTACATAATTTATCGACTTAGAACTATAATTTGTAATAAATTGTGATGGTGTTGTTTTAGTAGATTGTAGTTTTAAGTAGACTATCAAAACTTGAACCTATGTGTAATTGTGAAAATAAATGCACAATGACTAAGTTCTTCATGTAATTGCATTAAAATATTTTCAGATATGTACACAGAGGATCCACACAAGCTGACAGCAGCTTTGTGTAAGTTTGTTACTGAACTGTTTTGAAAAAAGAAAAAATACTGGACATCATTATTTGACATGGAATTTTAGTTCTTCCTGCAAGAAAGCTTGTACTGATATAGCTAAATACCTTGTAGTGTTCATTAAACTGATACGTTGGACTGACTTTTAACATAGTAGGCCTATTCCACATAGAGATCATTTCTGTACCAATTTTTATTTTCCTGGCCTGCATTGTACTATAACACAGATACATATTGAGTATTTTCAGACAGAGAATAAAGTGTATTAATTATTTTAATTAAATGATGATTACAGGACCATAAACAGTGCATTGGTCTGTAAATAATTTAAAAAAAATTTCTTGCAGTATGTGCCAGTATGATTGATAAATTACAAGATGAACATCTCTATGAAATATTTATGGACAAATTTCAAGATGTTGTAAGTAGCATTAAAACTTTAAAACAAAATAATGAAGGGAAAATGTGACATGAAGATTGGTTTTAAAATGACTATAAAATTATTATTTATTTTGTTGCCCGTAATGAAATCAGTTAACAACGAATTAAAAGTATGTAATTTTAAAAAGTCTTTAAAAAAGCAGGTGCTGAAATGGAGGAATGAAAAGCAAAAGATTGAGATAATGATATCCTGTACATAAATAGAACAGAATGGCTGTTGCAATAAAATGTGGTTCTGTATAAAGACCTTCCATTAAAAAAAATGTATAACTATATGATCAATTGACTAATTTATTTTAACAATTTTTCTCTATAGGTCCTTTCAAGACTAGTGGAAAAACATAGCCAATTTTACTTCATTGTGTTGAGTAAGCTGTGTGAGTTTTCAAAAACATATTCCCAAATGATTGTTTCTTTTCATGGTAACTATTTTTTTTTTTAAAAAAAGCGTATAGACAAATGAATGTATATGATTTAACATTTTTGTAAGAAATTTACTCGTTAAAAATGGTAGATCTTGGTCATTTATTTTTGTTGTTTTTAAAATCTATCTGTTGTAATGAACAAGTATTTACAGTGCTCAGATAGAAACAAAACATCAGATTCCTTACAAACAGTGGCAACTATTTTGAATGACATTGACGTTTCAGGGAACATTATACTCACTGTATTGGAAGCTCATCACTGCTTTGATGAGGACACCCTCAGCTGGTTGGTCAGTCTTCTGAAATTATTGATACCAATACTTTGTTCTAACTGTGGGCTTTTGAAAGAAGGAAGTGATTTGTTTCTATGGAAAATTCTAGAAGTTCTTGTTGTGTGGATGAATACAGTACACAGCTCTGAGTTACAAGTCAACATATTATGTAGGTAACAAATTCCATTTATTTTATATTTTCAACATAGGTTGCAGAAGTAGTGTTTATTTTATAGTTTTTAATCCACTTACAGAGTTAATGTTAAATTTATAATTTTAATCTAGGTTAAATAAAATGTTTGAATTATAATTTTTATACAGTTAACATAAGTAGCTCTTCTTATATAAGTTTGTTGATCATAACATTTGATTAATCAACAGTAAAACAAATTTCATTTGTTTCTCATACACTTAGTCTTAAAGATCTATTACAATGATGCATATGATCAATATTTAACAGTTTTGTTGAGGGAATGTTTGCAGTCAGAGGAAATGATATCAGGACTACTTTTGATTGGCAGTGAAGGATCAGTTGATTGTTCATTGTTGATGGGCTTAAAACGTATTCTGGCAAGCAAGAACAGTATGATCATTGTCCCAGGTACCCAGTGTTTGACTCTGCTGATGGAAAAACTGACAGAACCAGCTCTAGTGAAAGAGGTCTTAGATACAGATCTAGCAGGTTTATGTTCTTGTTTTTTTATCTGATGGTTATAATTTTTTTTAAAATGAATACCACATTTGTGTTTGATACTAACATGCAAAAATCAACCAATAAAATTTTTTTAAACTATTATTTGGTATGATAAACTATAATAAATATATGTTCTCAAACATTTGTGATCAGTGAATAGTAGTTTTTATTTTAACTCATAGATTGACTACATTTTAATAATACATAATTGGATTGCTGTTAATTCTAGAAAATAATGTTGATTAATTTTTACATTTTTTCACAGAAATAGTTTTTGAGTTCCTTCACTCAACTATTCCTTCTCAACTTGAGTAAATAATTTTATTTTAAATTTAATTTCTCAAATAGTTACTTCTGCATAATTAATTACTAGTTTTCATGGAGGGCTCATTCATTCTTAACACATGCAAGTACCCTACTGAATAAAAAATCTAAAATGTCCATTTTAATCTTGACGTTAAATGTTACTTTTTTTATTAAAATGTACAGTGGTATCAATGCCAAATATCTTATAAGCATGGTATTAATTAGCTTTCAGCAATTTTATTGTTATACATTTTGAACCCCTCCCTTCTTTACAATTGGTAAAAGATTTTTTATTTCAGGTCTACATTTCAGTGCCTACAAGCAATGGTTCAACATCAATATTTCTTTGAAAAGTGCCATGCAGTTTATGGTTTGTGAGATAATATTTGTTTAAATTCTAGGCATAACATCAAAATTATACTATGAAGAGTTTATAAACAAACACACATTTCTCTTATATGTCTGTCATATTTTGTTGATGTTTAGTAAATTTTGTTATCTTTGTAGGATGAATGGAGCATAGATGATGAAAAAAAATGTTACTTTCAACTCATTGAAAGACAATTTAATTTCAGGACTTGATTCAATACTCAAGTCAATAAAAGATGCACTGGACACTGGAAAAACTATCATTCTTATAAAAGGTCTTGAGCTTCTAACATCTTTATTAGTAAGGTATTTATATATGAGCCAAAGTATTAGATTTTGTTGGATTTTATTTGCAAGTTTCATTCATTCTTCATAAAAATATAACAGAAAAAGATATATTTAAAATTTTTGATTTTTCAATGTGTTCAAGCTATGTAATTTGCAAATTGTTATTATTGTTATCACATAGTTCATGTCATTTTAAATCCAGTTAGCAGAAAACTTAATTAAAATCGTATTGGACATGATTTTATAAAAAAAGAACCCTTCATTTTTATGAAAATTTAAAATTGTATCTTTGTTGATCAATACTGAGCATGCTTTCTCATTCCATTCATGACAACTTTCAAAACTTACTAATGAAACACAAATTATATGAAGAAGAGCAATATGCAACTTACAGGTTTAGATATTTAAATTTGTTAAAAGTTTAAAATTGTGTATCATGAAGCTGGTGAGATAAAAATGAGCTATAGTTGCCTGTTAAGACTTTTATTTTTTCCACCTTGAAACCCTGCAAACCTCAGACAGCCAGAGAGTATGCCCCTGTTTATGAACCAGTCTTGGAACTTCTGCATCACTTTGTTACATACTGCCGTACAGTATGAAACACCTGCAGTCTTTGTTAAGGCATTAAAAGCTGTTGAACAGTTTATGAGGTGAAAATATTCTTGCTATTTATTACTCAATTCTTAATACATCCCATTTTGATACCTAATCTTTTGCCTGTCTAACTTGATTTTTTTCTAACTTTTTAATCTTTGGATTTTGGTTAAATAATATAGTGATCATTTATTTTAACATATGTATGTTTTTGCTATTTCATCCATAAAGAAATTTTGAAATATCATTATTAGGCCTCAGCACCAACAAACCCCTTTGGCAGTAAGATCCATCACATCATTGTTAAGCACTGTGTATTACTATTATGAGCATCACTTGAAGTCACTCACCCAGAGTGGGCAAGGGCAACAGGCTTATCACATGACTAGCAGCATTATAAACATTGTTGTAAGCACATACAGGTAATTTATCATGTTTTCACTTATTTATGTGATTGCCTATGGTTTACACATTCATTTTAACACACAGCACCATTATGCTAATTTGTGAGAAAAAAATAAACAACATTGATTTTTCTCTGGTAATGTTTTTAAAAAGTTATGTTAATGCATCCTGTATTATTTAGTTTACAAAATTTTTTTTTTATGTAAACATTAATTTTGACACTCCATTCTCTCCCTATTTGTATTATACATAAATAGGCTGTATTTTAAAAAAATAATCTCAATAATATTTTAGTAATGAAACATTTTTAAATATATTAAAAAAGAGCTGGAAGTTAGAAAATGTATAGCTGACAGGGCAAAGCAAATATTGTTTGTTTTAATTTAATTCAATTTTTTTAAAAGACAGATGACAAAATATTTTTTTCATATAAGATTTAGAAAACGCTTTAAAAAATTGAATTGAAAATACTTTGGTTATTGTATGCAAATAATTTTAGGCTTTCTCAAGCTGATACATCTTTAGTCGGCAATGAAACCGAGTGGCTCAAAGAAATGGAGAATTCTACAAAAGTTGTTTCTAAAAGGCTAACAATCATCCTGACCACTGTAAGTAAACCTTTGATTTTATTCATTTCTTATAACATTTAGCTGATATTGTACTATATTTATGTTACACCTGCAGAGCAAATTCAAATAAAGCTATGTTTTTTTCCTGAGATGCCAGTGCTACAGCTGAAGTCTTTAGCCCATTATTTTATCTTGAAAGTTTCAAACTTTTCTAACTCACAGAAACATTAATTAAACCTAACAAAAAAACCTAACAAATACCTCCATTTCATATGCTCAAAGCAATGATGATACACAGTGTATGTGATTGATTTATTCTTGTTTCTATCTGCAGAACCTATGTGAGTACTTACATGATGAGTCAAGATTTAGAGAGTTTTTGTTTTGTCTAGACATCCTAGTTTCTGGTGACAGTGATAGTTCTATATCAAATTCAGCTCAGCTTATGGCCTCTGGGATTCCACTTCATTTGCTTGGATATTTGCCTCAATCAAAGTAAGCTTATCCAAGTTTGTTCATTCATTTTATGTTATAATTATAACCAAGAAGTCTTTGTTTTGTGTGCAAAAGTTTAGAAATGAATATGACTGTGTTATATCTAGGCCTACATCCCTAGGTGTGACTTAGACAACAACAGAAAAATGAAATTCTGATCTTTATTTAATTGACAAAAAAAACCTGACTAATTAGTCATTGTGTTCTTGCTTTTTAACATTTACTTACAAGATTTAGAAAGGGGTAGGCTGCTCTGTCCACACAAGCACATTATTTGTTTTTGTCTCAGATAGACTCTACTTCATCTGGCTCTAAGGTTATCTTTAACAGAATTGATATCTGTGTTCAAAGCACATCTTCATTATTAGGCATGGGCTAATCTAGCCTTTTTGTCAGGGGTTGTAGGTGAGCACACCATCTGAGATCCCCCAACCCATAACTATACAAATATATATGTTAAGCAACATCTGGGATTAAACATTTTGTTATTTTTGATAGGCCTGCATTGGTTGGTTCCTCAACAACCTCCACAGCAATGTTGATCAACGTATATTTTTTTTGTGTATATTGTGTGTTGTTCTAGCCTGTCGATTGAAAGAAAATGGTGCAGCATCATGTCATTTCCACTTTTATTGTACTACTGTATGCTCATATTTTAAAAGCCTGAGTGTGGAGATGCAAGACCTGCTGGGCAACATTATCTCTTCCATGTGTCTACACCTTGCCAAAATGATCCTACCAAGTTTACAGATCAATAAAAGAATGTTGACTCTAGGGATGTCAAAGATATCATGTAAGTCTTATGTAGTTAATTTAAATTTTACTTTTTAAGTGTAACTTCTCTAATAACTTAGAATATTTTAATTTCAGAAATATTAATCATGTAATATTATTTTTGCCTTGTTTTTTTTTTTTTAAATTCTTAGTCAAATTTTGTTATTATTGTTGTTGAAGATTAATTAGTCTTAATTAGTTTCTCAGATAGTTTAACTATTTATTTTCATTGAATGACCTTGGCTTCAGGTGTAAAGCTCACCTCACTTCAGCCAGTTCTTGACAGACTCTCCAGTAGAGAAGAGATAACAGCTGTGCTTACTCTACTCTATTTCTCTTATCTTCATCAATACAGGTGAAGATTGAATATTTTTAATAACATTGTAGTTCAAACAAAAACTGTAAAATGAAGTTGTAATAGTTTGCCTGCACGGTAATACTTTGGCTGCAAAAAAAAAACTGAATACTTGAAACTTTTTCAGATATTGGGATAATGCTCAGCTTCTTAACTTCCTAACACAAATTTTGAGAAGACACCCAGACATATTTTCTTATGAAAGTGTTGTGATAAGAGCTTTGGTTTACTTGTTGTCCAGTTGTCAGGTACGGTTGCTCATTGACAGAATACTTCCCAATAAACACAACCTTCATCTTAATGTTAAACATTTATCTGCAATTAATTACATTTTCAACTGAAGGTACTAATTGATAAGATTTTTTGGTACTTCATTTTTTAAAAACATTTATTAAGCTTTAAATAAGTTTTATTTTGCTACTTTTTGTATCTTATTTGTCCATTTTATATTTCAGTTAAGCGTTCCACTTGTCACTGATTGCTACAGTGGAGATATTGGTTTGTACTCATTTGCTTCACCTTCATAATAACTACAAACACAAGACATTTTCAAGCAAAATGGTCATGTAAAAGACTGATATGTGTTGCCAGATTTCTGCATCAAATAATAATAATTCATTGATGTTCTCTTTTGTTCCAGAAAAATTTGTATTGTTACAGTTAGAGAAAACACCAATAGATGTTTGGTTCACTGACTGTCTCATTGTGTACAAGTGGTGTCTACTGACACAAGAAAGAACAGCAACTCTAGGAACAAAATTAGTAAAAACCATTTGTTTTAAAGAATTTTATTTAGTCTAACAGTTAAAAATCTTGACTAGTCCTAGCTAAAAAAAACAAAGAAGCCTTGATTTTTAGTTGGGACTTTAGTTGTTGGCTAATCAAAAGCCCTCACACCCGACCCTGCCATCCCCATAGTATTGATAATATTGTTTCACATTCTCGTTTTTTAGAGAATATTTTATTTGTAAGGTATGTTCACCAATTTTCTTCTTATTTAAACATAGGTGGAGTATTGGCTGACACAGATAGACATTACTCACTGCTCTGACAGTCACATGCTGGACAGTCTAAGTGAGAATAACAAAATGCTTCTTGATGACATGAAGTTTCATTTTCAATTTCTTATGAGTTTATTGGTGAGTTATAGAGTGCATTTTGTATAATTAACTATACAATATCAAATTGAATTTTTAAAAACAATTTTTCAAATCTGTGTCATTTTTAAAAGTATTTTTTTTTATCAAGGTTAAATGAAAATAGTTGATAATAGGGTAAAAATATATAATGTATGTTTATTTTTCTATTCATTTTTTTAAAAACCTTGGTATTTTTACAGTCTACTTGTATCTTAAACTCTTTTAGAACCACTTATCCTCAGAAAGTATATCATCCAAGGCAAGAAATGTCTTTGTTTATTGTATTTCCAAAGTGAGTTGATTGTTCAAAATTATACAGAATTTTCATAAACTAGAATAACATTGTCAAAGTTGACATTTTATTTTGGCTTTATACACTTATTTCCAAAAGCCAAAAGTTAATTTGTACTTTTAAAATTATTACTTAACTCTGAAAACCAGAGTTAAGCTTGAAAAGTTTTTTGTCTGTATAAATAAGTTTCTACTGTTGTGAACAATACAGCTTCTTAAAAAGTTTAATTAATTAATTAGCATTTTTAGTTTTCAAAATGTAAATTTTTTTAAACAGCTCACTCGTGATGATATGTCACTTGTGAATGCAGTACATAAGTTGTTCATTTATGCTACCAGAAGCTTTGAGACATCATATCTCCAGAACACAACTGGTAAGTTATTGTTTGCATTCTTTGCCACAACTGTAACCATTGTGAGAAGACAGCAAACTTACTAAACAGACTTTGCTTTAATTCCTCCATATATTTATTTAAAAATAAGAAATGTGGTTACTTTTAAGGTAATCATGTTGCTCTTAACTGGGTTAGCTTTTTTTTGTGTGAATGGATTTGACTAAGCTACAATTTGATTACAACCTATACCTTTTTTTTCCAGCAAGCAATTTGTCTTGAATTTAGTAATATTTTTCTGGTAAATCAAAACACATTTTCATTTGCTTCTTGTAACACTTTTACCTACTGTGCACTGTGCTAGCTAATGTTGCTGAAAACTTTCTCTGTGTTATGAATGTCCTGCTAAATTGTCAGCTGAGCTCAACCATTGACAGGATAATTTGTGTCAAGTCTGTGTACCTAGGTAACATTTATGCTGGATTTATTTATTTCTGTTTTGTTGACTTGTAGCTGTTATTGACTTTATCAAGTTAATGTTTTGTTATGGCTTTTTATTGTGGTCTTCATACATCAATTTTGAAACCAAAAAATACTCTACAAAATAACTTGATCTGATTCAAAAGAATTTTTTTTTTTCATTTCATTAATTTTAGATCTCTATATTAAAAAAAAGTCAATAGCTGTTTGATATTTAAATAAATTGTTAGACACCTCTTTCACAGTCCTGAAGTTAATAACAAAAGATGGCCAAACATTGTCCACTGTGACAAATGGGTTACAGTTTTTGTCTTCAGTCACTCAAGGGTTAACTTTTCAAGACAGCAAGACAGGTATGGTTTTGCTTATAGATGCTCATTATAAAGGTACTCTAATGTAAGAGAAGGGGACAGAGTGGTCTACGGTAGAGCAGCTGGACTGCTAGCCTGTAAGTCTCGAGTTCAAATCTGGGTTCAAATCAGCAGACCATTCCTGAGTCCACCCAACTCTGATGGGTACCTAACTCATGTTAGAGAAAGTAAAGGCGGCTGTGCATAGCGCTGACTACACTATCTCTTCATATGCCAAAGTCACAGAAACCTATGAACTCTACTTCACTTGCCCTATAGACCGTCAGGTTTGAAAGGGAACTTTACTTTTTTTTAATGTAAGAGAACTTTCAACTGTGTATAGTTTTTAGTCATGGCTATAAAATATGTTTACATTCTTTTTCCTTTTAATGCTATAAAAATAACACTGCTTAAATAACATGGAACATTCCCTAGTTCCAGTTTTGAATGTCTCTTTTATTTGATGCTTTTTTTTTTTTGTGACTGAGATGTTTACCATCAATTTTACTCTGTATATTTTTTTACAGTAATTCCACCTATCCTACAGAATGAAAGATTTTTGACTATCCTTGAGAAGTGTGTTACACAGCAAGATGCCACCATATCACAACCTTCTCTTGTTTTAGTTTCATGGTTAGCTTTTCATGATGATGGAATACAGGTAAACATTCTTTATTCCTTTATAACAGACTAAAACGTAAGTTTTAAAAATTACTGCCCTTTTTATAACTAATTAATTTGCACTATAGATCCAAAGATCAGTGAGAATATCATCAGATTATCTCTTGCGAGGTTTAGCCATGTGTAAGGCAGATCTCTGTGTTCCACTGATAAAGTTGATTGATGTGGCACTCTCCAAGAAGCAGGGAGCAATGACATTTTATAAATGTCAACCCAATTACAAGTCTACACAGATTTTTTCCTTTAGAGAACTGAAACAAATATACTTGTATTTGCAACAGTTTATACTTCAGGTAGTAAAAAATCATTTTACTTTTCATATACAACTGCGAATTTTTTTGTGCGCATACAACTCACAGTTTGTGATTTATTTTTTCTAATATTGATTATGCAATGGTAATTTGTATGCTATACAAAATAATCATTATACAGTAACAAAAGTTTTATTTCCGTTCTTTATCTGAGTACCTCCTCTTGCAAATTGTCTAATCTTGAATTATTATTTGATATAAATTCTTATTATGTTTGAATGACAATATTGATATGTATTAAAGTACAGAATGCTGATTATATACAAATGGGGCTTCATAAATTATTGCCAAACTGCCTAGGAATACCTTGAGTAACAGCTGGTTTTTTAGTCTGAGAATGCTGAAAATAACTTTGTGCTATTTAGAAAAAAATAATTTTGAAAGCTAATAAATATTTTTTAAGGAAAACCTGGATGTTAGGTGTTCTGTAGTGAACTGTATTGAGAAACTACTAGCAGCAGGACCAGAGATCAGTAAGTATTTCATTCAGGTTTGTTTTTAAACTTCAGTTTTTATTAATTGTGAAACTTTTTTCCTGTTGTGATCGACCGATAGTATCTCAACTAACCATTACTGCGCATTATAAATTTTACAAAGGTTAGATTATTGATTGTAGTTTAGATGCATTTTTGCACTTGCCAAAACTGTTATTCTTTTCTGCTACAGATGAGTATATATTATACCAAGCTTGGAACATTCAGATGCTAGAATCTGTTTTAGCATCAAGAAAGCTGCTTGGTCTTACAGAGGCTGAGCTCACTTTGTGCTGTCTGGTATGTATTACTGAGGGTTAATTTTTGAGTCAATTTATTCATAAAAAGATAGTCAATTGTTGGACTAAATATACAAAACTTTTCATTTTGAAATTCACAGTTCTCATCAAAAGTTAACATTTGGAGTAGCATAGCATTGGACAGTTTTTTAATGGCCCTAATTAACACAGACCTTTTGCAAGATCATGGGCACAAAGCTGTTATGTTTATGCAAAAAGTGAGTGGACCTATAATAGCCTATATTTATATTTCCTCATAATTTTTTTTTTCAAAATATGTGTGGTACTGGACTGGTCTTATTAAGTTTTTAAAAATGTTCTTTCAGATTAAAAAAAGCATAAACTTTGACAAGGAGCTGTTACAATTAGCTGAATTACATCTTAATGAAGTAACTATTCAGAATAGATGAGCTTGTACTTGTACCAAGAATATTTAAATTAAATTATCAAGATGTTAGAATGGATTGTCATTTTCTAATTAAAGTATCATGTTGATAAAGAAATGTTCTTCATTCTTTTGTTGTCCTTTTTGTTTTAAAAAAAAGATATAGCTAAGAACAGTGACAATTTAAAAAAATAATTTAACAGCAAGCCAAAGCAGTTACTAATATTTACATTTATTTTTCCACAACATTCATTTGTCATCAAAGTCAAATAAGTACGGGTGGATTCTGAATGAAACAAGAAAATGTGCACACATGGATGAATGGGAGAGGGGGTTTACATTGCTTGCCTGAATATTGTGGTCTCACTGATGACCAAGAGCTACAGCTTTCTGGAACTGCCCTTGTCCTGGACCTTTGTTTCCTCAGTTATGTCTATTGCATATGAGTTTTTACTGACTACTGGGAAAAAACAGGTGGATTGTTAGTGCTGTGGAAGACTTCAAAACAAAATGAAAGCAATAAGTTTACAATGGTCCTCAACAAAAGGGAAGCTTTGAAATAATTTGCAATGAAAAAAATGAGACAGAAAAAAAAAACTACAATAACTAAACTTTAAAAACAAGAAACTGTATAATAAATACTGTAAGCATTTGAAATCCACCTTAAAGCAATCTCATATTCACTTTTTAATGTACTACAACAAATACTGATGTAAAAATAGTTTTGTTTTAAAGAAATAAATTGGTCCTATAAATAACTGAAGCAGAGGAAAATCAACACAGGTGCTGGAATTTTTTTTTCACCAGCTCAAATCAATTAAGTAGAAAATATGAAGGATGCTGCCTCAGTACCTGATGCACACACAAACACATAAGTAGATGTGGGGGGAAATGTTAACTGTATCTAAATAAAACTGTACAATCTTAGATGTAATTTCTCCTGTGGTTCCGTTCTGGCCACTGCATCCAGAGAATAATTTAGCAGGACTGAAGTAGTCATGGAATTTTTTTAGCAAAATTTTTTCCCCCCATTTCAATACAATAAGCACAACAATACAGATTTAAATAAAGAAATGTAATAAGATGAATTCATTTACAAAGGGCAAGTTGAACGCTAATGCTGATTAAAACTCCAATCCAACATTAATTGCTTCATGACCAACACTTAGCACCAAGACAAACACAGATGGATTGCAGTGACCAGAAGAAATGGAGCAAGTTATAATACACATTTTTTATAGCTTACTATAATATGAATATGGTTTATATGCACTGTGGTTTACACACAATCTATAATTCATTCAAAATCTAAATTAAAAATAAAAAGTGCACAAAAAATGGCATGTATTATTCAATATACAATCAAAGAAAAAGCATGAATGGGGCAGGGGAAGCTGACAACAAACAATGTTTTTACAACCTGTACAGTACAAAATTTTGTATTGATGGAGTGCATAAATGTCCATTCAAACTTCTAGGAATACAAAATGATAGGCAAAACTTTGTACAACTCAGATCATTGTTAGCAAATGTGAAGAACAGTATAACATTTAAAGTACATTTATTGTAAATGCTTTTAGCCGTGGATTTATTCAAAAAGTATATATTTCATTTAACACATTTGACAGTCACTTCTTGATTGTTCTGTGGAATTGCCTTAACAATGTTGAAGAGATCACCAACAAACCCTCCAAAACAATCACAAAATCTTATATCTCCAACATTAGAGTCGTTTCTTTTATTAATAATACATGTATTTCATGTAAAAAAAAAAGTTTAATGTCATATGACAAGCAGCACTTTAAGATACTGTGTCAAAGATCTTTCTGTAGTAGGGGTGACCATCTTTTAAACTGAAGATATTATCTTCAGCTATCAGTTAATATCACTCAAAAACATTTTAAGGGAAAAATACTTACACAACAAAGTTACTTTAAAAAGAAAAGAACAGACTGTTTTAGTTGGTAAATACATAAAAACGAGTTTTCACAAATCAATAACATTGATTAAGTCACCCCCTGATACACCTGAGTCTAATCATGCAGTTACCTGAGTTATACATACAAAGGTGTGCTTTGGCACTCATTTGTATAGACACATTTAACACTCAGGTGTTCATGTTTTGTATGGTTTATACAAAAAAAGTGTGGAATTTCTTAGAATAGCTAACCCAAGTTAAGAAGTAATAAAGCAAGCTTTTAAGTACACAAATTAAATACTCTTAAGTATTATATATATTGCTTCAAAACAGAACAAAATATATCACTTGTATTTGCATAATGGCTTTCAACATAAATCTTAAAAATTTTAGTGGAGAAATGAGAGAGACATAGATAGTTCTATCACTAGTGGTATTTCAAGCATGTAAAAATGTATTGCTGGCTTTCATGTAATGGTAAACAAAAATATTCAAGCATGGAGTTTACTGGACATTATTTTGACATAAGAGAACAGCCAAAATATTGCTTTGCTTTAATTTTATGTTGAATCATGTTTAAAAATGTTTTAGTCCTGAAGTTTAATTCCCTGATAGAGAAAGTAGAAAGTGTAGCATTGTAAATGGAGTTCAGAAAACAATATCTTTAATATGAGAAAAGAAAGAAATATATATTAATGATGAAATAATGTGACTCACATAAAAATGATATATGAGACAACTGGCTTGAAATCTGGTCAATAAAAGTATATAACACAATGAACCCGAATTCTTCAAGGTAAAACAGTATTATTTCTACCATTAAAACATGTACTTAAAAATCTCTCCCCACACAATACTGCTATAATTTTAGACCATGGGCCAAATTTAAAAATTCCTTACAAGTTTGTTTTAGTTATAACGTAACATATATCAAATAAAATGTACTTTAAAAGATCAGATTTTTAAAATCCCTGCTTAGTTAAACTCATCCGTCAGTTATTTCTCTTATAAGTTTGGTTCAAAAATATTTTATTTCAGCTTTAAAGAATTTAAACTTGCAGAAGTCTTTGATGTGGATGTGTAAAAAGACTATATTATTAAAACCACATTTTTTATACACATCTAGATCTATTGACCCAGTTTTAAGCAACAGCACTGGATAAAGAGCAATGTTCTAATCAAGATTATGTTTATCAGAAGTTAAGTTACACTTATTATTCTAAATAAATGTATGGTAACAGGCAGGTATTTTGTATATGACAACAATAAAACACCCTGAAATGAAGCTTCAAAACAAAATACAATCAGTATTCAATGGAATAGTCAACAGATACAATATTCATTTGAAACATAAATGGGGTAGTAAATATTTCAATTGTTCGAGTCACATACATATCATATGGAAAATGTAAACAAAAAACATATTCAATAACAAATATTTATTTCAGAATACACAAATATAAATAATGTTCTACAGTATATTCTATCTTTCATATTTTTAGAAAAAAAACTTTAGCCAACAGTTTAACGAATTATATGATTTTAACATTAACATGTCTTGGATGAACATTATAATTACCAAGCAAGTTGAAGAAATGGTTCTACAAATATCAATGATTTAATATATCAGTAACACTGATGAGAGCAAGGAACTTAGTACAATTTTTTTCCAAACATCCTTTGAAAATAAACATTGCAACAGTTCAAATCAGTTTCTAATAAAAATCTGTATCTATAAATGTTTCCTATGTATGTAACAAAAACTAGATCTAGAGTAACTTTGTGTATGGTTAGTTTAAATGTATATTCTATTTATGTTGCTGTTTGCCAGTGGCATATAATATACCTATTGCAAATGGCTAATTTTGAAGAACTTACTTCAACTCTAAAAACAACTGAGACAAAAACAAGCTCCCAATATTACAGAATTTTGTACTAAAAAATATTTAACATGATTTATACTGAACAGAAGCTTATATAAAAACAATTTAAAAGTATCATCTATTTATGATTTTACCAATATTTGTTTTATAATTATTTACTGTTTAATACTGCTTATATAATCCATAAGTACAGGGTGCGTTCTTGTCATTACGGCTTAAAAACACTTATGAAATGTAGAGTATAAAAGTGTTTTCTATTCCATGGTCTAACATAGGGTAACACAATTCTCAGATAATTTACCAACAAAGCAAAGAGTATCAGTTGACTCTATATGGGTGTCACATAAAAATTAAACCATTGTTACAAATTTAATTACTCCTCCAGACTTCAACAAAATTGATGCTGCTCCCCATCCTAGGCTATTACTTGATTTTTAAAAAATCACATTCCTGACGCCCAGTTAAAATCTGAATTAGTAGCGGGGATTTAAAGCTGAAATTAGTATAAAAAATTAACTGCATTAAACTACTACATCAAAACAGCTAAAATAAGTTTAAAAGATGTTATAAATAAAAAGAAGTGCTAAAAATAATTGAATCAAGTCCTAACATCCAAACCCAACAGTTCATAATAGTACAGAACAAGTGGAACAACCATGGTAAAGATATACAGTAATCACTATATTCAGTGAAATTGAAAAGTGTAAATTTAAAATCTTTTTTTTTTTTAAATATGTAAAATATTTTAACTACAGTACTGTTTTTGATGAAAAGATCAAATCCAATAAAAATTTCTTTAAAGGAATAACATGACAGATAAATAATACACAGAAGTTGTCCTACATTTTTCTAAAAAATATTTTGTTAGCTACATAAAAGTATAATTATTTTATAAGACTATAATTACAATTTATTTTTTAAAAATATCTGCAAGCGGTATAAAAAATACTAAAATTAAAGCAGCGGTTCATAACCTTTTTGGAGGTACAGAATCCTATTGGTTTCATCTGCACTTTCACCGAACCTTATTAATAGTTCTATAGTCTCTATACTGACAAAATCTGTTTGCAAAGTCGGGTGTGTGCCTTGACCTCAGCCTCACCCCTGAGGCTGACTGACCCAAGGGGTTTAATCAAACCCACGTTAGGAACCACTGAATTAAAGGGATAAAAAATAAATACTTGGTTTTTTAAAGAGTCTGAAATAGCAAACTTATTTTAATTCCTCAGCTCTTTTGAATGTGAACAAGAAGGTAAAAGTAAAGCCACATCTATCGTACCTGGTGATGTTTAAAAGAAATTATAGTTTCTCAAATGCATTAATTTGCAAAAGAATTATTAAAATAGTACACAACCAAATTGTTTTAGTTTGTTTTTGATGCTGAATTCACTAAATGGATTAAAGTAGATTATGAAAAACTATCAGGTGTAGACTATCAATATAAAGCATTTAAAAAGCAACAGATTTTTTTCCAGTTTTAATATAATAAAAAAATTGTGTAAAGGGATAGAGCACTAAAAAAAATGTCTCCAAACCCCAAACAATATAATGAGCATTCTAGTTTTTAAAAAAAAAACAGAATTTAATTAAGTTTTTTAAATTGCTTTTTTTTGTTACAGACCTTAAATTATTACAAAGTAGTAAATTATTGAGAAAGAAAAAGAAGTGGTTTTTCCAAAAGGTCATGATAATTGTTACTTAAATAGAGTCTTTCAAAAAAAATTCTCTTGAAGTTCTAATTGCATCTTAGAAAGCTAAAATGTTTCATTTAAAAAAAACACTAGTTTCCAAACTAAATACAATAAAACATTTTTTTAAAAATTTCCTTACAAAGAAAACATAAAATAGTAATTTAAAACTTAGTAATTTAAACCTAAATTTGTAAATATGACTTTAAAAAAAAAGAATCATGCCCATGTAGCTTTGTTCAATTACTTGCACATAAAGCAAGACATTTTGAATAATTACAAGGTGAGACAGTAGAGAAATGTACAGACTTATGAATACATAATAACAATCATTATATTACTGAGATTCAGGAAGGTCATTTATGCACATAAAAAGTCAATGGAATTAAAAGAAGTATGATAGTTGTTTTCATAAAAGGTAAATAGTTATTACACTAGTATGATTTTCTACAAAAAATCATAACTTTCCCAGAGTAATACAATTAAGGTAGTATATCTTTGCAATGTTTAAAACAGTTAAAAACAAACTAAAATATATTTTGAAACAATAAGGTAAGTTGAAACTTTCAAGTCTTTTATAGTGACAAATAGGCCTATTTATATGAACTGAAAACATCAAATTACAATTGTTTTTAGGACAGGACTAGTTATATCTAGTTTCTTTAAGAAGGTTGAACCAATGTATTTTATTATAATTTAAAAAAAAATAAAACACCTTGTTCAACTATTCCATAGCAATTGTATATTTTTACTAAAAGTGTGGTTTGAATGGCATCTTTGACATACATTTTTCAGCACTACTCCAAAGCACATGACAAGGCATATACAAAACAAAGCTACTCTAAATTATTAATCTAAGCACAACCAAAATATGCAGGAAATATAAAATTCCATTTAATAAAAACTGATTTTCAAGTAAAATTGTTAGTTAGTGTCAAGCAATATGCAGATGAATTAGTAAATTATTATAATTATCTTATTAAAATATTCATAATAAAAATAATTTTAAAACACTACCCTGTATTGCCTTGAAATTTCACTCAAATTTTTTTAAAAATATATAAAGAAATGTAATGCCTGAGACACTATGGTAAAACTGAATTATTTCATTGTCACAATAAAAGAAAAGCAGTTCGCTGAATTGGGTATTAAAGCTTTCCAAGATGTAGCTGGAAATGAATATGAAACATTGCTATCAAAAAGTACAAGTTGAAGGTATCTACAATTGCATGTTTGATGCTACAAAAAATGTTATATAAAAATACAATCTAAAAAAAATCTTATTACTCTACTAAATGTACATTGTACAATATATACAACTTAAAAACCAATTATACAGCAAACTTTAGAATCATCAAAATGTAAAGATACAAGATAAAATTCTGTTGTAAAACAGGTATTCACTGTAAACAAAAGTCTATCTTATTAAAATTGCTACACAATGTTTCATAAACAACTGCAATTATTGTCTACCAATATTTAATAATAAACAGTCCATAAAATACAGCACAGAATGCTCAAGCTTTACAATTTACAGATCTTCAAAAGGAGTAGTAATTGTTTTGATTAACTATGGCTTTCCATGTCTTTCATTACACTAACTGCATTCTGGTGGCTTGTCAGAATAGTGGCTGCTATATCCCATTTCTTTAGCCATCAGGGTGCCATCGTACATCGAGTTCATTCCTGGATGCATACTCATATGCTCTGGGGCACCCATCATCCGGCTCATGTGAGGATTAAACATTCCCATCTGTGAGGACATTGGTCCGCCATGCATCCCTGCCATGCTGGACATGCCCATCCCTGGATTCTGTAGACCCATATGAGGACCATAACCCGACATATCTGAGCTGGACCTCATGCTTGGATTACCTGGGTAACCACTGAGGGACATTCCTGAACCATATCCTCCCATCTGCGCCATATCCATCTGCTGTGCATACGGATTCATAGAGCTCATCTGGCTATGCATTCCTTGAACACTCATTCCCATTTGGTGTGAGCTCTGCGACCCCATCATGTGAGCCATTGATGACCCCATGTGTGAGTTCATTGACCCCATGTGTGAATTCTGAGAAACCATATGAGAGTTTGTATTGATCTGTGGTGAGCCTATTTGCTGACCACCCAGCTGATCCGAAGAAGATCCCTGCAGACCAGGAGAGCCTGTCATAGAAAGTCCCATCCCCATGTGGGGATGACCAGAACCCATAGCTAGGTGCATCTGTGGATTTCCTGAACTCATCGGCCCACTGCTGGACATCTGAGAATTAGAAACAGACATCTGAGAACTTTGGCCGATTATCTGAGAGTCAGACGAATTTCCTTGTGAGTTTCCAGAGTTATATTGTAAGTTAGGTGAGTTACCCTTGGATACTTCAGAACTCTGTGAACCTGATTCACTCTGAGGGTTCTGCAAGCCATTTTCATGACCTTGTCCGATAGAATCGCTTGAGTAAGTTGGAATGCCATTTGGGTTTAGCTGTGGCAAGCCCTTGCTATCCTGAGACTTATCAGAGTTGTTGGAAGTAGAATCTAACAGACTGTCCTTGGCGCTGCTTTTCTCGGACTTGCTCTCCTTGTTAGAATGCTTTTCTTTACTCTGCTCTCCTGGTCCAGTGATAGAGGTGTTACTGTTTGCTGTTGGTGACTGGTTGGGTGCTACTGGCTGTTGCTGAGCTGGTGACTGGCTACAAGAAGAGTGTGCAGGTGAGGACTGATTGCGGCTTGAAGCGTGAGCTGGGGATGACTGGCTACGGGAGGAGGCATGGGCTGGCGATTGATTGACACTAGACGCATGTGCTGGGGACTGGTGGTTGTTGGACCCTTGAGCTGGAGACTGGTGATATGACTGCACTGGTGGGGACTGGAATCCATAGTGGCCAGGGGATTGCTTGTTGTGGTAAGAGTGGTGATGAGAGTGATGACTTGAAGAAGAAGCTGATGATGATGTTGTATGTGACAGAGCTGGAGGCTGGCTCGGTGCCTGATATGGTATCCGGCCGTACCTGATGATGTCAATAATACCTATCTCAGTCAACTGTTTAATAGCAATATCAGCCCATCCCTTGTTCGCAGCTGGGTTTATGGGACTTGGATGCATCAAGCACTCTAAAGTGATACCATTAAATTCATCTGCTGACAAAGCTTTCTGTGCTTGCGCCAGAGCATATTTCCCAATGCATATTACATATTTGCACTTCAGTAGCCGAACTACTTCCACAAGTGTTGCATTGCATAATGCATTGATCTGATCCAGTACAGACGAAGTTAGTTGTGGAGGAGTAACATTTTTACCACTATCAGTAAGAAAGGCAAAAGGACACAGGTTGTGCACATAGCTGGTTCTAAAGAAATGTTCTGGAGTGTGACACAGTGTTCTGAATAGTTGCCAGAAACGCCCACCAGTGACCTCAGACCTGGAGCATTCAAGTCCTACAACTCTTCTCTTCGGATGTTCTAGAACTGGCTTTAAGACCTCACCCTCTATTTGAAGCCACTCCTTTACAATGGCACACTCACCAAAAGGTACTCCATTCTGAGACATCCCAAATGGTCCAGGGTTCATACCTACAAAAAGTATGTACTTTTCACCTGTACAGAACCTTCTGACAAAATTTAGATGGGAGTCAAAAGCATACTCTAGAGGATTATAAACATACTGGATCTTTCCTGGAAGGCTTACACGCGATAGTTTTTCACACAACTCCTTTTCAAACATCATGTAGCGATCACTGAAAAAATTGGGACTACCTGGCTCAGGGTTTGAAGTGAACAAGTAAATCCCACGCTGAGAGTGAAAAGTAGCAGGATCTCGTGGCGCTGGAGTTGGCGGCCTCTCTGCTTCCTCTGTGGATTTCTTTGGTTTTTTAGGCGCTGGGCTGTGAACTCTGTCATCGAGAAACGGGGGTGTCCTCATCATCCCTGGCTGCAAAGGATGGGGTGGGAAGCTCCTCCCCGGAGGACCCCCTGGGGGCAGACCAGCAAAGTATGGGCTTGAAAACTGGCGATATCTGTATCGATCCAGTTCTTCTTGAGACATTAAATCGGAACTTTCTTTAATGGGAAATCCAGGTATAGTTGGTCCCCAACCCATGGAAGGATGGTAGGGAAAGGGCATCTGCCCAGCCTGACTATTGGGATAAAGACCCATTGCCGATGACTGCATTAATTGAGAGGATGAAATACCACCCATGTAACGATTAACACCATCAAGAGAATTCGAGGGAGGAAATCCACCAACTTGGTTATATCCATACATGGGATACCCATAGGATTGTGCAAATGGAGAAAATGGTGGTCCTCTTGAATCTGCAGAACTGCTCGTACTTCCAAATGCTTGTGCATAAGGACTGGAAGAGATGCTGCTTGTAATGGTGCTTGGGGTGTACAGCGTTGTTGAATTGGGGAATGTGGGAGAGGATGACTGTTCTGATGTTGGTGTGCCAGAATACTGGCCGTGAGGAGAAGATGCTGGTAGGTTATCTGTGGCAGCACCTGGAGAGTGGGCAGTAGAGCTGGGCCTCAAGGATGAGCCTGGAAACCCTAACTCTGACATACCATGATATGACTGCCCGTAAGCAGCATACTGAGATGCTAGATTCACTGATAGATCACTAGATTTTGGGTAGCCCAGGACACCATCACCACCCAAGCTACTCATCCCAGGACCACCAGAGCCACCAGCAAGGCTACGCATATCTGTAGTAAAAGGATGGCCGTATGGTTCTAGGGATGAAGGTAGACCAGAATGTTGAGAATAAGCGTCCCACGGACTTGATGACATTTTGCACTTAATTAACTAGCTTCTTTGAAACTTTTAAGTAAAAGCAAGTGGTTGAGAATTGTCATCAATTAATTGTATCCAGTATACCATCTCTATATAGCGTTGATGCAAATGGTAATCATTTTTAGTTGAAAAGATAGCACACAAACTGCCTTATTTCCATAACTTGAACAAAATTGACTCGAATTTGTTATTTACTTTTAATTACTCATGTTTAAATGACAAGCTTCAACTGGTTAAATTCATAGCACTGCAGCGGACATTCCAGAGGCAAATAGCTCCACACTTTTATCTGACAACTTAAATTGAGTGTGTTTCGTGATATGTTTCCTGGGCTTCAAAGGAGAATCTTTCCATTCAATTAATATCTGGTGAAATAAAAATAGTTTAAATTAATTTTCCTCAATTTCAAGGTTTCTAAATTGTAAACAATAATAAAGACAGTAAAAGGCCATAAAAATTTCCTTCAATGTTAGCAGAGCATATTATCACTGAATCTCAGTGAATAGTCAAATGGATAATGACAAACTTGGCAGAAAGGAATGCCTTCCAAGTTCCATCCAGCAGGCCTTAGGCTGGATGGCAAACAAACCTTTTTATCATTTGAATAAGTCTTTTAACTTTTTCTATCTTGTGGAAATGAGATCTGCAGTCAAATGGTTGCATTTCAGGTGATTTGCTAAGAGGTGTGGGTTCTATTCTAATAGGGATCAAGCTACCTTTTCTAACTTTTTTCTTCAATTTTTCAGGAATCAGCTTTCCTTTGGTTGAATATATAAGCTTATTTTTATTATTGATAATGGGATATGTATGTAACTTACATAGATTGTAAGCCAAATAATTCTGATAATTTTTGGCTAAACGTAAATTGTTTATTCCTATCCAATCATGGCTTAAGCCTAAGTCAAATTAATTAAAACTACAAATTTGAGCTATGGAAACTACTAGTTCATTTATTTGACAGAACAATTACATACATATACGTGGCAGTTAGGACTACATTCTTTATGGCACACCAATGTAGTCTAACTTTAACAACGAAAAATAAAAGACAAGAAAAGCCAGTCAGGCATAATGCCATTGTGGCACCAAAATCTTGCCTCAAATGGAAGGTAATATTTCCCTTCCATTGCGCATGCCTACACCATTCCACCTAGATTGTGCCTAAACTATTTACTAATCACGGAAATTTCAAAAGGCTGCGGCAACCCTGCTAATTCAACCTATTCCAAATTTAAGGCTCTACTGTTGTAGGGACTGAAGTCGAAGTATATCTTTTAATTAAAAACTTGCATTACTCATTTCATGGCAGACAATAATTTAGAAAAATTGGAATATTAACATCTGGCATGTTTTAGTTACAAAAGCTTGTTTCTTTAGTAATGGTCTCATTTGTTTTATATTTATATTATTGAATTGAGTGAATAAGAATGAAATCTATGTCATTGCTAAATGCATATTTGAATAATTTTAAAAAGTCATGTTACTTATTACATCCAGTATAGAAAAAAGACAAATTCAAACAGCTGAAGGTTGAATTTTACTATTAATATGAGAAGCTATACTTCTTAATTATCTCTTTGCATTGAGATGGGGGTCCGTTACGCTCACAATTAACCAAGTTGTTCAATTTAACTTTTAAGAGACTCAAATTTGTTTTTAGTATGGAAATTCATATTCAATATCTAGCAACATCTAAGTAAATTCCAAATGAAATACTTGAGTACATTTTTTGTAAAAGCAATTAAAAAAAACATTTGATTAACATCAATGAACAGCATTCTATTGTCATATCTAGAGCTAATCCGAGATTTTAGAGAAAAGGACAAACTGTCAATTTTGATGACCAAAAAAAAAGGAGCTCATTTTAGTTTTGTGTCTAAAATTAAGTAGGTTACAGTATTTTCTTCAATAAATTAATCATTAGGCCTACTGAAAAGTAATAATATTGTGTGAATGAAAGGGAAAAAATTCCAATTTGGGTCTATGAATGGTACTTTGTTTTAAGCTTATGTGTTCAACTTTTTTGTGGTGATTTTTTTTGTTGTGCTATTTGTTTTTTGTATGTCAAAATAGATAGGCTAATAATTAATAAATGATAGTGAGCCTAGTAATTCTGGAAATTAAGCTAAAAAATTACTAATACAATCATAATAGGATAGGAAATAGTTCTAAATACTATCCAGTCAAGAGTTTGGCTGTTTAAGGATTAACCATGGACCTAAGTTGTTTATTTACTATTAAGATATAGTTTGATATAGTCTAGTCTTTAAGTAAAGTATATGCCTAATCTTTTTTTTAAATCTGTTTTAATATTTATCCTGTCTAATCAAAACCTGTGGTTATTTTTGTTAAATCAAAGTTAGTAATTTGTAACTTCAGCTACGTTAATTAGGCCTACTACAAAAGTAAGAAAATTATTGGTGTGGCAGAACAATCAGATTTATTTGTGGCAGTTACTTTCATACAACTACATTCTTAAGTTGATGATAGTCTTCAAAAAGTCACACACATAATAATATTTTGTGAGATCCTGTTGCGCAAATACAGTTGAGCAAAAATATTCTTCCTATTTTCTTCCGACTAGAATCTGCCTATAAATTATACATGTATAGGCCTACCTGGCAATCTATTTAAATTCTGCCATTTCTTAGCTGTTTTGAGTGTAGTGAGTAAAATCATCAACTTCTGTATTGTCTAATAATGAAGTTAAATTAATCCCGAATATCATGACCAGTCCCCATTAAAAAATTGAGACCTGAAACTGTCAGTTAATAATTAAGGTTCTATTTTATATATGCTTACCTGACCATGCACATCCTTACAGTAACCTGATTTCAGATCTGAAACCTCAATTTTGAGACTTGATAAGTGTGACATAAATGCCCAAACTTCATTTGCTTCTTCATCCTCTTCATCCAAGTTGGAAAATAGCACTAGTGATCCTTTCAGAGCTCCCAGTGTAACAATATTATTGAGACTGTTAACAAAATATGTTAACTCTGGTGTAGTAAGACCTGCCCTCAAAAGAACTGTTAAATCATCAACAATAACAACAGGGCCAGCACTGTGGGGGCTCAGTTGAGATAATTTAACAAGTGCTGATTTAATAAAATCTAAAAATGGTGTTTGATCACCACTCAAGAGACTTAAGAATAGCTTAGTTTCACTCAATTCAGTTGCGGGCTGCGTAATACATTCGCTTAATAGCTTGAGACCTTCTAAAAATAAAAGGTTTTTGTTCTCATCCCGAGCCGAAAGTAGGTTGGTCCCAAGCTTTTGAGCAACAGTGTTAAAATGATTAAAAGATTGGGAAAGTCCGATGAAACACACAGGTCTTTTTTGCTTCAGGCACAAGTTTAGGAAATAATGTATTAAGAAACCACCTTCATGGGACCTATCTCCAATGATAATATGTTCATTTTGAGGAAAATTGCTTGAGTCAACAGCAAGAAACTGACAAATCTGGGCCAGCATGTTTCTCCATTTTAAGTCGAAATTCTACAGCGCGGTAAAGATGATTGAGTACAATATTCCATATTTTAAAAAGTAAAAAAACCACAATCCTGTAGCAAAAAGGCTATGGTATAAGTTATTACTTTTTAGAACGTTTATATATTTTAATTAATTCAATCAATAACATTATCTGCATAAAGGACTTTGCTTGAATCGAATCTTTTAAGTAATCTACTTTTTATCGGCATGACGCCATGGTGTGTACTTCCGGGAAGCGCCAGTTTTAAACGGAAGTTGGAATCAATGGACACCAGCGAGAAAAGTCTCAAAGGTATTTGAGAGGTGTATAAATTCATTTAAAAATCTTGCACGGCGTAGTTACAATTAATATGGTTATAAAATCCTGTCTGTCTGGTTTTTTTCGGACTTTACTAAAGATTGGATATATTTGATGTTTTTAATATTTTCGGTAACTAAATAAAAATAAAAAAAAAGAAAAAACAATTTGGTTTTCACGTGTAATGGCGACATAAACAATGGCCGACATAAATTTTATTGTACACATTGTAAGCTAAAAATAGAAACAATAGGTCATGGTGTTTAAATTTGCATAGTTATTTAAGGGGACCATCATGAGAATTTTTGATAAATCTTTTGAAAATATCGATTTTTCGATTATTATTGAAATAAACAATTCAACATCTTAGGAACACGTTTTTTCCACTCATTATGGCCAACTTTATGTTAAAATATGTTTAAAAATGATTTTTAAATCATAACCATCGCTTAGTTTTTCTCAGAAAGCTAATTATTCGTCTACTTTGAGCCCCAATAATCGTACTTCATATTTTATCTACCCGCATGTGTCATACATCGATGGAAAGCTCTAAAATGGCTGCTTTTTTTAGTATCATGACCTATTTTCATCTAAAAATAGCAATGGACACAAAGACTCAACCAAACTCGAGAATTAGACTATAAATTTCAAATATACGCGATTCTATTGGTTGTTGTGGAAAATAAATATAACTCTGCGACTGAAGAGTCAAAATTTGGAGCTCTTTCGTCCCCGAAGTTACATTTCCGTCACGCAGTATCCAGAATAAACAACTGGCGGCAGCCATTTTTGTTTCGCGATTCGACACCGAGCTTTTCATTTACAGTTTCATTTTTGCCTTGGTAAGTAATAATTTTGATATAAATAAATAAATAGATTACTCATAATTGATGACTTTTAAAATGTGTATGATTTAATGTTAAAATTAAGCGGAGGGTCAAATATTTTTCTATATTTCTCTCTGGTTATAAATCTAGTTTTAGAATCTTCTAGCTAGATTTCTAGATAGGATCTCAACTTCTATCTAACAAAACTTTGTTAGAATCAAAACTTAGATCTAATTACAAGGACAGCTGTGCCATAATAACCAGGTGCATTTTGTTAGTATATTACTAAATATTTTATATAGACTACTATAAATTAGTTGGAAGTTATAATAAAATATAAAAATCAATGAAATATTTTTCTTCTTTGATCAGGCTACAAATTCACATGGCATTGTCTAACAGAAGAGAGTAATCAAGGGATAGCAACCAAAGAATCAATTTCAGTAGATCAACCAAGGAAACATGTTCATTTTCAACATGCAAAGCAGAACCATGAGGAAAATCAATGACTATCTAATCTATATACCCGGATACTGGATAGACTGACGCTGAAGAAGCCCTGGATATTATAGTAAGCTTCAACAGGACATGGTAAAATACAAGCCAGCATGGAATATCAGCTGTCATCAAGATGGAGACAGGATTTTTTATATCCAGGTTAGTTCAATGATTTGTTAGTAATGTAATGTGCATACATGTGTCTTCTTTACCAGAAATCTTATAAATACTGAGCGATGTAAATTTATACTATTATTATACAGCAGTAGTGAGTTGTGTTTATATAAATAAGAGTACAAGCAATTTCATGTTATATATTTGGTTATAATCTTTTTTCTTCTTATAGACTTCTGCAAGACTGCAGTGAAAGCTACACTAGACCAGCAAGGGTCATGAAGTTGGCCGCAGTGAAAGGTCTGTGGGCGAGATCGCTGACCGATAGATGACCAACTTCTACCAATGCCTAATCATCACACCACCTCTAACTATCCATAAGAAGCCAATCATGGTGTTATTACAATGACATTATGCCTTTCATTGTAAAACTAGATAGACATTCCTAACAGTAATTATAGTCAAGGCTGTGTGTGAGAAGGTGATGAATGGAATTTTTAACCTGTATGAACCAGGATGCCTGATGGGTATTATCCAGAATGCCAATACAAGATTGTAGTTGTATACAGTAAAGAAAAGGAATCCTAGATAACACTAGTACTACTAGTAGGTTTTAGCAGTTGAAGAGTGAAATCTAATTTTTACTTAGAACAAAAATACTTAGATAATACTGCTGATAAGATTTAATTTTTACATTTTGTTTCGCAGAAGTATAATTCTTTTTAAATTGCTAAATAAACCTAGAACATCAAATTTATAATTAGTTAACTAAGGCAAGTTCACTTTTCAGGTTGCTATACTTGATAGCAATGAATTTAGAGGTGGATTACAAAAAAAAAATTTTTTGCTCTTTATGATCAAAATTTTTCTTAGGGGTGTATGTATCTACTTTTATTCCTGGTTGTTTATTTGATAACATTTTCTTTGTATAAAGTGATATTTATGTGTACCATTGCACATTGTTCCTAAAAATATAAGCATGGTATGATAATAACAATAAAATTATCTCTAAAACTGACATCGCAATAGTTTTTTCTGTTTTTCTCGCATTTGTGTTTTTCTGTAATTTATAAAACCGTACGGAATATTTCTCATTAATGAGGAGTCATAGGAGGTTCTAACTTTGCAAAATTATTACAAATACATATATCTATTGGATGTCTAAGCAGAATTGAGTTTGCTTTGATAGTTTTTTTTTACCAATTTTTTTTTTGAATCGTATTCAATTTTTTCTGTGCATTCCGAGAGCATGTTAAGACAAAAATTCATAAAAAATAATCTAACAAAGATTTTTAAAAATCCCTTTGTCATCCAATAGACATGTACAATTCAAAACAACATGTAAAGTTTGAATACATTCTATCAAATGGTTTAGAAACTAGATTCCGCACAAATATATAGCAATAATTGGTATATTTTCACCCCAGACGTGCCTAAAATACTTATTTTTTGTTTTTTTACTCAGAATAAAATTTCTATAAGTTAGTCAATACTTATGTTTCTATTATATAACAAAAAATAGTACAGACACTGCCTTTTAAATTTTTTTGCAAATCCTCATGATGGTCCCCTTAAAAATTTGATCTGCAAAGTTTTGTAAACAAAATAACTATAAAGTGGGGCTGTCAGAAATCGATCACGGAGTTCCTTTACAGCCAATCACTGTTTGTCTTACGAAAGTGAAACATCGGGTTATAACTTAGGCTTGATGAAAATAAATAGAAATGTAGCCTTAAACTCAACAAATTATTTTCAAGTTCTCTGGATCTGCAACTTGTATAGCATTGATTCTAAAACTATTACATTTCTGAATTAATTTTAGGCTTAAGTTTTTAATAAAATTTTATCTTTTATTAGTTTTATGGTCCTAAATCTAAAAAAGCACATTTTTATTCCATGTCAACAATATTACGGAGGGAATCTCGTCAACTCGCTGGTGTCCATTGTTTGTATTATTGTTTTTTTTTTCCGATCGAGTAGTCCTATCTAAACGAGATTCGAGATCAATAAACTAACAATAAAATGTAAACTTTCCAAATTGTTATCTGATTTAATATACCTTTGACTTCAAGCCTATCCAGATATACATATAGATCTAGCTAGATTTAGATTCTATAGGCTAGATCCACATCCACTATCCAGCTTTTTTAGTTTTTATAATATATTTTAAGATTCTAGGGCAGGGCCTAGCTTTAGCTAGGGGCCTAATTATTTTTTTTAGGATTTTTACTTTTTAGCCAGGGTAAAGAAGGGCACTAACTAACTAAACTTAGTGACTAAGACTACTCGAGTACTCCTACTACTAGATCTAGATTCTACTAAGTAAGAGCCACACTTTTTAAAGTTTTTAGCACCTGTACATTTTAAACGAATTTTACTAATCCAAGTATTTTATAATATTAATTAATCAATTAATAATATTGAAATTAATGCAAAATTACTCTAGTATTTCTAGATTCACAAGATTCTAACACATTATTACACATCTTGGTAATCTATTGTTTTAGTAGGCCGTTCGATTCACAGCTTCCGGGTTTGTTGTTTTGAAGCCATCTCACGGCTCATGCGCTTACCAAAAATGGCGACCAGTTTCGCTTTCACTAATGGGTAGAGGGATAAAACTAATGATTACGAAGCCATCGTTAATTTTAGAAATCGGAACTATCCGTTTCTATTTAAGTCTATTAATTAAGAATTGTCGGATCTACTTTTGGCCTAATTTCTTTGTTTGTCTCGCAAGCGGCGCCTTAGTGAAAGTAGCTCTATATAATTCTCATCTTTCGAATCAAATAACTCTAAAATACCCCGTGTATAATAAACCAAACTATGTGTATATGAAACTTGAAAGTATCAATTTTACACACATTACAATTAACTGGTAATAACTTATGGTCGGAATGAGATGTGGTCCGTTCAAGTAATAATGCCATTTTATTATAATCTTTTTTGGTGAACACGAGGCGCGGGAAAATGTGTGCCGCGCAAGAATCCAATCATTTGGCTAGGTTTATCACTGTTTTTTTATGTCACACCTAAAAATAGAATGTTTACGCTTTCTTCATTGATGATCGTTTTTATTATTTTTTAAACTGAAAGTATGAATTATTAGTTAGATTTTAGGTTTTGTAGCTTGGTATACTTACCCTTTATCAATTTTAAAAGCATAGCATGCTGATTGTGAACAAATAGTCATAAGACACAGAAATAAAAAGTTACATGCGATGTGCCACACCCGGGTCACACCCCCTCAAGAAAACACGTGTTTATTAAGCTGTTTATCTCACTTTACAACAGTAATTAAAATTAATTGTCAAATTTTTATTACTTATTGGGTAATATTAAGCACATGTTTACTAATAGTTAAAAAGAAACATAAGTAAATTCTGTTTTAATGAAGGTCACGGGTCAAGTTTTTTTTCCTTCTTTCAAGTTCAGTGGAGGGTGCCACAGGCTGACCTGACTTTGGAATTTTTTTCAGTAATAATGACTTTGCACAGAAAGTTAAAATATGCTAAATTAGCTTAGTTTACTAGTATTCTAGCTATTATTAATACATTTTTAATAAAAAAAATCATTCTGTAATTCTCATCAAAAAGCCTAGTTTTAGGTACGTAAAATCGCCCGCGACTAGTAATGTGAAAACCGGGTGACTCCTTAAATTTTAATAATTATTTCACATTTTGAGGAGGATTTATGTTTTGAAAAATACAAAAATGTTTCCTTGTTTCATTTATCTACCTGTTTTTAAACAATTGAATTAAAACTGTTCAGTAATAAATGAAGACTAGCGATGTTTCCAACAGATGCAACCATGCTCGTTTACTACGGCAGCCATGTTTTTGTTTTTCTTATTGTAAACTTAAAGCGCGAGATTCAGGGGAAGCCACTCTAACTTACAGATGACCGCTTTTTATATAGCAAAGACTGCTGTTTAAAGTTAATTTCTTGCCTATATTGATATATTTAGCCATTGATTTAGGTTTTTTATTGTTCATTTATCTATAATATTAATTGACACAAATATATCACAATATACTTCTATTAAAGCCTTGACAATGAGGTAACTTTTTTGGACATTACTAGCCGCGGGCGATTTTACGTACCTAAAACGATAGATTACCCACATCTTTATATATATATAAATAATAGGGGCCTAATAAAGTAAAAATTAGGCCTATAGATCTAGTAAAGGCTATTAAATTTACTTTAAATTGGTTTAATGTTAATAATTTAGCATTTAAAGCCATACCCCCAAAATCAGTATTTGAGGCAAATGTAGCCAGACCACAGGGCATTAAGTAAAGTATTGAGGTTAGATAGAGGTGGGGGTGAGAAATTGTGAGGGGGAGCATTGGTATTAATGTGTCTGATCACTTCCCTGCTGGACCATAATGGTGGTCATATATATTACATAATACATAAAATGCCACCCCAGATTAGGTGAGATCTAAGAACTGTAATCCATGTTACCTACAAAGAGATGAAGTTTTATGGTGGGCTAGAAACAGGTGGGGCTGGGTATCATGGAGGCAAGAAATTGTGAGGGGGAGCAGTGGTATTAATGTGTCTGATCACTTCCCTACTGGACCAAGATTGGCTGAAATCTAAGATTAGTTATCCCTGTTACTTACAAAGAGATTAGAAGTTTTATGGTTGGTTAGAAACAGGTGGGGGCTAAGTCAGTTGTATGTATTGCCCCTTAGGGATAATAAGTATGAGTACCATTTTAAAATTTTCATTAGTCTGAAATTTTGCTTTTCAGGAGGTTAGAATTGTATTTCTATCACTTAGACACAAGTGTGTTTAACAATTAATACATTTTGTGTTAACTATTCCTATACCAGTGTCATATTCAGTGATCTAATAAATAAGAAACTTGCACAGAGGGCAATAAGAGCCACATAACAATATATGTTATAACTTTTCTGAACATGCAAGCTAGTGGATAACCTTAATATATTCATGTAGATCTAGTTATTATCTAACAAATAAAACCATTATGATAATGATCAGTCAAGTTTTACTCTGATAATGATAAAAACTTTATAGCATGGTAAAACCTGACAAATGTTGGCCATTTTGTTTTGGCATCAACAATCACCATGGAAAAAAAATTCACCAAAATAAAACTATTCTAGCCATAGTTATAAAAACTATGTTAAAATGTACAGCAACCAATGCTTTAATAAAGAAACAAAGAATGGGCTTGAAAAACTTGTATGGTTTATTACAAAGTGAAGTTTCATAAGTTAAGTCTACTTGGAAAAAAAGTTCACAAAATGGTTTTATGGAGATGAGAAATTTTAGAGAAAGAGCAGTAGGATTAATTCCTGTCTCATCTTCTCACTGTTGGAAGTGGGTCATAAATTACATAAAATGAATCCTCTACTTCTCTGTTACCAAAGAACAACAGTGGTTGTTACCTTAGAAGTAGATTAGTAGTTTTATTGGGGTTTTTGTGAGGGTGGGGTGCTGATCGGGTCCTAATACCACACAGCTCTTCGTGCCCTGCTTTACCCCTACTAATTTTAAAGTAAATTAAAGCACCGTCTTGAAAATTTGAAAAAACTTTTTAGACTAGGCCCTAAATTCTAGATTCTAACTAAAATAAATTTTACTAGATTCTAGATCTAAATGCATGTTGAATGTTTCTTTCTGATCTAAAATACAAAAATAATTTAAAAAATTAAAATAGTTACTCCAGGTGAAGCCCATCTTTGTAGTTTCCAGGTCCAGTGTGGTGTTTCTTGGTCAACCTCTTTTGTTCTTTCCTGGAGGGTTCCACCTCAATGCCTGCCTCAAATATTAATAATTAAAAACAAATTCTGTAATTTTCCTAATGGCCTAACTGAAAAATATGAAATATTTTTAACTACAATTTTACTCTAATTATCATACATTACTTACTAATGACATCTCCTAGTCCTAGACATACGAGATAATAGGTTTTCTAAAAAGTTCTTTTAATAATTTATCAAAACTGCTCATTTTCTCCATGTTTCTGTTATAAAGTTTTTATTTTTTAGTTTTAGTGAATATCATCATCTTAAAAGCATCATCAAACATGTTGCAATAGACTTGAGTCTAAACCTCTGGATTATCTCAAACATTTCATGTTAGTTTTACTTCAAATACAATTTAAAAAGCATCATGTAGTATTTGGTCAAATTGAAGCCCCTGAAAACAAATCTTTTTTTCTCTACATAACAATTAAACAAGCGTTATCATTAAGCTGGCATAAACACTCATCTTTATAGCTCCAGATGTCTAGGTGTAATATAGTAGTTACAATTCACAATTAAAGTATTGTTTTATGCATTAGCTGTCGTAATTTCATGTTGCCATAGTCTTAACTATCATGTCCATTTTCAGAGACAATTATTGAATCATGTCTGAAGGAAATCAGTATTTGTGTCCAATTTTAAAAGATCCTGTTCTTGTGGAACATTACAATCAACTGGGAGTTGATCTGACTGAAAATGACCTAAAGAGGCCTGTTGTAAGTAACATTTGTTTCATTTTAAAAGATTCAATTATGATGGATGTCATTTTTTCCCCACATACAGCTAATGAAAAATAAATCACAGTGTTTATTATAAATACTTCTAAATTAAAAGTATAATTTATAATTTAAATCATGTAGTTTATTCATTAAATCATCTAGTTTAGTTGGTGGTTTTTCCTGAAATTTTAATTATATTATTTAACTTTTTTTAAGATGCTCATAATTTTAATAATGTAGTTTTAAAATTTATAATAATCTAATGTGTAAGTCATAATGGATTTGATTATTATTTTTTAGGCTAAACGATGGCTTGCTATATATGGTCAGATCTTTGAATTTTTGACATATAAGCCCATAGAACAAGTCATTCAGGTAAGTAAAGAATAGCATGTAGTTTAATTCTTTTTTTTCCTCATTTAATAAGTAAAAAAAAACAATTAATTCCAAATGTAATATTGGTGGTGTATCCATAGCATTTCATCCTTGAAATATCAAAGTATTAATACACTAAGCAGAAGTGTACCACAGTCTTACCCATATTTAATCAGTTTATATTACCTAATAAAGTTAAGTGTAGGATATAAGTGTAAAGGAGTAGGAAGAGGGAATAGTTTATTTTAACAATATTAGTAAAAGGGAATAGGATGGCTACTGAAGCATTCTGATCCTGTTCACAGTAGCGCAAGTATGATTTATTATAAAATAATATTTATCTGAAGGTTTGTCTACTAAACTTGAGCTGTTTTGTTATTTCATTAATAGTCATTATTCAGAATTCAAAGAATGGCTACAGACTGCCCAGAAGCACATGAGGAAGCTTTTGCTCAAATGGCATTTACACATTGTTTGTAAGTATTATTTTTATCCCTTTTTGCTAAATCTTGATTAAAAGGGCATTCGACGGGCTCTTAGAAAGCTTAAATTTAATTAACGAAAGCCTAAACCATATTTAAAATGTCTTATTATTAGAATATTATACTTTTGTTTATTTGTGCTTCATCAGACACTAAATAATGTCAAACTAAAAGAATATTTTACTTTTTGTATATTTTTTCTTCATCTGATATTTTTATTTCTTTTGTCTTTCTTAATTTTTTTCAGAGCCAGAGTATTAAGTTCCTGTGGAATAACAGATTTTAATCTACGTGATATTATGGAACCCAGTAAGTCTTTTTTTTTTCTGGCTTGTTGACCAAGGAATGCTTGGATTTTATACGTTTTAAAATAATTATGAAGTGAAGAATTGAAATGTATCTACTTTTGTTTGAATCCATGCAGCATGTCCAAGGGTGAGGATGATATCCAGTTATGTTTTTAACATGTTGCTGCACAAATACCAAAGAGAGGAGTATTTTAAGCAGCAGCGTGAAAAATTGGTAAACACCTTGCTTTTTTAAATATTAATATTTCCTGATTTTAGGTTGATTATTGTTTGAATTTGATTATCTAATTTAGAAAAAAAAAGATTCCTCTTTAGACCTAGCGATCCATTTGGGGAGAAGAAGTAGCGTTTATGTTTCTTGACCTCCGCAAATGAAGATATAGTGTTGTTAGCTCTTTTAACAAGCCGACTTTACTTTCCCTAACATGAGTTAGCTACCCATCAGAGTTGGGTGGACTCAGGGACGTTCTACTGACTTTAACATGGATTCGTACTTATAACATTAGGTAAAGTTTAAATGTGTTACCACCTAGAATTCCTAAAGCTGCTTGCTTTTCTGTTTTAATAATCTCTTGTTGATTTTATTGCCTGATTTCAGGGTCAGTTTGAGTTTTCAAACCCCATTATCTCAAAATGGTTATTTTGTGACTTTAGTACTTTTAGCATTGAGGTCTTCAAATTGTTTTTGATACTTTTGCTAGGGACTCGATAGTAGACTAAAAAAAGGGAAAGAAACTAGGCATTCAATTTGTAACATGTACATTTCTGAAGTGTTATATTCTTTACAAGCAAAAAGATTACTATTCAAACATTGTTTTGATTATTAGTAGCTTATAATGATGGTTAGACATATCTGTTGTGTATTTTATCTTATTGTAACATTGGAACAAGCTTTATCGTTATCATTTATGTTGTTTTAAGCAAGAATCTAAAGAACATTTTGAGACAGTATTAATGAGAAACAAAGAACTGAAAGAAAAGTTAGCAAAAGCTAAGGCAAGGAAACCAGAAGTTGATGCTGAAACACTGAGGGTAACTGATTATTGTTAATATGAGTTGATGCGAAGTCTTGAGAATTTAAATGATAACTCTAACCAGATCGACTGGAAAGCTATTTAAGGATTATATAAATTGTAATCATTAATAATAGTTTAATTCTTTGTTTATCTTAAATTTTTTTTCTTTTTTATGCTTATCATAAGTTAAAGTGAATTTTACATAAGTACAACAAATAAGAATTTAAATAAAGTAGGATTATGTGATTTTGTTATCAATTATTATATGTTTAGAATGCATCAAATAGGCTATGTTCCAGTATATGGGGGAAAAAAATCACTATATTGTGAAATTTAACATCATTAATATTGGCATTAAATTTTGACAGTGTCAAGAAATTTGTGATAAACACGAAAAAGAGTTTTATGAAATCAAGAAACTGCAAGAGGAGGAGAAAAGAAATGTTGATGAATTGAAACTAGTGACAGCTGCATTAGAGACAGAAAAGGTAAAATACAAACTGACAAACTGACATGTTCCAAAAATAAAGACATGTTTCACTAACAGTTTATGAAATTCTTTCGAGAATTTTATTAAGAATATTGTCAGTATTATCATGTATACAGACACTATGTAAGTTTAATAGAACCATTACATTTAGAGTAAAAAAATCCATCACACCCTTTTTTAATTACCTCATTGTAGTAAAGATACATTTACATTTCAGTGGTGAAGTTATTCACATTCCTTTTATTTTTTTGCTTACTTAAAATTGTTAAATCTTAAAACAAGATTCTTCACTAATTTAATTTGTGAATTGTTTATCGTGCCTTTGAAAAGGAAAATCTCAAACAAGTTCTATCTGAAGCCAAGCTGGATTGTGAGAAAATGTCCCATAAGATAGTGCAGTCCCCTAAGAGATTTAAGCAAGAACAAGAGCGATGCAAGGAGCAAGTGATGATTTTACGCACCGAGCTACACAACAAAGAACAGGCATTATCAGAAAATAAACTTCTGATGGTAAGGTTTACATTTCTATGCTTGTAAGCTAAATTTACTCAAAGCTAATTTGATAATTGAAATGGTACAATTATAAAACAGATTTTTTTAGATAATTAATGAGATAATGTTAAGGGCTTACTTTCTCATGTGGAATGTCGCATCACATTTGTTGAAACCTTATCAGAATTCAATGTAATTATTGCTGCACATATTTTTTTTATTAACAGGAAAAAACATTGAACAAACAATCAGCAATAGAAAAAGCAGTCAAATTATGCAAAGAACTCTTGGCTGAGATGAAGAATGAGAGGTCAGAATTGGTTTCTTTAGTTAGGATTTGACCTCTTGTATATCATTTTTTGTGCCCCATTTTGAGTAGTTTTCTCTCATTGATTGAAGTATGGGTACAATACAAAAGACATGAGAATGATTTTGAATTGATTAATTGGTCTCATTTTTCTTTAGTGTACATAAATTATTTATAATATATGCATAATAGACAAATGGAGGATTTGTGGTATAAACTGTGGTAGCCTAAAACTGAACAATCATGTGCATTTGTGGAGTATTTAGGGTAAATAGTGAAACAACCTGACTTTATTCTTTTCCGATGCAAATTAAATTTCTTTCTTGTCTATTTTAGTGAAAGTGATGCAGAGTTTAAAAAATTAACAGACTATGCCATGGAGCTAAAAGAGAGTTTTAACTCATTAAATATCCAAGAAGAAGACGTGAAGGAGAAGTTGAATGTGCGCAAGACAAAGCAACATAAGATGTTAAGCCAGATTGACATCAGTAAACTGTCTTTTCGTGAACAAGTCAATGACCTTAAACAGTAAGATTCTAGTCTCTTTTTATTCAAATATTTTTTATTCAAAACATGCCTAACTTTCAAACACAACAACAGGCACCACTCCATCTGGAATTAAACTCTTATCAAGAACACACTATATTATATTACAATTTTTAATTAGCTTTTGGTTCCATAATTTTTTCCGACACAATGCTAAAAACCATTTGCCTCTGCCATAAAGAATTTAACCTGTTTCAGCTAAAGATTTACAATAGTGGCAGCTGGAATTAAAACTAAGCACAAGTATTATTTTAAAGAACAATAGAAGTAAAGAGATACAATAAATTTTGGTCATTACTTCAAAATTTAAAATACATGCTATTTTATTTGATGGGTGAGGATGGCTTGGTCTGATGGGAGAGCGTATGATAGCAAACTCAGTTCCCCAATGAGATGAGACCCGTTAGCTGGTGACAGCAACTCATCTTGAGAGAAAACTCCTTCATACAACTGCTGCTATGTAGATTGTTGTTGGGTGGTCAAAGCTATATAAGCACATCTAGAAAGAAAAGCAGACTGAAGTCGTAACAAAAATTTAAGGAGTTCACAAAAAGATATAAATTTTAAACCTGTTCACATTCACCCACTTTTTAATTTTATTTGAATAGTTTTTATTCCCAAAGCAATCAAAAAACATGCAGAGATAGAAACATTTTTTATATGATCTTGTATCAGCATTTATCTTCAACTACAATGGAATTGTTATCTGTTTTTAAATTTCAGGCACTTGAGTAGGTTGGAAGAGCAAAATCGAACTGTCAAGAATGAAATACCACAGTTACAGAAGAAATTAGAAAACTACAAGTTGGAAGAGGCAGAGCTGAAGATAAAACTTCAAAATAGAGTAACAGAATTAGAGAGCTACTGCTCCCTACAGTTTGAGAAGGTTAGTAACATTATCTGACAAAATGTGATATTTCGAATCCTGTAGGCAGATCGCTATACCTCATCTGAAGTGGTACAGCAGATAACAATACATCCACCTAACCTTGAGAGATAACCTGTTGTCTCTGCTTTTCTAACAAGGAATACTTTTTGTTTAAAATATTTATTTTCATAATGTGCCTAATCAGTAATAAAAATGGATCATATCTAGATTCAGTAACGCAGAAATTATATAATTACTGCCGCATTTGATAAATTTATGTATTTAAAATTTCTTGTTTAATGCACATGATCCTTGTGTACTTAATATCTAGTATGCTTCTCATGTATTCTGCCTAGTGTCCTAAACTCTAGGAGACCTGCTTTCTCTTATACTTGCTTTCTTTGTACAAGAATATCCATTTCATATATTTCCTCAGATATATGAACAGGAAAGGAATTTGAAACAAAATATTGAAGTCTTAAAACAAAAACTGATGAGTGATGAAGAAGAATAAAAATGAAACACTACTGGTGCCTTTTCACAGATTCTAAAACATGTTACATGTTTTTGTAAAAATAGCATTAATCTTACGTTAGAGGAGTTATCTAACGATTGATTTGCATACTGTAATTAGCTTGATTTTTATATTTGAAATATTTACATTGTGCATGTAACTTAGATTAAATGTGTATGTATTGAATACCTTTTATTCTTCATCTTTTAATTAAACTACTGATCAAAGTTAGTAACTTATGGGTCATCCATTTTGGACTACAACGTGTATGGAAAGGGGGAGGGGGTCCAGGTGCATTTTATATCACAAAATAAATGCAAATAATTTAACCTGCATAAACAATTACAGTGCTCAACTGTTAACACAGAGATTTCTAAAACAGTGAGTGTTAAAGAAAACAAAAATATAGGCCATGAAATCAATTATATATAATGCTACATATGACTGCTGAAAAATCTCTTAAAAATAATCTCTTTCTGCACACAAAAATATGCAATCTCAACACATTCAGAGGTATTTATGACCAAAGTGATGGGGGTTATTAAATAAATATTGTAGTGTAAGAATAACAAAAAAAAGACTAGTCTCTAATTTCCCAAAATTTATTGGGGCTCTATTTTTAGTTCACTTTTCATGCCCTTCTTTCCCCTCTCCCCCAAACACAAACTAAATAACTTTTTAGAGTGGCAGTGGAATCTGTAAAATTTAAATATTATATTGGCAGCAAATATTTATTTTAGTTACATTTTTCCAGTGAATCTCAATCTTTTAAAGTGAACTTGTGACACAATGAGAATGTTACAAGTTGTCAGGTAATACAACTTCTTCTAAAAATTAAAACTATTGTAACCTGTTCTTTATTTATTAAACCGGGAGTGATCTCACCTAAACTTTCTCGAATATTCTTATATAACACTACGGGGGATGGCAACTCGGGATATAGACAATTTTTAATACATTTTTAATTATTTAAACTTTTTAAAATAGAATCTCGTAGAAAAAAGAATTGCACACCAAATGGACGCCAAATAAAATGTGTATGATAGTGCAGAATACTATTAGTACTTTATAAATTCACATGCGTTTTTTTTTTTTTTTTTTGAGAAATCTGAAATAGCCTAAACTACTACTTCCTGTTAACGGAAGTTACTCAAAATTTGATAGAAGGCAGAGAATTAGATCATTTACTTATTTATCTATCTGAAATAGTACTCAAGTTATAGGCTTTTGAAAAATTGAAAGTAGAAAAAGTTCCACTTCGGGTTATCGGAAATCGCTGAAAAGTTGATATGGATCTACAAATTTGATTTAATACTTCTATATGTAAATTCATCAACCTAGCTGTAATGGTGCTCAAGTTATCGTGTTTACAGACATACATATACGGACAAGATTGCAAAATTATGTTTTTCTGACTCAGGGAGGAGTAAAAAAAATTTTTTGCAGGATTACAAGAAAGTAAACTCTATACTTTGTATACAAGAAAATAAAAAGTAGGTTATTCCATAGCAGAAATAATACAATACAGAGACAATCTTGCAAAAGTGGCATCTATTACTGCCCTTTTAAATCACAGATTGAAACTCAAGTACATTTACATATTTAGTTGCAACAAAAATACAGAAATATAATTTTATCTTTTTATTACTTTTCATTTAGAAAACAAAATCATCAGGTCAAGTAAAATTACTTACAATTACAATATAATAGTAACAGTTTTTAAAAAAAAGGTATATATTATTACAGTGCATTTATTATTTTAAAAGTAAAGAAAAACAGCATAAACCATTTAAAATATAATCTAAACTATTATAAAAAAAAGTCCATGCTTTATATTGTGCCCATAGAATTCTAACTTAAAAACCTAATCAGTCATGTTTGGTACATGCTAAGCCTCTAGTTAAAAATGTTGATTTTATACTGTTACTACATATATATATATATACACATATTTTTTTATTTAAAATATATATAAATGTGTTCTGGTTTAAAGAAAGTCACCCTGATCAGTTGGATATTTAAAACACAGCAAATTTATTTCTTTGATATTCTTCATTTCTGTGTTGTGTCCAACATACCAGAACAGAGTCTATAATACACCACAAATAGCATTCTGTATATTCAAGTATATATTACATCATTGCTGGGAACCCTTTAGAAAAGGATCATGCTGGTGGTGGTTAGTTGGGTGACTAAAGTGAGAGGGATGGGTTCTAAAAAAAAATGGATCAGATCTGCTGTGTAATATAAATAACACAACACAAGGCTGTTCACATAAAGTTGTAATACTCCTATACAACAGCCAGATGGTTGAACTTTTGTAACTTTGTCCACATGAAAGTTCTAATTCCCCCAACACAGACTGTTATGAGATGCAGTGTTTGGTTTCTGAGCTACTAAACCAGCACCAGTGTGGGATAAAGCTTCAACTGTAACCTGAAGAACCTCTGACCCTCTTTTTTTTCTACTGTTTTTCTAGAAGTAGTTCACAATTTTAAAAATCTACAGAGCAAATTACTCATATATAATAAACTTATTTTTTTCAAAAAAGCAGAAGCAAAAAAAAGAAGTTATTTCATCTTTTATGACAACTGCTGACCTGCATCATGGTTTCCTTGGTAATCTCAAGGTGGGACTTGTTTATATGTTTAGAAACTCCCACTTTTTTAAAAAGAGATATACATTCAACATTACTAATAAACTTTGACATTAATACAAAACAACTTGAAGTTTTAAAATTTATAAAAAAGTAAAAAGTTCCCTTTTCAAACTTGACTGTCTATAGGGCAAGTGAAGTAGAGTTCACTTGTTTCTGTGACCTCGGCAGATGAAGAGATAGTGTGGTCAGCACTATGCTCAGCCGCCTTTACTTTCCCTAAAGTGAGTTAGGTGGACTCAGGGATGGTCAACTGACTTAATCCTGGATTCAAACTCGAGACTTACGGGTTGGCAGTCCAGCTCTCTACAGCTAGACCACTCCGTCCCCTTTAAAATTTATAGGTGTAACTAAATCTCATACATCTTAAAGACAATTTTAATCTTTAAGTCTTCAGTGCTGAAGTATTTTTACTTTATACAAGTGAATTAAATTATTCAAAACTACAGTAAATATGAGAAACAACATTACAAGCAGTATCATGGAGTTGACCAAGCCTCCCAATGGATGAACCAGTCAGGTAAAAATTTGAATTCAGAGTCATCTCCCTTCTTCTCTATGGTCACTGGTGAGCCAGGTTTCCACCTGACTAAGTAAACACAGCTGAAAATAAGAACTGGTTTTTAGAAGTAATCAAATAAACTAAGTTAAATGAAAAATACTACATCTCTAATAGTTCATTTAGTTCATAACAAAATTTGTACAAAAATATTTCAGTTAATATTTCCTATTAATCTACAAAAACATACAGTTAATATTTTGTTATTCAGTATGCAAGTAATGAAGAAATATGACACTAATCTTTTTAAAACTTCATTAAAATATTTATCATTACATTTTCAAGAAATCAATATTTTATTAAAGGATCTATGTTTTAATTTCCTTTGCAACAGAATGTTTATTTCCATAAGAAATGTCTGAATAGAAAGAATATTACAACAGTAAACTTAATTTCAAAATGATTCAATACTTGGCTTACCTAAATTCAGGGATTTTATAAAGATTGTGAATAAAATAAGGTAACTTTTCAATGTACTAATTTGTTTTCTCATATTACCTCTCATCATCCTCAGTGATATTGATTTTGATGAAGTTTAGAAAAGCATTTAAAAAATTAAAACAAACTGTTGGCTTCCAGGGTTGATGTAGAGTGCTCTGTAAAAAAAAAAAGATATGCTCATTATACAGAATAAAGTGTATAATCATCAGAGAGCTAGAATAGTATAATTTATAATTTAATTTATTTAATTAATCTAAGTCTCATAACACTAGTAGGCTATGTTAACTATTAAAGTAGCTAGAAAAATTCTGAAATCAGAAGGTGTATTCTTACATTAACTATACGAGGGATTTCAGAGAGAGAATAGTCTTTCATCTTTCTGACAATACCAGCATCATCTCTAAAGCCACACACTATTCGAGGTATACCAATAACAAAACTTTGGGCCCACCACTTGATTAGCTTATACCTAAATTATTGTTAAAAAGAGATAAAAATATAAATATTTTGTGAATGCCGTTTTCTATTGGTTTGTATGAGAAGTCCATATGTAAAAACTGCAACATCAAGTTTTCTTTACAAAAATGGGTTATCCTCCTTAGCCATGTCTTTTTTTATTCCAAATAAACATTTTAAAGCTAATCTTTTAACCATAAAATTTCCAGATAACTTGGTTTGACATCTGATGATTTAAAAAATCTTGTCTAAAAACCTAAAGCCAAATATCAAATTTAGCTTAGCACAGGATGAACTCCTCACATTGAGCATGCTATTTATTTTTTAGATTATTTAAATTTTATTTTAATGTTTAAGAATAATAATTACGCTTATATTTTTTAAAAGGATAAGCAGAATGTAGATGTAACTTCAAAGCATAGTATACATTAGATGCCACATTTTCCAGACTGGTGTGATATTATTTTAGCTAGTAACTGCTAATTTCAAAAAGCCAAATTGTTATACTCTAACATAAGTGTAGACTTTGAAATTAGGTTCAAGCTAAAAACAACAATGCATCTGGTAATTTAAAATTGTTTGGTCCTAAAATGAGGATTGCAAATAAAATTATACTAATACTAATACCTACTTCAGTGCAATAGTCTTAATTAATGTGCAATAATTGTACACATATGAGCTAATATTATGTTGTAAAAAGGTATTGATAAAAACAGATAAAATTAAAAGCAGTAATTACATAAACGTTGACAATCATAAATGTAATAAATTTATTTAAATAATTGAAGAAAAACTGACTAATTATAAAATCTTAAATGGTTTTGTGTTTTTCCTTACTTGCAAAAATTTTCAAACTGTCTTTTATTTTCTATAAGTCGAGAAGTCTTGAGTTCAATGTATTTGTTTCTCCCTTGAGAGTTAACATCTTCACAGTCCACCTCCCCTCCAAACACTAAAAAATAGCAAATAAACAATAAAATGATATACTAATTTTATTTCATAATTATTACACTCTGATTATTAAAGGTGTATCAATTTTGGAGAACAATTTGTTAATAAAATGATACAAATTATTATTCATGGGCAGAGATAATATTTTTCAGTAGATTTTCTTCAATAATCAGGTTGCACTTACATAAAGAATGTGTTTCAAGGCGAGAATAAGCCATACTGCAAAATGCAGCATTGTTGTTGACTGGTACAGATGTATTGGGAACAGCACCAACTTTATCTGCAAACCAAATAGTTAGGCTTTGTTATCCTGTGACAGTTAATTAAGAGTCATGGAGTACATTTAATCTTGGGTGAAAAAACAAGCATTATTTATAGGCATATAGTGTTATTCTTAATGTAACTACAGTCTAAGTATTGAAAACAGGTTTTTGACATGAAACGACAGGAAACTACCCCATTATCTTTCCCTGTTGGTGCGCAAAACACATGGGCAGATGAAGTAGAGTTTGTTTCAATTACCTCTACATGTGAAAGGATAGTGTGATCAGCACTATGCCCAGCCGCATTGGTTTCTCTAGTGTCAGTCAGGTACCCATCAGAGCTGGGTAGACTCGGACGTCCCACAGTCTCAAAAAGGGGATTCAAACTCAAGACTTTCAAGATAAGCAGTCGTAAGCTCTACCATCTGACTACATCATACCCTGATACAGACACTACGAAATATACTATTTCACATGCCTAATTAAAGACATATTTTGTTCAAATTAAATTAACTTATCACAGTTTATTGAATTAATTAATGCTTAAAACCTAGTTTTAACTGTGAATAAAATCTCACTTACCTGCTGTTACATACTGCTCAAATTTAAATCCCCAAGCACACATTTCTTCATCACGCGGAGTTATATTTTCCTCTCTTGCTTTCTTTGTCTCAGTATCATATTCACACAAATAATGTGTTCCCCTAAAGCGAATTACTGCAACCAATAAATCTTCTCGATTTTCATAAGGTATACAAAGTAATCGAGTGATGAGACCTCTCCAACATATAAAATCAATGTTCAGTCTGAAAATATCAAATGACTTATAATTACATACTGCTGAGAGCTTCCAAATGTTATTTAATATAAAAAAATAAACTGTCGCTTACAGTATATTCTAGATAAACACATACTGAATAAATTAATAATCCATTTAGGTAGACTTTTAAATCTATATGATCCGAAACCTAATCCTTTAACACTAAGAAAGTTGATCATTTGTTTCTGATTTAACTGTTTACAGTACAATGTTTTTCATTTTTGGGTACTAATCAATTTGTAAGAAATAGTTATTCCATTAGGTAGAACTAGTATCATCAGTAGTAAATAAACTAAACTGACATAATAGATGACATGCATATATTAGATCAACTACACCTATGTTATTTCTATCTTTAAGAATAGATAGTATAGGCTCCGATCAAATCTTGCTGACACTGACTGAAGAACAGTTCCTGTAAAATTTGCTTCACTAAAAAATATATATTTGGGGGTATATATCATGTGTCGACAGTGTTTCTTCCAGACTTTTTTCTCCGGGGGGGGGGGGGGGGGGCACTGTTAAAAGTATATATTTTCTATATAAATTATATAAATTTCATTTCGTTCGGGGGGCGGTAAAAATTTTTCGGCCCCCCCCCCCCCCCCCCCCCGAAGAGATGCCTGGAAGAAACTCTGTGTGTCGATAATGCCACATGATAGAATCTTCAAGAAAAAGGTTTTCATATATAACTTGCTGAGCATTAAGCTGTACTATAAGCCTATTATTTATAAGTCTATAAGTATATTATAAGCATAGTATTAGTAAGGCTAAGCCTGCCCTAACCCCAAGTCCTTCCATAGATTTGACCCATAATTTGAAATAGCAATATTAACAGAGAGTGATATTTCAACGCCAAGGGTAGACAAAGGTACAGAAAATAGTCCAAGTAAAGACAAGCAGTCAGACACCAACGGGTTTCGAACCTACCATTCCACACGGCACCTATGTAGGGCCTAGTGGTAGAAGCGGTTACACGTCTGACTTGATGCATGGAAGGCGATGGCGATAGGTGCCGTGTGGAATGGTAGGTTCGAAACCCGTTGGTGTCTGACTGCTTGTCTTTACTTGGACTATTTTCTGTACCTTTGTCTACCCTTGGCGTTGAAATATCACTCTCTGTTAATATTGCTATTTCAGTTACAACGCCTGCTTCCACCCCCCCTACACGTTTACACCCATAATTTGATTAATTTCTGACCATACTAGATTACTACTGAGATTAGACCGATATTTAAGAGTCTCAGACATCGGTAATAATCTAAATCTTAATCCTATCAAAAATTTAATTACCTTTTTAGTGAACTTTTGTCAGCTGTGCATTGATCATCCAGATTCTGCTGGACTTTTTTGTCTTTTGAATGTGTTGGTATTGGAAATTTATTTCTGTTATTAACTATCCAATGCAATATATCATTTATATAAGTTTTTATATTTTCATCTCTTTTAATCATTTCTGCATAGCCCTGTCTAAGGTCAAATTTACAATGATTTGGGTCTACGGGAGGTGCAAATATTCGTAACTGACTTTTGTCATTTTTGTAAATCTTTCTCTCATCCTGACTGAAGCTACCGATTTCCACTGGTTCTCTGAAGTTTGGAAATGGACGGTCATACATAGAAGAGAACGAGTCTAAATAATTGACCACTTTTGGTCGCTTATGTTCAAAATTGTGTACTTTATCGTGATACGTTTTATCTCTTGTTCTTTTCATCTTGTTTCGTGTGCTGAGTCGCTCTGTTTATGTTAAAAGTTAAAGCGAAACAAAATATTTCGGTTTTTCCCGTTTTTACATATTTTTTTTTCGCTATTTAAATTAAACGATTTTTTCCGTAAAATATTAATTTTCTACAGTTTTACAGAATGTTTTAAAATCCATGTTATCTTATATTGTCCCAATGATTTATGATCTTTAAATCTGTACTAGACTCTATAACAATATTGCATAATAAAACAACAAAACCTTTTTTTTTAATCTAGAAAATTAAATATTTCTTGAGTAGGCTCAGTGTTTCTCCGGGGTGGGGGGGGGGGGGGCGAACACTGGTAAAAGTATATATTATATTATATATAAATTTTCATTTCGTTCGGGGGGGGGGGTAGACTTTCTTCCCCACGAAGAGATACCTGGAAGAAACACTGATTAGTCTATGGTCTATGTATGTGTACTTTGTGTAGCAAGGAGTTGTCCATAAATGATGTAAATGATGTCACTATTTGGAGTGGCTGGAGGAGGGAGGGGGGGGGGGGGAAGCACTGAGAAATAAACTAGAAACCAGGGGGGGCTGCATCTCGTCAGCCTCTAGTAGGGTGGGCACTGAGGAGCAACCTATGGACGAGGGGCGCCCTACATGTACCAGTTGGAGTGTCTGTTAGATTTGTCATCAACATCACCTTCGCCTTTTCACCCAATGGCAATTTACAACTAGACCCACTAACACGGGGGTATCCCTATGGAAGGTTAGGGAGGAGGATAGCTACCCCCCCCCCCCCATGATGTAATGTAAAAAAAGTAGGAAAAGGTAGGCCATTCTTTATTTTTCATCTTCGTTCTTAATTGTAATGGAGAGTCGGTAAAGCTCATGGTTGCTAAACTGAAAAGTCTCGAGTTCGAACCTCCTCGGGCAGATGAGGCCCGTTAGCTGGGGACATTAACTCTTTAGGGAGAGACAACTCCAAAATAAAACAACTTGCAGAATGAAGAACATGTTATGATCCGGTGGGCCACAAATGGTAATTATTAAATTAAAGAAACATTATTAAAGAAACATTATTAATGTTTCTTATCGGATATTTGAATTGTTAGAGTGGATCTCATTCTCATGGGGTTTAGCTAATCCCCAAGACTTTCAACCTCTATATACACAATAAATATACACAATAAATTAAATACTTGTGGGGGTTATCCATAAATGACGTCACGCTTTTTACCTCCCCCCCCTCCCCTCCGTCACACGTCGTCACAAAAAGCCAGACCCCCCCCCCTAAAATGACGTCACACCTCAACCTACAACCCCCCTCAAGATTGAAGTTGATTTTTTTTTAAACATCGATATTTTTCCAAAATCTTGTCTAAACTATTACAATTTATTAAAACGGTTATCTAAAAAGCGAAATAACGTCTAAAATTCGTTTTCTAACATTGCTTTTTTATAATGCAAAAATGTGACGTCGCAACATCGGACCCCCCCCCCCCATCCCCCTCATCACACATCATCACAAAATTACGGACCCCTCCTCCCCCCTACGAGTGTGACGTCATTTATGGATGACCCCTGCTGACTTCGATCTCAATGCTCGTACTCCCCTCTATGTTAGTATGTTAGGACTAATCCATACTCTCCATATGAAGAGCCCAGTGCTAAAAGTACTTAAGTCACATTTTTGTGAAAATCAAACCAAGCATTGATCGTTATTCCTCTAGTTTAACTTTATCTTATAAACAAATAGTGATACTGAAGAATTTATTTTAAGTTGCTCCTCCAAACAAACAAATAATATAAAAACGTAATGTTTTATAGTAAATTTTAATCTTTGAACTCATTTTTCTCAAAATGTTTGTTTTTTGTGACTTAAGTACTTTTAGCACTAAGGTCTTCATATGTTAGGACTCATCCCCAGGCTTTTAATCCCCCGGACTTCTACCCTCTTCATACTTAACCACCACTCCTCCAGGTACTTAACTCCAGGTATAAACTTTTAACAGTGTCCGCCGCCCCCCCCCCCCCCCCCCGAAGAAAGTCTACCCCCCCCCCCCCCCCCCCCCGAAAATTTCAAGTGCCCTCCCGGAGAAAAAAGTCTGGAAGAAACACTGCTTAACTCCCATACTCAGGATTATATCCCACTCTTTGTGGTGGGAGGGAACGAACACCCATTTTTTATCTACCACCAACTGGCCTACCTACACCAGGTTCCGTAACTCACAACCAACATAAAACTAAACCAGCCTCTTTATCTAAACTTCACTGAACACCACTAGATCAAGGGAGGCTACCTACTGTTTACTGTACCTGGTCATCCGCCTGATCTCCTCGTTGTATCAAGTCACGTGATTTAAAATCACAGATCTACGACGGACTGGAAATACTCTTAATGACGTCATGTGAAACAAAGATATTCAACTTTGACCCTTTTTTAAAATAGCAATTTGCCCTTCGTGTCATCTGACATCATAAAAATTAAAAACCTAAACAACGCGGTTTTAATTTGGTGATTACAAGATACATCTAACCTACATTACATTAAGACTCCCTCCGCAAAATTCCCGAACCCTTTAATTAATTCATCCTCCAGTTGTTGTACAACAAAGCGGGTTGTTGTACAACAACCCGCTTTGTTGTACAGCAACCCGCTTTGTTGTGCAACAACCCACTGTTTTCCATGTGGTCCGCCAACCATTTTACTTATTTTATAAAATTCCTTTGTTGTTGTTTTTTTTATTCAATTTTTTTTACAATATCCAGTGTAGGGGAAAGAATGGTTTTAAAAACTAAATTGATTAATTGAGGCTTGTTATATGTGACAATTGTGGGCTTGATTAAAACAAATGTTTTCAATCCATTAGCAGCATTGATAAGTGCTTGTTTAATGTAATTAGTTGACACGGGTTTCACCCAAACAATGGATTCGTTTTGTTCACATTCGTAACTGTTATCTCCATACACAGGCGCTACTCACTATTTACTATCAGTGTTTCTTCCGCACTTTTTTCTCCGGGGGGGGGGGGTGGACAACATTTTTCGTGGGGGAGGGCGGACACCGGTAAAAGTATATGTTTTCTATATACATTCCATTTCGTCCGGGGGGGGGGGGGGCGGTAGACTTTCTTCGGGGGGGGGGGGGGGGGACGGGACGGACTCTGCTCACTATCTTATTTGTTTCAATGCCCCTGATATTAACTATAAGTCGTATGCTCTACCATTCTACCACGCCAAATAGGGATAAGGAGCTGGGTACAAAAAATAGCTAGGAATCAGTATATGTATTCTCTAAGGGGTGGTAATTTTTCCTCATTTGTGCACAAGACACATGGAGCAGATGAAGTAGATTTCATCTATTTCAATGACCTCGTCAAACAAGGACATAGACATGGTCAGCACCATACCCAGCCGCCTTTATTTCCCTAACGAGAATCAGAGCTTGGTGGACTCAGGGGGCGTCCTAAAGACTGGAGCCCCGCATCCGAACTCGAGACTTTCGGGTTAGCAGACTAGCGCTCTAACTCTCGGCCACATAAGAGTCTAAGAAGCTACACAGCTAACCACACACCCCCTTCACATCAAGCATACAATAGCATATCTCAGTGTGTCCACAATATGCAAGCTTGAATATCAAATTACCCACAACGAAATATCAAGTCTTTTAGTGGGAAACAACATACACATCTATTGAGATAATCATGCAACGTATACTGGAGCAGGAAATTAACATTTACATAGTGTTTCTTTCAGGCATCTCCCCATAGCACGTCCACCGCCCTCGAATAGAAAATTGGTCAGTGTCCGCCCCCTCCCCTGAAGTTTCAAGTGACTCCCCTCCCCCAACGGAAAAAAAATGTCTGAAAGAAACTGTACATTAAAACATGAACATGTTAAAAGTAATGAAGTCATGATATTGGTACATAGATGTTTTATTCACACATTGGGATCACCAATCTAGGTAGGTGAATTGTAAACATCTGATCTAGAGTTATCAAAATCTGAACTGTCCTGGCTAGATTTATCAACATCCGGTTTTAGCCAGACATTGAGCCCAAGCTGCCTATGAATGTTATTATAGTATAATTATAGCATTTCCATAAATTTGGTGTAAAAAAGTATTGATTTTGTTCCAACCTAATTTACAGGGTTGTTCCCGCCCCCCAGCCCAATTCCTTAGGTACTCGACCACTTGATGGAAATGTTTAAATCAGATGTGCGTGGGTTG